ATGCGCCTATTGATACCTCTGGAATGGGTGTTGTTAAAAGTACATATTCGTAGATATTTTCAATACTCCATTTGGAGTTTGAACACTTCAATTTTTCCAGTATATCATCACCATCCAATTGGTTTAGTACCGTATCAATAGTGGAATTAACTAGTGGTGAATCATTGATATTAAAGCAGGTATTATCAGAGGAATAAAACTGAACTCTATCATCAGTTTCAATGTTCCTCAGCACATATCCGAATTGAATATCGAACCAGTATCTTAATGCTTGCTTTTTGTGATTCTCTTTGATGGTAAACTTCAATTCATCTAAAGTTGTAAACAAGTGTCTCGACCAATGAATTGGTTTTGATTTTGGTCAGAATGAATATTTCTTGATATGATATTGTGAAAACGACCGTTGTTCTTGTCCAGCTCTCTTTCTGTTTGTTTTGTAGCTGTAAAAGTTGGTGATAGGCTTTAGCATCGTCCATTCCACTGAAGATCCCTTGAATGTGCTTTTGAATCTTAGTTTAACCTTTCTAGCCCGCCCGACATCCAGATTTGTAATTGAACTAATCAATTGTTTGTACTAGTTTTCTCTTTTGTCTTGTATTTAATAGCAAATCGATATCTCTCAATACCATTTACTTCAAAAAGAACCTTGTACAGACCAACTGTGCTGTCATTTCCTTTAATCAACACTGCATTTCCATTCAAATGAATTTGGGTTTCTTCCAATATGTTTGACATTTCTGATGAACTTGTTTATCATTTGAAAAGAAATTAAATATTCAATTTTATCTTGGATTAAACTTATCAACTATCTATGATAGTGGCTGTGATTGAATATTGCATCTTTTATTTTCTAGACTAGATTTAAACAACATGTTGAATTTACCTTGCTCAAATCCGAGATCAAAGTACATCAACAATTTACTAATGGACACAATTTATCTCGATCCAAGAAATAATCATATCTATCAAGTTGTTGAAAAGCGTGTCAATAATTCGCTGTTGAAAGTAGCGTATAATTACGTTGGAAATGAAGAAGCGGTTGTGTTAGATGATGTTCCAGATTCCATGTTTAGACTAGAAAACCCAATCGAGGTTAATCCATCGAAACTATTAAAAGGCAGAATATTGTCTTTGGAAAACAATACCAGTCTATTATGCGGCATCAACATAAATCACTATAAAAGGATTAAAGAAATGATAAGCGATAGTTGCTATGAAACAAACGATACCATTTATTCACTACATTATGGGTTAGTTGTTTTTTTCAAAAAGCATTATCCAACTTGTGACAATGCGAAGGTTAATCTAGAAATGATGGGTTATCGAATCTTTGCAAACATAAAGATGCTGCCAAGAGTCATCGAAAAACAGCAATCATTACAGGAAAAGTTGTACAGAATTGTTATGAGCGATGTTGATTCTAATTCAGATGATGTGAAAGAAATTATCATGTAAACTATTCATCTTCAATGTCACTGTTGTATCCAGTAGTTGTTGGAAGAATCGATCGATTCCATCCTGCTCTCTTTCTTTGGAATTAGTTCTTGGATAAAACAGCAAGTCAATAACTTCAATGGGAATGGTTGGCTTCAACATATTTGATTCATTTTGTTTTATCGAAATAGTTGTATATCTGCCAAACACTTTGATCAGGAAGCTAATACGTTATGTCAGTTTGTGTGGTATCGTTGGTCAAGTGTGTTATATCAACCTCGTAATTGCTATCATTTGTTGTTTAATGGTTTTCTCAAGGAGCTTATTGTGGAACGATCGTGTGGTTTTAAACTGAGCACAATAACCTTTTCGTTGACATTTCTTGGAGCATGTCAAACAGACAAAGTGAGTTGCGTTGAAGCATTGAATTAATCGTGTGATTACTGTAGAAAAGCATATTGGACATTGCGTGTTTTCATCATCAAGTCAAAGTGTGACGTTAATCTCATTCTTACTGTTTAATACAAGTAATGAAGAAATAATTGAAATTAAGTTGATAATTCAATGAAAACTATTGGTATTCTTTGTTACCGTACTTGCGATAGCTTTATATACATTCATCAAAAATGTATTATATAAAGCGTTGGTGTGAGTCTGGCACTGAAAACTCCTGATAGTTCAAACTTATAAGCTATCCAGTGTTCTATACCATTGTTTTTGACCTTGATTGCTCATCTCTGATAACTTGCTATTTTTGGCAACTTCGGACATAATTCACTGGTAATCATTGATCAAGAAAATTGGTATCATCCGGTACCCTATCTATACTACTTTTGCCCAAAAGCGTATCAAATTGTAAATCATTGTCATCAAAATCTTGTCTGTCAACTAGTACGATGTTCTGATGATACAATACTGCTCCACCTGAAAATGCTACCACACAAGATATTGCTCGACTTTCTGATTTCAAGACTTGCGTGGCAGAATTAACTCTTGAAAGGCGTTGCGAGATATAACAATTCATCAAAACATAGTGTTTTTATTAAAATATGATAGACATTGTGGAGCTGATAGGGTTTGACCTTAGTAGACATTACACTGCAAACGGTGTTTCACGATCTTGAGTTGCATTGCAAGCATACACATTCAAGTATTTAAACAGCTCCAATACAGTCATGCACAACTGACAAGTGCCAGTAAATCTGATTGTATTAGCTTTTAATCAATCATCAATATAACTGTCGACTCCATCAAAATAGCCTGCTAATGTGGATCTCGTAACAAATCCGAGTCGAATTTCTTTACGAACCAGCAGATTTCATATCTCGGCAACTCTCCAGTGTCAATATTCAAACACAACATTGCTGTGTTTGAGTGATAGGATCTGTTATCGCCGACTTGATATCTGCTTACAAGACAGCCGCTGCACCTGTTTGACTCTACTCCTATTGACAAACTCACTGCATTCTATTATGGGTAAGAAAACACTTTCTGAGCATCTGCCTCTTGTGTCTCTTTTATGACTCTTCATCGGTTGGTCATACAACAACCATTAGTTACAGGCTCAAAAAACGTCACTATAAACCAGTATTTAGTTTAGAAACAAAACTTGCGTACAGCACAAGGAAAGCCTCAGCCAAATGCTGGTTCATAGTAGTAGTGTTGCTTTTTGAGTTTATAATTAGTAGTTATTCATACAACCCTGCCAATGGCAAGTCTCAAGAAACAATAAAGGTTGATCTTTATAAAGTATTTCTCCATCTACAACAGAGCAGAAAATGAGTTTTCCAATAGTAAAATCAGACTCAATACTGTCTTGTAAGCAAACCCTAGACCAGAAACGACAGACCGTCTCCCTCAGGGACAACAATACTCTGTGTGAGTATTGACACTGGAGAGTTGCCGAGATATGAAATCTGCTGGTTCGTGTGAAGAAAAACTCGGAGTTTTGTCGCAAGATTCAAACAGTTCATTTTGGCGAATTCAACAATTATATTGATTAAAAGCTAATACAATCAGATTTACTGGCACTTGTCAGTTGTGCATGACTGCATTGGAGCTGTTCAAATACTTGAATATGTACACCTGTGATTATGTTACAGATTCACCATTCATGACTATATAGTATTAGTCAATCCAAAAACCCATTTTTACAATAGATCTGATTGAATACAAATTGAACAAATCACCCATTTTATAGCTGTGTTCACGTAAAATGAAACACTATCTTGCAGCACCACTTTTGCTTTGGGATGACAATGGTTGAATATTCGTTACTTTTTTACTAAAAATTGGCTTTAATAGGCATTGACAATTCAATCAACACAACGTTCATTATATGATACTCAAAATCAGACTATAGTTTTAGATCTGCTCTTCTCCTCATTTGGTACTCATACATTGTACAATCACCAGATTCATATATTGCGATCCAGATATTGTGCTTGATTGTCTGATACTGCCAAACTCTGTTGTGTTTAAAAACTCGTACGTTCTAGTTTAAGATTATACATTTCAGGAATGCGAGAGTTGTTTCCATACCAATCACCCAACATTGTAATGTTTGGGTTGGATGGAATGAGAGTTGGAGATTGAACAGGTGTGGGATTTACTGGAACAGAGGTATGAACATTCGTTTAGCTGTTTTTATCCAAGAATGGGCACAGATGAACCCCAGTCAACTTTAATGAGTTCAGGACACAATGCTGTCTAATAAATTTGGCGTGAATGATCAATCCATGAGATTGGCTGATTATGCACCTTGGCATCTTTATTTAGTGTTCCATTTTACGTGAATACAATTGTATATTTTTATAGAATGGATTTACGTGCTGCCATGATATAGTTCATGTCCAATCCACAGGGCCGAGTTTCATCAAGCAACGACCATGTTTTAGTTAGCAAATTGTATCCAATTCCAGAAGTATTCAACATACTACTTTGTGCAGCACGTAAATACATCTCAAGCTCTTCTGGTGCAATATACTTGTCATGCGAGTGGGTCCCAACTGGCACCCATTTCAAGAAATGTTCTGCTAGCAATATTGTGAATATATACGATGCTGGGGTACGATTAATTGTAGAATAAAACATTAACCCGTCGGGCTAAAGTGACAGAATAGTGTTATTGATGGTGTTTTTACCTTGAGATTTTCTTCAGCAAGTATAGATTAGATTCAACCATATTCTACCTTGACTAGCTGCGTGCATGTGCGTACAAAGGATTTTGGATCATTTACATGCTCAAGAATTTCAAGCGCCACGACTGCATCAAACTGCTCGCCTTGCTGAGCAAGCTTTTCTGAACATCAACCAATTTAATTTTTTAACGTAATTACTCGAGTTAAGTTAAATATAGATCTAAAAATAGTCTAACTGTTTAAAAGTACAAACCTGCAGTAGTGTGGCGATAATCGATAGATCCAGGTCCTTTTTTCAGCAGTCTATCCAACGCATAGTGTGCCGTAGCAACATTGATATTTTCTCCAGAAGCATCGGCACCAACGACTTGTGCACCTAATCGAGCTAGAGCCTAATAATATACATAAATTCAGCGGATGATCAACAGGGTTAAAATATGTTGTTTATAATCAATTATACCTCGGAAAGAAAACCACCTCCGCAGCCTATATCTAGCAGCCTCATGCCAGCAAATGGAAGCGCTAGAGTGGATTCAGAAGTGACAGCATTATGAGCCACCAGCATATCTCTCACGTATTTGACTCGTACAGGGTTCATCTTGTGCAAAAGTTTATATTGACCATTAGGATCCCACCATTCAGCTGCAGTACGATTGAATTTATTTATTTCATCGGTGTTTACTGACGCAGATGATGGAGTTGGTTGTGTATGCATAAAGCTTTTGGTGGTTCGAAGACTTGTTATTCCACGCAAGCTTTTAATCCCAGAGGACAAAAAAGGCCGTGAAAATGGTGTAGTAACATATAATAAAGGCATATGGCAAGGAGTAGTAACTGCTTTGGCCAAGAGAATGTCAAATCCTTGACTGATCTTTAAACAGAAACTACGGTTTCCATTTAGAATAAAAACCAAGTGATATCACGTGATATACTTTTGAATATAATGCGAGACGACAAAAAGTTGAGTAAAACATGTCTAGTCAACATACAATCTATCGGTAAGACTGTTTATTTTAGGCTTACTATTTGTAGATCAGTGTCATCTTGAAAATTCAAAACGCCAGAAACTTGAATTTTTGATGGAAATCAATCTCGAATATTTTTTGTTTTTGTAAATCTATTTTGTCAACTACGCAGCAACAGCAAATTACATTTAGTCATGGCCACTAGTTTAATAGCAGCAAATAGGTCTGTATCGCATATACTATACAACCAAACCTCTTTTCATTTAACCGTATTTCGATGTACTTCATTTCACGCAGTGAAAGCCACTTGGAATGCAAAATCGATCAGCATCAAGGCAACTCAAGCAGCTCAAGCAACACTTCAACACCATCAATCCCAAGACAAACTTATTCCTCGCAAGCCTAGAGTAAAACTTAATGAATTTACACCGTCTGCTTATATGCGACCTGCTCATATTCCACTCAATATCCAGCGCATCTGCGGTGTTCTTATCCGTGCATTAGTGGATGCAAATTATATCACTGCTCTCGAGCAATATCGTAAACTCGTCGAATTTGATCAAGTCAATGCCCTTTCGCTTGATGAGATGTTGAATCTATTTCGACTTGTTGTATCTTATCAGCAAAAAAAGCCGAATCCTAAAATTGTAAGCGAATTGGATCTGTTGATGCAAGCTATACTGGAACGCGCAGATGCTGATGTCGTTCGATATGGCGGTATCTCTGTCCTTCCACCTGCCATATTTTTTTCACTATTGAATTGTCATGTCAAGCTACAACAAACTGATTCGGCTGAATTAATCTGGGAGTACATGCTGAGTCAGGGTATTGGTATCAGTATCGCTTCAGTCAATCTCATGCTTCAGTGCTATGCTTCGTTGGGCAGGGTTGACATGGTTCAAGCCTTGATGAAAAAATGTGCTGAAGAAGGTATTGCAAAACTCGATATACAGTCGTTTGTTACTCTCATTGATGCCTACTCGAAATCTGGACAGACAGTATCTAGCTTGGAAGTGTTGGATCGTGCACTTCAATCAGACATTCCTTTGAACATCCGTATTTTCAATCACATTATTTCTGGACTGGCCAAAAATGGAAAGTTTGCAGAGATGATAAAAGTGCTCGTGTTTATGCAAGAAAAAGAATTCTTACCAAGTACAGTCACATATAATAATATCATCCACGGGTGTGTGGTGTCTGGACAATTCCAAAAAGCACATCAAATCTTTCAAGAGATGACAAACGATGCCGGCTCTTCTGCTGAACGTAATGATCAATGTGGACCAGATACAGCTACATTTAACATTATTATCGACCTATTTGCAAAACAAGGCGATCATGAAAACGCTTTTGCAATGTTGGATGAAATGATCAAGCGAGGTGTGCAGCCAAACGTGGTGTCTTATAATACGGTTCTTGGTGCATATGGTCGTGCAGGCATGCTATCCCAAGCCCAAGATATTTTTGACACTATTGATAAAATGGGAATCAGTCGAACTGTCACGACCTACAACTTGCTGATTTCTGCATATGGATTTCAAGGGCACATGCAAACTGTGCTAAATCTGTTTGAACAGATTCAGGATACTAACTTATCGCCTGATCGCAATACATTTGCTGTAATGATTTCGCTGCACGGCATGCATGACTGTTACGACAAATGCCTTGATTTTTTTACAATGATGCGCGAAAGGGGTATTTTACCTGACAGTCGTATTTTGGCCAATATGATGCGAATCGCCATCCGAACAGGTGCGCAGACCGCTGAGGTGCGTGGTTTCTTTGACATGGCAGTGGAAAAAGGCATGATCAATATCGATTTATGTCACCTGCTGCTTTTATCTAATCTGATAGAAGGTCGGCTTGCTTTACACGAAGCTCTTGATCGCCTATATGTATCTGTAATGAAACCACATAGCATCCAGCCAAAGCTAAAAACACTAGATATAGTACTTGACTCTATTTTGAAACCGACAGAGCTTGTACAGAAATACACGCTCCGCAGCTCTTTTAGGCAAAAAGGATCTATACAAAATACTATTGCAGCTGCCAAGTTGAATGATGCGTTTCAAGAGGAGCCAATTGTGATTAGCAAGTATCATACTACTGATTCTGAATCAGCTAAAAAGGATGAACATGCTCTAATCAGTCTTGTGGATACTCTTAGTGCAAGTGGACACACTGAGATTATGGATGAAAGGTATCAGTCTGCCATTTCAGATGCAATTAATATTATTAGACCTTAATTTTGTTTTAAAATAAAACAAGCAGCCACTTGGTGGATCTGTAGAAATGCCCATTCTATACTTTTACTATGCTATGAGTTTTTCTAGTGCATTTAAATGTAATTTTGAAGTTTTTTGCCAGCCATTTCATTAATGCATAGTTTGTTCATGTTTGACTTGAAAAAACTTGGTTTATTTAAGCAATATTGATTCCAATATAAACTTGCACAATAAAATCTCAATCTCAACTACTATAATCTTGTATAAAGCTAACTCAGATAAGAAATAAGAGTCTCGATGGCAAACATAGATGGCTCGGCAGTTTTTGTTTCACTGCCTTCGCTATTACCAATTTTTCTCTTTGAAGTCTTTTTTAAAGGCACACTTTTGGCATTCTCAGTACTTTTAGCATCCTTTGCGCTTTTAATGGTCAATTTCAGAGTGTTGAAGTTCACCTTTGTTGCAGATTTTTTCATGCGCTTTATCAGATCCTTTGATACTGTCAAGCTTTTGTCAGCTTCGCGTGCGGTTTCAAACATAGCAACAAAAATCAATGCAGTACCAGATCTGGAACTGGGATCTTTGGCACAATATTCCAACCAAGTAGGAAAGTGTGGAGCAACAAGATCAAATAGCGATGATGCAAATTCAGGTTGCCAAGCTAAAGTACTATTTGTAGCCGACTTGGAGTCAGCATTAGCGTCGACCAAGGCTACACGAGTAGATGCACCTGCTTGGAATCTACCTACCAGTTGCTTAAGTGTCCATGTTGATGCACGATTGACAAAAAGCGAAGAATCCATATCTAAACCTTGTGCTTGAAGATTGGCAGCATCGTGTTCCGATTTGAGCTTTGAGACAGCATTGAAGAGTTTAGTCGACTTTTCTTGATCTGAAGCAGTCGATTCAAGGTTGTTTTCTGTAAGATTGTCCATAGTCTGATCAGCAGACTCAGCTTGTTCTGCATCTTTTTCATTATCATCGGAAAAAATAGTTTTAGTAGAGTGCCGAATACCCTGTGGATCCAGATTTTCGGGAACCAATTTCAAAATGGCATTTGTCACTGACGAAACATCAATATGCAGCTTGTATAGAGTTTCAACAATTACTTGTCCGCCAGTACGATCACGCAGCAGCTCGTTGGCATGAGCTGCAACAGCTTGAACAATCAATGGAGCAGATGCAGCCAATAGCTGCTGTTGGCGCGTAGCATCGTCCTTTTTAGTCGTTTGCGTACGGATAGAGTCCATACTGGATAGTTCTTGAATGATATAGGCTGGCTGATACTTTTTGTTACGGCCATCAAGGATAAATAGAATTACCCTGCTGGCATACTTGTTACGCAAGAGCTCACTAATGGATGCTGCAGCACCTGCTGCAGAAGTTGCAATGCCCGAAGCAGTTTTTTCCGTGCCTGGTGCATGGGATGACGAAGATGGACTAAGAAGCTCAGCAATCAAACTCTTGCTGACAATAACTGTGTCGTCAATACATTCAAAGCAGGAAAGAAGCACAGTATGCCCATATTGCTCTTGAGCAATGGCGTGAACAAAGCCTTTGAATGACTTGATAATACTTTTACGATCTTTTGGCGTAGCATGGAGAATACAGTACTGGGCAATGCGAGCACCATCGCGTGTGTGCAAAATGTGTACAAGATGATCCTTGAGTAGCTCAATCATGTCCTTGGCCACCTTTATGTCGGCAAGACTAATGTATTCGTAGATTGCTCGATGCAAAATAGGAGTTTTTGCAAGATTAAATGACCCCTTTTGTAAAACGGAATCCAATGCTTGGCGTAAATGGCGCAAAATAGTTGGCTTTTTGTCTGGTTCAGTTTCAAGAAGTGATTGTAATGTTCTAGATCCATCCAACTAAAAATAATAGATTAGTTTATCTGTTTAAATGTATTTCAAGGCTGTCACCACAATTGGTCATTCTATATATTGCAAACTCACAGATTTAAACACAGCGTACTCTGGCCCATAAAACTCTTCCATCAAAGCTGCTCGTTGAGCAGAATTAGCAAACTGCGAGTAAGCCTCGTCCAGAATCAACGACGCTTCCTTGTGTCGAATGAGCTTTCTAACTTTTCCGTAAAACTCCTTGATCACGGCGCTGCGATACTCTTGACTGCAGTAGTTGAGGATTTTAGACACAATGAATCTTCCGTACTGGCTCTGACTAAGTTGGGCATAATGGCCAGATAGTTCTTTTGCAATTTGATCACGTTGAGTAGGCGTACCGTATTTTAGACAGCACTGAATGATACGACTAGCATCGTGTTTGAAAATAATCTATGGTTCGAGTCATTACCAAGTTTAAAACATGGATCATAAGGTGAGTACTTGAAATCAAAAAACTCTTGAAAATGGCAGACTCCAATAACAGCGGGTATGCGAATAGTTGCCCACAAAACTCAAACTTACATCCTTGGCTTTTCCAGAAACTAGCAACATCATGCGGTTCATCAATTCTCTTCTTTCCTGCTTTTTGAGTCTTTTTTGTCTTAACTCTTCCCAAATAGCTTTAGCCTCAGTAATCATAGGGGCATGGGATCGCTGCATTTTGCGATCCTTGGTCAAAGCTTTTTGTTCAGTGCGTGCCAGTCGATTCTTTTCCATCTCCTCAGAAGTCTTTTCTTTTTTTTCATCATAGTCTTTGTATGTAGATTCATCTTCAGCATCTTCAGTAGGATATTCATCTGCGACGTTATCTAGTTCGAATTCTTGTGGATCGTCAGAAAATTCGTCCATGTCTTCATCGTGATCGGACTGAACAGTAGGCTGCTTCTGTCGTTTAATAGATTTTCTGTTGTCTAGATGTACCATTCTTTATATTTGGATAAAAACTTGAGACTAGAATGCCAGAGTATTCAATTTTGGGTCGAATTCAATTTGCTGGTTAAAATTAAATCTGGAAGAAAAAAAGTTTCAATTTGGCTTTGTAAAACGAAATCTGTTTGTATGCACTTCACGTGACTGTATCTCGTTATTGCAGTCATATTCATGTGGAATGAACTAAACAGATGTCAACATACATAATAAACAGCCAGTTTCATGGAATGATTCGCATCACATTTACTAGCATTTGTGTCCACTAAACTCTGACAAATTCACTCATTCAACATGGCACATCAACTTTTAAACAGCAATGTTGCAAAGTAAAGCTGCATATTGCTCATTCTTGAATCTGATAATAATTTAATAATGGTCTGTTGAGCCATTGCATGCATTGAAAATATCCATTGACAAGGCAGTTCATGTCTAGTAGGAAAGCATAACGAGTATTTAACCATGATTTATTCTGAAACAAAAAGCAGCCAATGCAAGATACAAAAAAGTATTCCGTTTTACATGAATGCAACTGTATTTCAGGCACAGCATGCACTGTCGCAATCTACAGCAGTATAATACATAAAGTCTTTATTTATCCTATTATAGTCTCACAAGATGGTTACTACATCCTAATCAAAGTTAAAACCTGATACTTTTTTTCAAGTTGCTCAAATCCAGAATAGGGAATATGTGCAGCTTTTAAATGCAGTCCACACTTGCCGATATGCTTTCCACCATTGATGTCTGCACGAGCAATATACAGGGTTTCGTGGTTAGCCTCGTGGCCGCCTTCTAATACCAATGAGCCAACGCAATTTGGGTTAAATGCTCCATTGGCATCAATCCATTGTACAGCCGACTGACTGCCAACAAGGATCTCATAGTCACGAATGATACGCTCTTTGCCCTTGTAAGGAATGCGTGCTCCGTCCCACCATAGTCCACTTGCTTTGCCTACATGTAGTCCTCTCTAATTCACGATTAATTGCATTCAATATATTGAAAACGATTAGATTTCAAGCTTACAAAATTTAAAAAAAAATTAGACTATCGGAAGGAAAGTAAGCGATGCAAGTGTTCTAGTCATCAAGGTCCCAACTCTACCAGCCATGTAGGCTTGTAGAAAAAAGTCTGTATGTGCTGAATCTATTCTGGCGGCTGAGAATATTCGAATGGATAAAAAACAATTATAAACTGTAATAGGGATCCAGTGCTATTGATTGAGCAAGAGTAGAATAGGTTTTTGCAGATGGCAGTGAATCGCAATAATGTAATTTTGCCTAGAGAATACAGTATAGGTCGTTGAGCTACGAATAACTTACATCTATCCAGCCTCTTGCAATATACAGAGGAAGTCCGTCTTTTTCGTTTCCGCCAGGGATAGCATTTGCAGGAATAGAGTTTCCAATAGTGCCGACCCAAGTTACTGGAGGTGGTCCGCATAAAGAGTAGTCGATTCCTGGACCAGAAGCTGCAGCATAGGCGGATATTATTGGATTCATTTTCTTATCAGGAGCTGTGGATATATAACTAGATTGTTTGGATTGCTGAACCGGCGGTGTATAAATAGTTGCAATTATAGGAGCTGGAGGTGGAGCAGATCGTTGGATTATGCTGATGTCTTGTTGAGGACCTAAACAGGGACCAAATAAATTGGATAAACCACCACAAATCATAAAGTAACAATCAAATGAAGAAACTCCAGCCACTGCTCTCTAACCACTTGCACAGATGGAGGTATCGGTTGTGTATTTAAACTCTCAGACAGCCTTGCTTGGTATCACTTCAAAAATTGAATGTCAAGCAAATAGCATTCTAATAAAAGCAAAAAAAACAACCCAAATCACGAGATTAAAGCCAGCACTAATACTCTGCCAGTATTGCCTTCATCTCCACCAAATGGTTTTTTAGATTGCATTTGAATCTAAAGGAAAATTCCCAGCCAAGCCCACAGTTTGAAATGCTATTATCATAGGTCCAATTATTGGACAGTGACATTCAAAACAGTATTACAGTCACATCTTTATGATAGCCAATAATCCATGCTAGACTATATGCATCAGTTATTGCCTCGGCCTAATAGTTGGGTTTCAACTCACTTTTTTGTAAAAGCATAAGATTATAATAGCAAAGTAAACGTTTACATAAAGTCATCTTCAATTTCTTGCACAGATCGGCCTCCCGCGGCAGATTTGTTGGAATACATATGATCCTCTTTGATTACCAGTCCGTAATCAAACATTTCCTTTTCTTTACGCTTCTCCTTGATGTATAGTTTATGCTCCAGTTTCTAGCGATTACAAAAAAGCGGTTAGTTGATAAAAATATCAATTTCATAAGAGAAATATCAATCATATAAATAGTTTAGGATAGGACATACAATTTTCTGCTCGGTTTGTTTCCCAGCAGCTCGAATATCGCGCTGGTGTTGAATCTTCTCCTCTGCTAATTCTGGGTACGTTTCCACTCTAGTTTTGTTTAAACGATTGACAATTTCGTTGACTCGCTTTTCAATATGCACCCGCTTAACCACATTGTTTTTGTGGAATGTGACTTGTCCGGTTTCCATGCCAGGTGTCTTTTTCAGATTGCTCCATGGCGTGTAAATAATGGTCAGATTGTCTTTTTTGTTACCTGATTTGGTTTAAGAGTTAGATTGGTAAAATAAAACTAGTATTTAGTTGTAAGTAGAGAGCAGTAAAATCTACCTTCTATACTGTTGGCTTTGGTAAGCTGTGCCAAATCTGTAAGAAGCGCTTCAGGAATTGCATCCCAAGATTGATCTTTTTCGAGTCGCAAGTAAATATGGGCTGAGCTGAGCTTATCCACATGAAACCTAAAAAATATTAAAATGTTATAAGTACTCTGCAATAGTATGGTGTAAACTCGAATGCACTGAAATGATGCATCAACTTGATTGTTCAAGCAAAGACGCAGCAAAAGGTCGTTTAGACATACCATACATCGGTTTCCCATCCATATTTGATTAGTTCTTCATCTATAAAAATAAACCAGTATTAATAGAAAAATCGAGCCAATCAACTGCTACTGTACTTTACAAAAAACAAGGATACTTACTTTCGTACTTGTCCTTTCCCATGTAAATTTTGGCAGGTGGATTAGTTGCTGATCGGTTGACGGTCAGGCAATAGATAGAAACTGCTGATTAAACAATATATTTCTAAATACATCAATAAACACAAACCCTTTTAAAAACTCACCTGTGCTAGTGAAGTAGTACATGTTGAATAGTATCAATGAATTGCTTTGTTCGTCTTGAGCTCAATACTCGAATTTACTGATCCTCAGGCAAATTTCACTGTCAAAAACACTAAAATATACATCCAAGAATGGAAAGAAATGACCAACATAGACCATCAATTACAAATAATCAATTGAAAACAGTAATTTATTCATCAAGCATGTAGGCTGGTTGGTATGCCAAGACAATAAATTCGCGGTAAAATCCAAGAATTTAGTAGTCGAGACATTATATTCATGGTAATTTTCTCCACAATGACAATAGGCCATATCAGACAGTCCAAGGCCACACTTGGCACTTTCTATCAGAAAAGTAAGCTTATGCAATGTAAAGAGGAGATATGTTTGTTCGCGATCAGCACCAACAAACTGGTAACCAAAACCATCAAGATTGGGACAACCTTGAATATGGATCCAATCAGTGAGTATAAACTCGGTCAATATAGTCGTATATGAGATTGAGTAATGTAATCTACAAATGATGGATCAGGGTTGAAATTATGTCAAAGATCACACTTTGAAACAAGAACCGCGGTTGGAAACGGTTAAATGCAGATCTGATTGTCGGCTCACTTTCCCTTCTGTTTGCAATCTTTATCCTGCATATCTTTATAACCACTTTTACTATCTTCCAACAATGAGCTTCAATCAACCATGGGACTGCAGCCGCCAGTATGACGTTGGCCAGGTTGTCGAGTACCAAGGTCGTCATTATGAGGTTGTTCAAGAGCATCGTTCCCAGTCTGACTGGAACCCTGAATCTGCCCCCTCTCTCTGGAAAGAGCACCATGGTCATCATGGACACCACGGCCATCAACAAGAGGGTCAACACCATCAGAACAACGACAATGACAGATATGGTAACAATAACCAGTATGGTAGTATCAATCCTTCTCAGAATTACAATCCACCTGCTACCGGTGCCATGTATGGTCAGAACCAGAGCCAGCCAGCTTACATGCAGACCCCTGGCGGTGTTGGGGGTATGAACCAGCAATCTACTTACCAGCAGCAATCTACTTACCAGCAGCAATCTGCCTATCAACAGCAATCTGCCTATCAACAGCAATCCTCCTACGAGAAAACTCAAGATTCTGAAAAGTCTGGTATTGCCTCTATGCTTCCCCAGAGTATGCAGGGAATGTCCAACCTTGAGGTATGTAATGGCTGCTGTAATCAATCTGGCACATCCAGGGTTTTGCCATTGATTCTGTAGATCTGTGCTAAAGCGTGTTCCACCTTACAAAGTGGCTGAGTAATTTAGGGCCAAAAATACCCTTGATAGAAGTGGCATAGTACTGACATTTGTGCTTCATTATTGAATTGTTGACATGTAGTTGGGTGGAATTGCTGCTGGCGGTATTCTTGGTATTGCTGGCTTGGCTGGGGCTGTGGCTTATGGTGTTGGTCAGCACAAACAGAACAAGTCTGAACATGCCTCTCGTTCTGCTTGGGAGAGTGAGGCCCGTACTCGAGGTCAGCACTACATGCAGGCTCTTGGCTCTGGCCAGCCTGTGCCTCCTGTAGCTTGGGTTTTGACCGAGGGTTCTAGCATTCCTCAGAATGCTATACAGGGTGGCAATGAACGTGACGGTTCACCCATCTACATTACTCGCACCTGGCACGAAAACTCGATCCATGTTGGCAAGATGATTCGTTCCTGGTCCAAGGGCTGCTCCATCTCGTATGGTGGAAAGGAGATCAGCAATATTCCTACTTATGAGATTCTCTGTGGTGATATGCGTGCTATTCGCTGGAATGACGCTTCTGGCCCATTGAACCCTGCAAGCCATCGTGGTCTGGTTGATGGTGGTCGTGAAGCTAATGGTCAGCCCATTTTTGTTGCCCAAGCCTTTTACGAAGGTGGTGTTCAGATTGGCAAAGCTGCTACTGGAAACCACAACGGATGCTGTAAGTATTATCTATGCATTGTCTCTGAATTCTTCTGATACCTTTGGTTGCTCACTCATGGTTGGTTTTTGTAATTTAAATCAATAGACATTGGCTATGGCGGCAAGGAAATTTGCATTTCCAACTACAAGGTGCTTTGCTTGAACTAAAAACTGCTGTTTGAATGAAATAACACTCGATTATGTTGTTGTCTATCCATGAACCGTATGTTTTAAAGTTTTTTCACTGATATGATGAGTGGTGTTGATAACAAAGATTGATACTGAGCATCGTTTAAAGATGTAGTGAATAAAGCATTCCAGTTTGTATATTGAATTACCTTGCTTGGAATGCATTTAGATCAGCCAAATAAACTGTTCGATTCAAAAGATATTACAACCGTGTTCATGTAAAATGAAATACTGTTCTGCAGTCACTATTTTGTTTTGGAATAAATAGTATTCGTTGCGTATTTTTACTACAAATTGACTGCTTCTTCAATAAACACAACGACCGCCATATAATGCAATCAAACTATGGTTTGGAACTGAGACTATCCATTTATTCTCATTTGGCATAATCATACATTGTACGATCGCCAGATTCATCAATGTCAATCTATATATTGGTTGGACTGTTTTGATATCGTCAAAAAAACTCATCTATTGTATACCAAACTTACATGTGTGCTTTAGTCCAAGAAAACAATGATCGCACATCAAGAATCTAACTGTTGTTTACATGCCAATCACCCAGTGTTTACTTGTAGAAAAGACAAATTAGAGATTGAGCAAATGTGGGATTTACTACAACTATGATATGGATATTGGTCCAGTTTTCTATACAAAAATGAGCGCAGAGGAAATAACCAGTCAACTGTGCTAATGAGTTCAAAGGACAAGGTATTATCCAGTAAACGTAATGGCGCCCATCATTCCATAAGACTGTTTATTATGTACTTTGATATTTTTATTTAGTGTTCTATTAAGCGAATACAACTAAAACTCGGTTAGATTGCTATTTATCAGCGCGATTCGACTTTTCCCTGGTACAACAATAAGTCGTAAAATATCCAGTAATCTGCTATCCAAAGGATCCACTCTGGGATACAAACTAGGTTGACATGTGGCAATACAGCAGATTATCAGTTTTACCGATCCTTACAATTAGATGGTATTGCTACATCACTTATATTATTGACGCCATATCTATTGTTGGCTCAGTAGGCGTAATTATAGTCTACACTACGCTTCGTTTAAAGATACCTGCCATGTACGTAGTGCTTTATACTAATATGTTTTATTGCTTAATCTACCAAACAAAATAAGTTGTCAACTCTACTTGTGCCAATAATATTTGCTACGAATGCACAACCCGCTGAGACTCAATGTATGCAACCTTGAATATGGCCAATTCGCATTAATCTTATCATCTCACTTTTTGATGAGGTTATGTAAATTTCAATCCAATCTCAGTACTGAAAGTTTAAATTTGGTATAATTCGATTGTACTTTTTTGCTGAAATGCATATCAAATGAACATATAGTGTCAACCGTGTTTCGCTTCGATTAGCTTTAGCTATATCCATTGCTGATCTTTTTTACAGTATCTCAAACTACTTACTACTTGGTCAAAAGGCAAGTCTAATAATCAAATTCGTATGCACTCAATTATACAATAAAATCAAGAGTTGACTAACCACTTTTTGGCATATATGACTGACCTGTACTGTATTACATACTCTTGAAAATTAAAGTTGGAATTCATGTGCCTTGCGTCCATTTATATGAACCTGTTTTTTGGTCTTTGCTCGGTAAGTAATCTCAAGTATTAATGTGGCTAAAAACTATCATCACACATGAAATATGACCAATCCATTTTTAATATATCCAAACATCGATATACTATAAATCAACTAATTCAATTTGTAATATATAACTTATAGATGTTACTTGCAGTAATGGTGGCATTCAATCTACACATTGTATTTCTTGTTCGTCTACAAAATACGCTGTGGTGTGAAAAGTGGTATTATATTGTCACAACCGTTATCCCGCTCACAATTGTATCCATCAAAGCTACTCAAGGTACCATATCTGTACTCATTTGTTTGATACTTGGTTGTTGGGACATGCGGGTGCTCAGGAATAGTTTAGCATAACTGACAATTAATTGCATTGGTCCAACTCTGGATTATCTAGGGCAATTGAGATTGAAAGAATATGAATGCATATTTGAATTTCCTAGCGATTGGTCCAATTTTCGCCAGATGCTTGAAATGAGGTAATTTAAGCTACAAAATATTGCACTATTTTACATGCCTGTATAATCTAGATCGTTGACTCATTTCCTTGACCATGACTTGCATTATTACCAGTTGGATATGGTATGGATGGGTGTTTATTACAATTATGTTCTCTGCTATTACCACAACTATTCTTTGGACAAAAATGAGCAAGCAAATCTCGCAGCAGCATATAACCAGCCACCAAATAGTGTTGTATCATCAGCTAAAAAAAACTATCAAGCGGTTGTCATGGTACGCTTTGGTTCCTCTAATATCTCAATCACTGAGCTTGGTTGGATTTTTATTGAATGATACGGGCCATTTGTTTTATCTTGGACAAGTTATGGTTGCTGGGCAAGTGAGTTTCAAATATCTATCCCAACATCACGTTTCTGTTTAAATTAACTATTGACATGATGTTGCTTGTGTTTGAGCTAGGGACTGCTTCATACAATCGTTTTTTTCTTCGATCCTACTATTGGAATGATCGCTGAAAACCTACGCCAGTATTTAATTGACAAGTACGTGATGGATTTTGAGGATCAAGTGCTTGGTGAGTGCCTTCAGCATAAAACTCTCAATCTTTTATCAATACAGCCCAAAAATCAAAAACTACAAAAGATCGATGTACCGAGTTGCGGCAACGATCAATGTTTTCAGGAAAATCAATCCAAGAATAGTTTTTCCAAACCACATATTATGGCAAATGACGCTTTGAGTTGTGGAGCGCAAATGTCTTGTATACTTGAGCACAACACAGATCAAAGCAAATATTCACATACATCAAAGCTAGATCTTAGCAGACCAAAAATACAGTCTCATATGTCGAGCAAAGATCTATTTGCTTTACAATTACAGGATACCCCATCATTGGCCCATTCATACATCTCACCTGCACAAATTTCATTCGATCCAACAATTGTCCAAACCAGATATTCCACAACACATGGCTTGCAGCAACAACTACCTAATACAGAAACAAATGCTTCATTTTCTCCTCATTTGAATGTACCAGTATTGCATTTAACTAGTTTGCACTCGTTGAGAAATCTGAATGCAACTGAATCGAAACACTACGTTAATCCGATTATATCACGATGGCAATGGTTTATGTACGATCTGGTGTCGTGGATGTTTCTGACTTCTAGCTCGAAAAAAACTGATGCGCTTGCTTCACAGCAAAACAATCTTACTCCTTTAAACAAAAATATTCAATACCCAACCGAATATACTGTAAGTCCTAGTGGAGTGCCCTATCCATATTTGACAAATATGATGGCGTCATCTGTAGCAGCTTCATTGGACAACGTAGCATTAGCTCCAAGTTCAATTTACCGTAGCGAGTCAATCGCTAGATGGAATAGTTTAACTAGTAAAGATGGTCGAGGTTTTCCAGAGCCAAGGTTTTCACAAAATCAGTTGACACATGAATCTGGTGTGATTGCTAAAACCAATGCCAAAAACAGACTAGATACCAGCAGTTGTTTTGATGATACATATGGAGCAAATTTACCGAATGACTTGAATGGTGGTGTAGAATCCGGAAATGATGTGTGTGGTCGATCAAAGCAAGCATCTGCGATTCAAAAAGACAATACAAAATCACAGCACGATCCTCGACAGCAATTTGATTATCCAACTAGCCATTCAGATACCAGCATGCTTAATCAGCAATCAAGTGAATTACTACCAAATCTGGCAATGGCAAATTACCGTGAAGAAATGACTGCATTGACAGAGGTGGGCGAGGAAGCAGAGGAGGATGAATCAAATCATGGCAATAGTGGGCACAATGTCAATGGGACTACTCGCAACAATCCAACACAATGGCGAATATTATCCCATCGTGCCATGTCTAGACAAACTAGTGCTGGAGTGCATGTAGGGCACGAGACAAATCTTATTCGACAAAACAAAAATAGTACGCCTGAAAATGAGGATTCTCAACAAACGTGTCGACTTTCCCGATTAAAGTCGATTGAGGAGTCTTCATTTCTTGATCTCAACGACTTTTCAGATGGCTTTGAAAACAATGTAATACCACCACTCGCACAACCCAATGAACTGCTTTCTAATAGTGACGCACAAATATCACTAGTTTCGTTAAACGAATCTGCCAATCAGAAAAAACTATCCACTGCATCGCAGCCCACACATACGAATCATTTATGTCATAAAAAGGAGGATGTAAATAAAGTAGAAACAACAGCACTGGATTCAAGTTTAAATGGCAAATCATTTAAAACCCCTCAGTCCACCTTATACCCAACAACAGAACCTGAATCATTGCCCGACTCTAATCTTAACCAACCTACTTCAAATCAAAGTGCATCACATCGAGGAGTCAACAATTTCTTCCATCAACACCACCAGGCCTATTGCGCTTCACCGTCAACACGTCCACGTCGCCAAAGTGAATTTGTTTTGACAACGATAACTCCAATAGTGCACCATCCCACTCAAGATTATGCACCCAGCGACTCGGTCTCTTTCCACGCACTCAATATTTGCAATAGCACCCCCACTATGTCAGCCGATTCTATATCATCGCATTATACAGGTCAAAATATGCCCATTCCCCTTATATCCTCGTCTACCGGACCACAGTATCCGTATTACAATACACAGTCTTCTCATGGATCTCAGGGCTTTGTCTCGTTGGCGTATCCACCACGAAGTCGTGCAACGTCTTTTGCTATTCCACATCAAATACGTAACGGATCGATTGTATCTTCCATTGGATCCAGAATGAGTCGGAGGATGTCAGGTTCATCCCAGCATGAAGGGTATGGCATAAATCAGGAGTTGCATGTGTATGGCGATAGAACAGCTATACACGGTGGTGTACATCGAAACAGTCGAGTAAATTTGGCATCCAGTAGCTATGGTGGTGAGAGATTGGGAAATGTCGGACAGCAGTTAAGCCATGTAAGCGATTTACGACGTCAGTCAGCATCCACCATAAGTCAATATGGAGCACATAATGCTCACCAATGCATAGGAACGGGATTCGCATCAACTACTTGTGGCATATCTGAGCCAGGTAGGTCAAGAGTACAACAGCGAGGAATACCATCTACAGATGGATCGATTCAGCAAAATCAAACACATAAAACTGCTCAAAGCCCATATAAACCACTTGACCAAGAAGAACTCTTTTCAGGCTCGATTCGGTCCCAAGCATTACCCAGTGATTCTGGGTATCCATCCTATCAGTCAGATCCAAATCGGCTCAGGGTTTCATCCGGTATAGCCACAACGATCAACAATGAGTCATCATCTACACTTCCACAACTCCAACCCTCTCCCGAGTATGTTGGCTTTAAACGCCAATCGCAAGCGGGTAGTACAGCACTAGTGACTGGAATGTCACTGAACCAAAGAGATACGCCATTACAATTCGATCCCACTTATGACGTATCGTCCAACCCTATCCATAATTCATTAATTCAAGTATCATCCATTCCAATGGCGTACAGTATGTTTGGGCTACCACTCGAGTCTAGCAGCAGATTCATGCAAACGGATATCAATCAGACAACTATGCAAACCCATATCCGTTCTAGACAAAGTTCAAACGCATCTGAAGCAAAAGCGTATATATATCAAATTGGCTTGCCAGATCAGTATATCCATGTCAATTCAAAACAGCCACGGGTTTCAGTACTACTTCATGAAGCATGGTAGCCATAATGAAACGCTACCAGTATATAATTGTGTAATAATAGTGTCAAGTCGAACCAAATAGTGTTTGATCACCTACTACATCTATTTTGTCAATGGTTACAAATAGGGTTGGGAAAATAATAATTCATTTAGCAAATATATTTCAAGCATCAAAACCATAAGGCTAGATTGCAAGCAGTAGTTTATTTCAGTACAGAGAGTTCAAATGATTGTTTACAGTCAAATAAGGCTGGCACAATGGCATGTGTGTTTGATACATTACATAAAATACATGACGTTGGCAAGTTCAGGTTTGACAGTGCTGTATGTAATAATTTTTGCTATTGGGATAGCAGTTGCATCGAGCATGGCATTTTTTCCAGATGATAGTGATCGAATCAATGTCATTGAAATACGATTTGAAACGGAGCGTCCGCCTGAACCACTACGTAAAAGTGACACATTATCATTAGAAGATTTTACGATATTAGAGACATCCTCGCCAGTTGCATGAAATCTTGCTCGAGTAGCAACCAAATGTGCGTAGTAAGCAGGCGGAACAACCGACACAGATCGTGTCGCTCTACAATACAAATAGCACAACCGATATGTCAACTCCTGTAGCGAATCCGAAGTAAACCCATTTTCATCAAATAGCACTTTGTAATGGGTTGGTTTAGAAGTGCCTTGGAGACCTGGATGCGAGCACATGTAGAAATCGAATTCGGATGGATGAGTAACACCTAAATCCACTACTGTGCCAGGTAAAACGTTTCCAGATTTATCCGTGTCTTCTGGTCGAATAGGAAAGAATCTGGCGTGATGTCGTTTCTGAACAATAATAAATGTCACGGTTGGATGGTACTCTGGGTCCAGTGCAGCACACGCTCGTCGAATAGAGTCGATTTCATATCGAAGAACAGTGTTGAATTGAGATTCAGAGACACCATCACGGTAAAAAACAATACGTTCTGGTTTAGCAGAACACGTTTGATAAAATGTTTTGAGAAGCTCTATCATCATGGCTGTTAGATCTTGAATATACTCAATGTTTCTACCACCGTTTTGAATGCGAATGGAAGATGTATACCGTGAGCACTGAGCATCCATTGATCCTACAACGGCTGCAATAGACTGGCTTGATGCTGAGCCAAGGGCAGGATGAGTCAGGTCTGCGCCGAGAATAATTGTTGGGCGTTCACTGACAAAGGGAAGTTGTTGGCTAGATAGATAGCTGTTCATTCCGCCCAGCTTGACATTGATTTTTAAACAAACGTTGGCACAGTACTGTCGTTTTGCGGCAAGCATGTGTTTAGCCTGTAGACATTGAGTAGCAATTCCAATAACGGTATCTGAAACACGTTTGATTTCCGCGTACAGCGAGACGCCAGTGTTGGGAAGAATGCAGACAAGAAGCTGTGGTCTTTCTTGATAAGATTCTCCAGCGATAATATACGCATCAATCAATGCGCGCTCAATGTCACCAAATGGATTGGAATATGAAATAGGCGGTTGCTTATTGGGTACAAAGACCCCGCATTCTTCACATGTTTGAACCATGAGCGTAATGAAGCTTTGGATGGCGGATGTAGAGTAATCTTTTTCGGTGCCAAACACTATAACACACCAAGCTCGCAAGGTGACACCCTGTGCAACCATTTTATCACGAAGGTTCCATGCACCGTCTTGTGGGGTGATCAGCGGTTCCTTGGATCCAGGATGGTATGAGACTTCAGGAGCAGGTAATACGCGTGCAGAAACAGTCACCATCTCATGGTTGATCTGGACTCCAAAGTCAGCGAGATAGTCATTGTCACGCTGCTGAAGAAGAGTAAATCCAGCAGAAATCTTGTTGGAACGAACATGAGGAGCCTGACAGGTGAATTTAATCATATCTGCAGTCTGTCGCTCATTAAGTTTGCGAAGATGACGCTGACCTTGAAATAGTTTGCATACTTCTAGCGGTAAATAGATTGGTCGATTTAAAGTACCAACAACTATGCAAGGAAGATGGGGAAAGGTTAACTTGATGCTATATTTGGTCATGAAATAATCTGCAACATTCTGCTCTGCATTTGTATTATTCAAAGCAAACATGGTTCGAGTTGCAGGTGTGGTAGTAAATTTAATGATGCCATATTTCCGACGCACTGGGTTACGATGTACAGTAATGATTTTTATGCCCTTGAGAGTCTTTTCCAATTTGTTGCGATCCTTTTCAGCTATTGAGTGCTTTAGATCTGAAGCATTGTTTTTCCCCAAGAGTTGTGCAACAACCTGAACAAGAGAGCCTGTATGTCACATGGTTTATTATATTTAGAATTGTGCGACATGAGTGGATACGATGTGGCTGCTAAAATATCCAAGGATAGTATAGTCGACAATTGCTTTTTATAAAATTCCTTACCGGATTGATAGAATGCAGTAGCAGATACATCGATATTGAGGAGCATCTGGCCGCGTGTAGGGCAAAGCGACTGATGAAAGCCTTGCCATAACTGGATACCATTAGCAATTGTCGTTGCCGAATGTGGGGTATAAAAGCACCTGCCAATTGTGGTAAATTGCAATGATGGTCTGTGTCGAAGAAGCACGTCCAAAACATTGATAGCTTCGTGAGGTGTATCAGATACCAGACCGTCAAGAAAGGCACTTAGTCGCTGCATATTGATCGGTGGTAGTTTTGTAATGGTCATGACAAACACCTTTGCTGGTCCTTTGACGGAAGGTGCTGACGAACTTTACAAGACGTTTAAGCAATCCAGTTGCAGAGATTGGATAGTTTGCATTCAAGACGAGACGATTCAGAATAGCAAAAACAGTAAAGAAACACAGGTCAAAGCATGATGGTTAGCTCAGTATGAAACAAGCTAGTGTTGCTGATTAGTTTAATAACAAGGCTTCAATCATTACTTTGATACAAATTCGTCTTCGTCATAGTAATCGACATGAAATAAGGCCGATGAGCCTTCAAATGGAAGAGGTTTTGATGAGTAAATGTTGGTTCTGCCATCATATACTGGAAAGATGTCTTTCAAGGCACCATGCACTCTGGAACCTTCTTCCCATAATTTATAAATACGACGGTTTTTTGCAGGAGGGATCTCGGGTAAGATTTCTACAGAATAGTGATGAATGACTGTTGATGGCAAGGTAGTCAAGGAAAAGAAGTTTGCTCGCACAGGAATCATTCTTCCAGAAGAACCATTGTTGGGTCGACGAGGAAACAATGACATGTAAGTAGTATAGAGCACCGAATGATACCACTTTTTTAGGCGAGACTTTTGCTAAAATAGTCAAAGTTGAGATTCTTTTGATATTCGATGTAGTTTCTGATTAAAATCTGTTTTCTGCTTTTACAAATTTAGTTGTCTAGAATTATTAGTAAGATTCTGTGTAAAGTTTGTAGTAATGTGTTGGGATTTTAATCGGTACTTTCCACTAATTTGGAGGTTTGTAGATAAATGTTTAATCCTTTACAACAGTTCAATTCTATTCAGGTCGCTTATTAAAATCAGACTAAATCTTTGTAATTTTAATGTCAGTTGAACAGTAGATGACGATCAAAGTATTTTGTATTCTTGTTTATGCTTAATTGGATAATCTGTCCATTGGTTATGACTGCTTTAGCTTGAACCTGACTTTGTGATCTTCCCAACCATCGTACCAGAATCTTGTCGATTGACATTGCAAAATGTATTGCAATGGGTTTGATTTGGAATGACTTGGCAGAAAGTGATGCATGGTTACAACAAAAGAGAAAGCACGTTTAAAACTCTAGTTTGTATTACATGATCAAAGTTGATTTGTAATAAACATTGTTGATGCCAAGACAAAACACTCAATGCAAGTTATTTGACGCGAATACGGCCGTGAATGTCAACCGATGAAACGATCCATTCACGGCAGTTGCAAAGACTCGACTGAAATAGCCAAACTGAATCAATGATTTGTTAATATTATTAAAGTATCAATAAAAGTGATTACCACATGTCAATGCATAACAACATTTGACAAGTAGAATATCCACATGCAAGTGTGATTCAACATGACTTGATAAAGCGTGCTGAATATGACTTGGCAACACTCCACGTTAAAAGCAATGACAATGAAGAGCATCGGATTGAAGGATTATAAATTACACTGAAGCTGCCCTTCAAGAACACAACCGATCATAAGTGTGTTTATTCCATCATGACTGTTACCACTACAAATCCTACAGAAGTCAATTCACATCCTGTATTCAAGAATGCTGATGAGCAACACAACTGGGTGCTCATGCAAGGCGCAAAGTCGTCTGTGTTGTGGGGCTCTCTCGGCGGTATAGCTCATATGCTAGCACAACGAACTCTTCAGCCATATCAACGTCTATCGCTGCCCTTCAAGGTATTGATATTAACTCACTTGGTAATACTGACTTGTATTGTTGATCTTAATGACATTTTATGATATCAAATACAACTGGCTGTTTGAAAGTCCTTTCTTCTCATAGCTGTTCCCATGGCCGCATTCTTCACAACTACTGGTGAGTGTTTCAAAATCCTACAATGAGGCTTCACCATCAATTGTAAATCACATTTAGTATCTGATACAAATGTATTGATACTAATCAAAATGGTCAATAATGAATGCATTACTACCAGATCGAGCGGCTATGGAAGCTGATCGTATTCGAGCACAACGGTATTCGATCACTCGAGAAGATGAGCTGAATGTGCGTGAAGTCAGTCCTATTACTGATACTAGTTCTACCAATGACAAACTCAAGCACTATTTGGTTCAAAACAAGTACTCTGTTCTTGGTGAGTAAATGAGTTTTTTAGATCCTCGACTCATTGCTTTAATATTAAGAATACATTCTTACAATGATTGTACGTGCCATTACATTCAATAGGCTACACATGGCTGGGTGTAGTAGGATTGTCTCTTGCGTACAACTTTACCAGACCCAATACTGCCATGTCACAGAAGCTCATCAACTCTCGTATGGTTGCACAATCGGCAGTGCTACTTGGTTTCGCAGGGCTCGCTGCATTGTCTACTACAGCTACTCCCACTGTTACTGTTGATCCTCATTATGAGCGTATAATGCATCAGGAGCAATCCACCAAATCTCATTGATTTTTTATTTCGCCAAACTTGATTCTATTGGCGACTATTTTATTCTTACAGTTGCATTCATGTAAAACGGAATACTTTTTTGTATCTTGTATTGGCTGCTTTTTGTTTCAGAATAAATCATGGTTAAATACTCGTTATGCTTTCCTACTAGACATGAACTGCCTTGTCAATGGATATTTTTAATGCATGCAATGGCTCAACAGACCATTATTAAATTATTATCAGATTCAAGAATGAGCAATATGCAGCTTTACTTTGCAACATTGCTGTTTAAACGTTGATGTGCCATGTTGAATGAGTGAATTTGTCAGAGTTTAGTGGACACAAATGCTAGTAAATGTAATGCGAATCATTCCATGAAACTGGCTGTTTATTATGTATGTTGACATCTGTTTAGTTCATTCCACATGAATATGGCTTATATAGATTTTGAGTAATTTGATTGCAGTTCAAGGCTATACATTGATTCTTTCTGTAGATAGAGCTACACTCACAGTACAGTAACTACAAGTTAATAGATCTACTATAGAAATTTTGGTGTCTGATGTAGACTAATGTTGCAATTGACTTCTACACTCTTCATTTTCCAAAGTAAACCAACTTGTTGTATTCCTCGACTATTTGTTGGGAGCTGTTTTTTCATTTATTTTGATTGAAACTGCATAATCTTTTTTTCGACCTCGGGTCTAAAGTGTCTAATTAGACCTTGTACAGGCCAAGCCGCAGCATCCCCCTAATACAAGACATTCAAACCAGTAAAAATAGTTAGTCTTGATGTTTTAATCACTCCAAGACAGCAATCCAAATACGTATATAATAAGCTTACCAAGGCACAGATAGTGTGGCCTTCAATCTGGCGTGACAACTCCTCAATCATGTCAATCTCGGCAACCTTTGCATTCCCTTTTTCAAAGCGACGCATCATGTTGGATAGCCAAGTGGTACCTTCACGGCAGGGAGTGCATTGTCCACACGATTCATGTTGATAGAATGCGGACAACCGCGAAATCGCATGAACAATATCTGTGGACTTGTCCATAACAATCACTGCAGCGGTGCCCAAGCCAGACTGCATGTCGCGAAGGGAATCAAAGTCCATCAAAGCATCTTCGCACATTTTTCGAGGAAGGACGGGAACAGAAGAGCCGCCAGGAATAATACCAAGAAGATTATCCCAACCACCACGAACACCACCACAGTGTTTATCAATCAGTTCACGAAGTGGAATAGACATTTCTTCTTCAACAGTGCAGGGATTGTTGACATGACCAGAAATGCAAAACAGTTTTGTGCCCGAGTTGCGTTCGCGGCCAAATCCAGCAAACCATGATCCACCACGACGCAAGATGGTGGGGGCAACAGCAACAGTCTCGACATTAGCAACAGTGGTTGGACATCCAAAAAGACCAACATCGGCAGGGAAAGGTGGCTTAAGCCTGGGTTTACCGGCCTTTCCTTCAATGGATTCAATCAAAGCGGTTTCCTCGCCACAAATGTAGGCACCACCACCACGATGAATGTAAATATCAAAATCATAGCCAGATCCACAAGCATTCTTTCCAATCAAACCAGCCTTGTATGCTTCATTGATGGCGATCTGCAGGTTGGATGCCTCGTTGTAAAACTCACCGCGAATGTAAATGTAACAAGCGGTAGCATTCATTGCACGACCAGCAAGCAGACAACCCTCGACAAGCTTATGGGGATCATGACGTATGATTTCTCTGTCTTTGCAAGTTCCAGGCTCGCCTTCATCAGCATTGACAACAAGATAACGAGGACGACCGTCAGGACCACCGGGTTTGTTCATAAAACTCCACTTGAGACCTGAAGGAAAACCAGCTCCACCACGACCACGCAGGCCAGATGTCTTCATTTCACTAATAATCCAGTCATGGCCCTTGAGAATAATCTCTTTGGTCTTGTACCAATCACCTCGCTTCTTTGCTCCTTCAAGTTTGAAGTCATGACGACCATATAGATTAGTAAAAATACGGTCGTTGTCAGAAAGGTTGCCGTATGTGCGAGTAGCAGCAGGTTTAGAACTTGAAGCAACAGTAGCTAGGCCAGAAGTAATGACTCTTGAGAGTGGTGTATTGACTGCAGCAGCAGTAGTGCGAATGCATTCAACAAGGTGTCAGTGAGCCAAAGGTCAATGCACACACACAAGGTTTTAGTGGTAACAAACAGTCATTTACCAGAAACAAGTCTGCAAGCAGTCATACTGATAAAAGAAGATCGCAGCATTCCAATAGTAATAAAATTCTCTTTGCTATTCAGCAATCTCCACACTGACTTTTGGTGTGGGCAAGAAACTATTTTTTAAAATTCAAAGTTCAACTTGCTGTTCAACACTTTTATTGGGTTTCAATGTCAAGTTGCTCCACAGAGTCGTACAATTCTGAACAGTTATTAGTGGATGAAGCCAATCAGGTATTTATTTCTGATGTTTTATTATTCAAATTGAATTTACTGATTCAATCTGATCTTGTTAGAATTTACCCAATCAGTCCGATATAAACGTATTGTCTTCATTCATTAACCAGTATGTGTTACCAATCTTGTCTTTTATTTTAATTCGACTTGGAATGGTTTTACTTTCTATTTTCCAACATTCAAGATTTGCTAATATTCATTAAATTCACTTGCTGACTACTACAAGGGATGTGTATCAAATTGCATACTATACTGTATCACAAATGTGTTCAAAAGATATAGATTGGGCATTTCATCTAGTCAAAACTAACATGGAACAATAGTTGAGTATAAACTGCTGGTTTTAAACCACTACAATTCATCAACACTGTACAACTTATTCTACAACAATATCTTGAATAATCTAGTTATAGACAGAGCAGAGATATGGGCTGGCTTGATGCATCCAAGTACAAAGAAATGACCGAGGAAGATGCACGATACATTGTTTTGATTTTAAAATCATCACAAACACCTGTTGGATTTATTCACTGCAGATTCACTATAGATGATGACTTGGATCCAATCACGCACGAACAAACACAGTTGGCTGTGATCTATTGCTACGAAATTCAGTTGGATACTCTTGTGCAACGTAAAGGATTGGGACGTGCTTTGATGACTGCAATGGAGTCGCTGGGCAGGCTTCATCAAATGCAAAAGTGTAAATTGACCGTGTTTAAACATAACCCAACTGCAATGGCGTTTTATACATCTATTGGGTATGTAGTGGACTGTACATCACCTAGTATGCACATGTCTGAAAAAAGAGCTTCAAGAGTGTCGTATGAGATCATGTCAAAAAGATTGCTAGATACGTAGTTTTATTGGTTGATTGTGACTCGACAAAATGCTTCCAAAGATACATTGGCTGGATTTATCTGGTCAAACCATTGCACACCACATATACAGCTGTATTCAAGCCTTGATCAAACAAAAACTACTTGAATAAAGATAGTCTTCCAAAAAGATTCAGACACTTGGAAACAGAGAAAAATGTACTAAAGTATTCTGTAAAAAGTCAAGCCAAAATTCAGTAGTAGGTGAAAAGGAAAGCGTAGCTATCCACTTGCTTTCTGAAATCAATAAAATAGATTAAACAAAGTTGCCAAAAGAAGAGGCGTATTTCATAGGTCCAATCGAAGGATGCTGCAACAGTCAAGGAAAGCAGTAAGCAATCAAATTCTATATTCTAACCCATTAAAATAAACAACCAAAACACTTACAGGAACAGCTTCAAACTGATTATACTTGAGCTTTAGATCTGGTGTAATATGAATATAAGCACCCATATTTCCAGTAGAGTCGCAGTAATTAGGTGCACTAAAGATCGTAATGCATTTGCCATTGTGTGCTATCTCGTACCCACCATGCTTGACTTCATGGGATCGAATAAGCAAATCAAGATTGTTCATCTTCAAAAAGTTTTCAGTCACATCCGGTCCAAATTGAATGCCAACACCGCGCTTGCTGGCTGAACGACCCATTTCTGGCTGTGGATCACTCCAAAGGAGTTCACACATGAGTCCTTCGTGACCAGGCTGCTTAAACCGATCAATCTTGCGTAGATCATCCATTGTGACATCGTCACGTGAAAACAGACCACCATGAACAACCAAAATCTTTTCGTTGATGAGGTTTCCAATTGGGACTGCATTGAAAATCTCGGAGAAAAGTCTAAATGTAAGTTCAGAATACTTTGCCTTGACTTCGCCTTCAAACCCATACACTTTGTTCATATCATCAGCCTCATGGTTTCCACGAGATAGGTATACAGCGTGGGGGTAGAGCAGCTTGAATGAAAACAGAGTAATAATACACTCAACAGAGAATGAGCCTCGGTCAACAAAATCACCATTCCAAAGATACATGTTGGTAGGTGAAGGAAGACCGTTGTTGTCAAATATATTGAGCAAATCGTAGTATTGGCCATGTATATCTCCGCACACGGTGATTTTGCCATCTGCTGGAATGGTAATGTCAATAATAGGAGGGAGGGCTTCAAAGAGTGCCTTGACTGCAATCAAAATCTGCAATGTGTATTTGCGGTGAAGTTTCTTTTGATTTTTCATATACTCGAGCAGATTCTTGACAAACTCTAGCGTGATACCAGACTTGATATCCAAATGAGGTCCATCATAACTTGAGTATTTAAATTAGCATAACTAATCAAAGCAGTCACATCACATGCAATCAAACACTTACGAATCATCAACAATAATCTCATCCACGTTTCCAATACGATCCAAAATGTTTATCTTGTTCTCTTCAAAACCAATAGCTTTTTCAAACTCAATCCGCTTTTGTTCCTTTTCACATTGAGCCAGTTTGGTTCTAGCATCTCGATCTTGAGGTGTAGATTTTACAACAGTGCGTAAATCCTTGATAGCATCTATGCCGTTTAAAACAGTGTTAGAGGTGTAGATCAAGACTTTAACATCATTGAACGGCTATAGTCTTGATAATAAAATGATATGACACACCTTTTAGCTTTCCAAGCGCAATGTTTCCAACAGCGCGACGATAGTAGCCCTTGATATAAGAAGAGTCGATCATAATGGCATCCGAAGCATCCAGAACGGCGGCTGCGTAAAGTTCCTGCTTGGTATAGGCTGATTGGCAATTGTAAGTGACATCAAGCATTTTTCTATATAGTGAATTCAATATCATTTATTTTACCAAAAGCACGGTTGGCATAGTACGCTGCATTGGTTGGATTGTGGGAAATGGCTTCGGTGTATTTTTCAATGGCCTTTTCAAATTTCTTGGCAGCAAAAAGTTTATTCGCTTCATTTTTGATCTATTTTCAGGTTAAAAATGACCATTTATCCAGAGTTAGTACAAAAAATCTTGAACATTTACTTTGTCGGTACAATGCCATATGAAAAAAGCATGAGCCAATCAGTTGGAATAAACGCATAGTGACATCTAGTGTTATATGAATAATAGCAACTAAACATTATAAGTGATCCAATCTTGGATTGATAGCACAATCTGATGCAGCCATAATGTCAAGAGCCTATTGCTTTGAAATACCCTTTTTCAGATGAACTAATCCAATACTATGCTCAACATACAGCTGTGATCAAATCAAACAGTTATTCTTGGATCAAGTTGGCATACTATGATGGTCGATTCCAAAAAGGTCGAGCCTTGAAGTTTTGATCAAACTGGGGTTGTGGGTATATCTGCAAAGAGCTGAGTTGTATCCCTAGTAAGCATTCAACAATGACCTAGTCGATTTCTTGAAAAACAAATTTCTAGCAGATAAATGGGCATATACTTTAAAGCTATGCCCATAATCAAGTTGCAAGCTCTCGGGCCATTGAGAAAATTACACATAGATTGGTAAAGTGGAAGCTATCTGGCTTCACATCAAAAAGTCGAACATCTCCGACTTTGATGCCGCAATCAAGATTGGATGTATTCTGATACTGTTTCTTGTAAATGAGTATAGATATGAGGGAGATAAGGACCAGCCAGCAATCCATTCATTTTGAAAGGATTCAGAAAGTCTTTTTAAAGCCAGAGATGGCAAGCAATATATATAGATTCCGATTTACACACTAGCCATGTGAGCTCTATGTATCGTTATAGTTTTTAAAATGAATCCTTGAACACAATACAAATAGTCAAGAGCATATTTTGGTTTATCCAGAACAGATTACAATAAGTTCAGAACCAAAGCAAGCAATTCTTGGGCATCAATAAAAGCGACTTGCCTCTTCAGCCTTGAGTTTGTCGGCTTCAGATACTTGCAAAGGCAAGATCGTATTAGGTGTAGAAAGAGAAGGTGAGGCAGTCATCATCTGAACAAAGCAAATGATGGATGCAACAACTGGATCGAAACAAAGTCGAGTATTCACTTATAGCCGTATTCACGTCAAACATTAAATAAGGGTGCCAGAACACATAAACCGTTCCATGAAACGATAATTTCCACTCAATTTACTGTGTCGACTCAAGTCCCTGCAAAACGTTGATTGATTTTTCCGTGCTCATTTCTATGTAAAAAACTGAGCAAGTGTTCAAAGCAGCATTTACATTTCAGATCCTCGACATTTGTTCAACTCTCCCTTTTTGAAAATCAAATATCGAGTGAATAGCATGAAAACGACGGTTGTGTTGAGGATGTACAATCTTTGCTTTTTTTGAACCGAGTGCAATTGTATCAGATTATCAAAACTATAGTGATTGTATTATATAATGAACCTAGTATTCAAAGAATTGAAAAAGTGATCAGTGTGTAGTAGGAAAGCACTAGACATTTAATCATTGATCATTCCAAAGTAAAATAGTGTTTTATTTTACGTGAATTCAACTGTAGCAAATGGTTTAAAATCTCGTCAATTCCTGCAAATGAGCTGCAAGAATGGCTTTGTCAGTGACAGATAACGATGGTTTTTTGGCATACTCGACAAGTTTAGCAAATGTAATGAGTGATCCAAGTGAAAATTGGTGTGCTTGTTGAGAGCTTTGATGGCACACCTGGCGCTCTTCAAATGATTTAGCAACATCTTCGGCTCTATCCACAATCTATAATCAATTTAAATAAAATATAAGTTGCTAATTTTCTCAACATTCTATTCATGCATACAATCAAACAAACTACCTTTTTGGGGACATTGGCCAGACTAGCCACATTCATACCGTACGATTTTGGACAGTTTCCGTGTTCAAGCTTGTACAAAAATGTGACTTGTTTGCTGTATTGATTAATGATATGTTGGTTACATAATAATTCTTGACAGGATCAAAGAGTTTTGAAACAACAACTTACTTGACTTGATCGGCAAAGAAACTCATGTGCATCATTTTAATCAAAGGGTGATTATGGAATTCGTTTGTTAGAGTTCCATAGTGAGTGCTAAAGAGTCCGAGACTGCGCACATTGGTGATCAAGTGGTTCAGTACAGCATATGCAATGGCATATCCATCATAGGTACTAGTGCCGCGTCCAAGTTCGTCCAGGATGACTAGAGATCGTGGTGTAGCTTCTCGCAAAATTTTGGACGTTTCGGTTAGCTCCACCATGAACGTAGATTGCCCAGCCATGATGTTATCACTTGCACCTAAAATCAGTGTGTGACAATAAAAAAGTAAAAGGTTTATCAAATAGTTGAAACAAGTTAGAGTATTGAGATGTTATAGAAATGGCTCAATCAAAATTGAAACGTACCAATCCGAGTAAAAATACGATCAAATGGAGTTAGGCGACATTTGGCAGCTGGAACATAACATCCTAGTTGTGACATAATAACAGCAATGCAAGTCTAAATACAAGGGCTTAAAATATGAGCAAGCTGGACATAAATCAAACTAAAATATTTAAATATTAGCCTTCTTACCTGACGTAACAGTGTAGATTTACCACCCTAATTGAAGCAAGTCAAGTCAGGGATTAGACATTGATATAGAATAAGATCAAGACGATAAAAACTCTGTTTACCATATTGGGTCCGGTCAGCAAAATCATTGTTGCGTTTCCAGAATCACCACCCAGACAAGTGTCGTTGGCAATAAAATTGTCACCGATACTACAAATAGCAGATATATTGAAAAGTTAATTTTTGATTTGTTTAAAAATGCCATGTTGGTGGCAATTTATCCAGTACAAATAGCCTACCTTTGTATAATGCAAGGGTGTCGCAACTCTTTCAACTCCAAAATACTGGGTCCTTTATTCACAAACTCCGGTCGGCATATAGGCTCTATTTGATATATTGAACAACCAGCGTGCAATTATATTTAGCAATGTCATATAAAAATACAAGATCAAAGCTTATATTAGGATGAAAATAGTTTTTGACTTGCCTGACATGGATTGGCGACAAATTGTAAGTGACATTAGACAGTCAAAAACAGAAAGGTCTCGAACAACCTTTATCCTAAAATAGTGGAACAAGATTTACAAAAGCTAAGAGCCAATTCATCACTGTTTCAATCTCAACCAACTTACCATCCTTTGTACTGGGTATCAAATTTCTCAAACACACGTGTCTTGATTTGTCGCATGGCTTCTTCACGTATTTCTTGTGCTTCGAGCATCTCGTTGATCATTTCACGAGATTTAGTTGTGTAGTATCGATTCACCGCCTTTCAAACCATTGAAATGCATAGTACAGCATATCCAGCATATCAAATCACGAGTCAGTTGATGCTACAGTGTTACAAATATATTCATTAAACAAATAAATCACCTTGGTATTGCTCATTACAGTCCAATCTGATGGAACTTTGATTTTAGCTGGAATCTCCATTTGAAAAATTTCCTTGCCAATATTTTTAAAAGTTATTCCGTTGTAACTAATATCGGTATTTAATTTGGTTAGTGCTAGTCTTTGCATTGCCTCAATTCATGAGTGTGTTGAATGCACGAGTCTTCAAGGCAATGAGATTCTCGTTTTTTAAGCAACAGTAAAATACCTGAGCTTTTTTTCGCATTCGCGGCGATATACATCAAGCTTTTTCTCAATGGCGACCACATTTTTATCTGCAGAATCAAATACATCGTCATATCCAGAATGCAGTCGAATTTTCCCTAATATATCCATGTAATACAATGAAAAGATGACATGCAAGTGTTTAGTTTACATAGTATCCAGACTCTGTAAATTACAACAAAACCAATGATTCTATTTTAAAACAAAAATCGTCCAACCTTCATCAAACGCATCTTGATGATTAAAAGCCACTTTAAAATACTGAATTAATTCCATAAGCTCTGGATTTAATATTTCAGAAAATAAAGGTTTTAATAGTGCGGATTGAAGTTTGCCAATGTAAGACTGACACTCTGTCATGACTGTCTATACATTATCAATTGATCAAAATTCAAATCATTAGTTTGCCATGAACAGATAATATTACAAAAACACAACTTACAAAAACACGATCAAATGCAGCAAGAGCCAATATAAAGTCTTTTATATGACAACTCTTTGTGTGTATACGTGCAACAATGCGTTCAAGATCGGGAAGCTTAGAGATATTGGAACGAACAGTATCTAGGCAAGTGGAATTAAACACAAAGTATAGACGTTAGTGTTGCACATATACCAAGATATATCGTTTTAACTGTTCTACCTAATAAGCCAACAATACTAGTAAAATCATCAATTGCATCCAGCCGACTATTTAGCAAATCAATCGATTGAAGTGGGTGACAGAGCCAGCTAAAATTCAATAAAGTTTAAATGAGTAGTGAAACATGTTATTGTTATATCTGTCAAAGGTAAACATGCTTTGGATTTTTTAATACAATACATACAGTTTAAATAGTCGCTTTCCAAAAGGAGTCACGCATTGATTTAAAAGTTTAAATAATGTACCACGATCAGATCCATCTGATGAATTCTCAAACAGCTCCAGATTCACAAGGGTTTGTCCGTCAAGAATCAAAGTACCACTTGATTTGATGGGATCATACAAGTGGAAATTCTTGGCGGATACCAAACTGGTATCCAATTTAAGCTAAATACACAAACAGATATGAGTACATCTACGGTTTCAATTCTTGAATGCCAATGCAGCATGTAAATTTAAGCTTACAGAACGCAGATAGAATAGTAAACCACCAAAAGCAGACATGGCGATAGAATGGTTTATAGATTCGCGCAATGCTTGTGGCCAGGATGAGTCAACTGTCGAGCTTGATTCATTTGGCAAAGTAGATGCCATGTCTTTAAAATAGCCACCTCTATTAAGCTCGTCCATTGTAACCTCTTCGTCCCAAAACTCTTTGTCTCTCAACAAAAAATTGAATATTGGATTTTCAAGACTGTTTTTGAGTATTCGCATAGTTGCTTTACTCAACATGCCCTTGTGATATAATTTCAACAATACAATGTATAAAAACGAAGTTGATTAAAAAAATCGACCTTTTGAAATACGCCATTTTTCAAATATCCTTAAAAACAGATAATTACCTTTTCAAGAACAAGCTCAGTAGGTTTAACCTGCATAATCAACGTAGTAAATTTGGTGCGATCAACGTCGTCTTCAAAAGTGCAAATGTTGAATTCGGCAGAAGCAGTGTCAACAAAACATATTCCAAAAGTAGGTGGTAAATGTTCTGCAGAAACTTCCTCCTAGTCCATGGCATACAGTCATTAGTATAATTATAATGTTGATCCATGAAAATAAGTATACTAACCTTGATAGCCATGCAGTAAGTGTTGAGGTCGTTTGTAAGTAAACCGGCATCAACTAGAGTGCCAGCAGTCAGAACGCTAGTGAGCTCGCGTCGAATGATTTTGTCCTCCTTTACAATACATTCAATACCATTACATTTTAGATTCAATCAAAGGGCAGTTCATTGCAAGTGTATTTTTGAGCGCCATACCTTTTTAGAAGATTCACGATCACGAATTGCTTTTCCAATGGAGTTTTCCATTTGTTCAACTTTTGCTACTTTAAATCCTTTGGCAATGAATTGAGCAGCCTGCGAAGTTCAAGTAGAAGCATGTGAGAGTGTTGCTTGAATTATAAAGTCTATTATTTGGCCCAACAAGTGCATTCATATTACTTACCCAGTGATCAAAACTACTTTCAGGAACTCCAACCATTCGCATATTTACACGATCTGTACGCTTTAAATCAAACTTTTGGTGCCCAATATCAGCGTCCTTTTCGTATAGTTCTATAAAATCCAACACAAAAATTTAGTAAACTACAATAAGCACAATTAGATATCATTCTTATAAATCAATCGGCTAGGCTAGATTACCATAAAATTTCCCTTTTTTGAAAAACACAACAGTGTCCCAATGAGCTGCCTAGACAAAGTATGATGATTCATTTTAAAAACAGTAAAAAATTAGTCTTCTAAAATGCCATTGTTCTATTTATGAAAATAGGGTGCCATTTGCTTACTTTGATTTCCCAAAACTGTTTTTCAAAAGGAGTGAAATTTGCCCATGCGCTTGGAGGAATGTAAAGTGTTCGAGGATCATAGTTGGGATCATCTGGCGCATTTTTGTTTGCATCTTTGATATCTTGTAGCCAAGAGTATCTAAGTTCGTTTTTGTCTTTAAACTGTGCAATTCGTTCCTAATAACCATGCATGAAAAAATCAATTATATTGAAAAGTGGGCATTTTATGAGTCTGTTAGTATCATTGGTATCACAATACATCCAATAAGCAATATGGAAAATCACCTTTTTTCTATCAGAGTTGGTCAATGAAGCCAATCGACTACCATGCCTAGAGGGTGACGGCGTGGTATTCTAGAAAATTCAAGATTAGCACCATACTAGTTGTAGTGATTAGTTTATACAACTTACTGATAATGATGGCGACATATCCCGGCGCGTAGTAGTATCCGAGTTTTTCGGAGTACTAGAGCAAGACTTTGTTGGTGTATATGCCTGCAAGTTTATTGGACTGCTTGCCACTTTTGATTTGGTCATTTCTAAAATACAAAATCCAGACAATTTTAAAAACATAAAAAGGGCATTATAGTGTGTATCAGACTGCCATTTTGTATTAGAAACTCGATTTACCATTGGGATTGAGCATACAGCTAGGTGTATCGCTATAATCATCATCATCCTTTTCAATGATTGTCTGACGATTTTTTGCTCGCAATTTTAGCAGCGGAATATCTGTTGACAATCAAATTATGAGTCAAAATAGTGTGTTTAGTTTGCGAGTGATTGTCACAAGCCAATACCAATGCATACCTTCGTCACTATCTTGCTCAATGTATGAATTGGCTGCAGACCCTGATCGAGGCTATATCAAATGTGATTAAAATGTGCAGACATCAGATTGAATGCTCAAAATAACAGTAGATAAGCCGCTTACTCTTTTCAGCCCAAGCGAATTTGAAAGAGGGGATGTGACGCTCGAAGCATTTTCAGCGTTTAGTTTGGAGGGCATGAGCGTGTCCGAAAGCTCATTCGATGCGGTGTCTGATTGGCAAATGGAGTTGTGCGACCCAAGTAATTGCGATCCTATCAGATTCTGAGTTTTTGAATGCAATGGAGATACACTTGACAGATGATCCAAGACTGAGCTATTTGAAGATTGACTGGCTAACGACACAGAAGAAACTGCTCTTGGTGGCCATGCTTTGGGTTTTTCAGAAGTAAATTGATGAGTAGAACAGGATTGATGGTCCGATTCAGTCAATTCTAATTAAAGCGTAGTTGATGTGATCATATAGATATATAGGATTACAAGGTTGATCATGAATACAATTGCAGATATCAATTCTGCAATTAGATTAAAAATGAGATTTATATACAAGTACCTGCTAAAAATAAAGGTTTGGATGGCTCTACAATGGGAGTATGAACTGAAGCAGTGGATGGCTTAGGAGTCAGAAACGACATGAGAGTCATTTGTTTTGAAGGCTGTTTAGCACTACCAGAACGAGAAGTTCCATTATTTTTGCCAAAAGACTCGGAGGGTTTTCGAGTAGGAGTCATACTGTTTGATGCAAGTCTGTTTTCCTTATTGCTCATTGCTCAATATAATTCAATTGCAGATCCAGCTGTAAGTTCAATTGCAGATCACGGCTAATGGTAAAATGAATGAGAATGAAGAGTAAATTGGATAAAATGGAATTGTTCATCTGTCCATTTGAATGGCAAGATTATTATCGCTCGTGTCTGCTGCATTGTGGTAACAATTTGACTTGTTGTCACAGCCAGTTTGCTGTCAATCTGTTCCTCTCGATCCAATACAGTACAATACCACATCAGTCTTGTTCTGGCACGATCTTCAACATTTCATCTATAGAGTCTGTATGATAATCTAAACCAATCGTGCAATGTCACAACTCAAACTCTTGTTTTTGAAAGGTTACAACAGCTGTCTGTTTGATATCATCAGTGTTTTAAAACATGTCAGGATTGGGTTGTTGGAATATAAATAGATGTTTCTATTCATTTTGTCCGAGTGGTGATATTTACAGCCATGTTTACATGGAATGGAACATGAAATGTAACATGAAATGGAACATTTGTATATATCTTGCAGTCACTATTTTGCTTTGGAATAAATAATCGTTGGATAATCGCTGAATAATCGTTGTTACAAATTGGCTGCCTGTTTGATAGACACAATGTTCATTGTGATAGTCACTCAAACTATAGTTTTGAACCGAGATTGTCCACATTTGGCATGACCATACATTGTACAATCACTGTACTCATTGATTGCAATCTATATATTGGTTTGACTGTTTTGATGCTGCCAAAACAACTCATATCTGTTGTATAGTAAACTTGTATGTTCGCGCTCTAGTCCAAGAATACAGTATATTTCAAGAGTACAGCAGCTGTTTCCATGTCACCCAATGACTGGTTTGTAGGAGAGTTGCAGATTGAACAAGTATGGATACTGATTTGAACACTCAGTCAGTTGCTTACACAAGCATGATCATGGAGACCAGTCAAGTAGAGTTCACGCTGTTCAGTAAATCCAATGAAAACTGACCAATCATGTCATGAAACGAGCAGTTTATTATTTATTTAGCACCCTTATTTGGTGTTCCATTTTACGTGAATACGGATATAATTGGCACTGTTAATGTCGACTACTTCCGCCTTCAATACTATTACCCATCGTCTATAATTTGTCATTTTATATCTTATTTTTGCTTATTGAATATGCCATTTTCTAGTGTCAAACCACAGATACACTCACTATCTTTTTCAACTCCTGTTCTGTATGAACTGGAACATCTTCCACCGCCCACTCCAAACACCGCCAATATATTCAAACATTCATCCATGATAAAAAACAAACACACATTTACAAGTATAAGTCGCCAAGATGTATCCAGTATCAAAGATGTCCAGAACACTCTTGACAAAGGTATCAGATTTGGCCATACTAGATCTGGCAATTATATTGACATTTGCTTCCTTATTAAAACAGATGATCGTTTAAGCAATTTACCTACACATTGCCTGCCTCGTGTGTCTGTGGTAATGGAAGGAAAAGCCAAAATCACATGCTTGCTGAATACCTCTTGCTCACTTGCAGATGTTATCCAAGACCTATGCGAAAATCACTTTATGGTTGCCTCTCCTGATCGGCAAAAAAACAAAGATTTCAGTGAACCTCACATTTTATCAGATCCAGAATCCACTTTGGTTGCAAACACTTATAATTTCTCAAATGATTATGTACTTCGTGTCTGCGAAACCGAAGAGCTAATCACTGATGACAAATTCTACTCTTCCAAAGTAGCCCACGGAACCAATCTTAAACTTTCACTTTCTGCACATCTGCTGGCTCCATCCATGTGCGATTCTTTGGCAGATCCTGTTGATAATGCCTCTTTAAAAAAAAGTGTTTTTTTATTGCAAAAGTATCTCAAGGTATATCAAGTATGCTGTACATACTACTATCGAGTCAAACTTTGTATTCTTTACTCTCTCACCAATCATATACATCACTTTATTTGTCAAAATTTAGGAGACCGAGTTTCGAAAGCACTTTTTAGATGTAGGCGGATTCATACAGTTACAAAAAGTTGCTATTACTGCCCAACAAAACACGCTGGCTTATACTCTTGGGTGTATCCATACCATAATTGAGCAAGAATGGGTGTCAATCAATCAAAATTTAGTCAGCTCATCTCCTACTGTGCTGCTTGATTGTACAAACGTACCATTGTGGTGTTGTTTTACCAACGAATTTCTTGAAAAGGTACGTCTATTTGTAACGCTTCAATGAATAATAAGCCGCTGTATGGTATTACAGACTCCTCATGATTACTTGTCAATTTTATAATTAATGTGTACTATTTTAGCTGGCCTTTTCGCTGGCAGTAGAAGTTCCGGGAAATATATTCAAGCCAATAACGCTGATCTGCATATGGCTTCTGAGATCATCTACACTTTCCAAATCCGTTGACATATTTTGTAAATACATTGCATCGCAGCCCTCTGTTTTGTCGAACCTTGTACATTGCATCACATCATCCTATCCAGAAGTCCAGCTTGGATCTCTTCAACTTCTAAACTCATTACTCACATTTCCTCCTGAGCGACGTCGTGCAGTGCTGATGAGATTGGCCGATTCGTTTGGTATCCGTAAATCTGTGGCATGGCTCATGAATCACCATGCTGATCAAATGTTTCACGAAAGTTTAATTGAATTTCAGCATATTGTCGCGTTAGACTACTTTAAGGGAAAGCATACCAAAGTCGATACTGAGCTTGCTACTCATGCCAACGTTCTAGATGAAATATGGTCATTTGCAGACATATCATCCAACGGGGATAAAAAATGGCGATTGATTGGGTTTTTGGTAAAAATAATTTTAATGCTGAATGTTTTTATGCATTCGTTTTACCATGGTTTGAATATATAATTGACACTGTGCTTTGTTTGGATGTAGACAGAAACACCTACTATAGAACTGTCCCGTGTTGGTGTGCTAGGCTTGGCAAATTTTCATTTTTTCATTTGTAAAAATCGCAAAGAGTATCGGCAGGTTAGCTAAATATGATACTAATATTGCTTCTTAAACGTTTCAGCGAATTAAAAAGTGTTTATTTGGCTTTGGCCTTAGTTTGTCATTGATCAGCTTGCATTATCCGAGGAATTTAGATGTCCGGTTGCACGGGCCGCCATTGAAGTATGCGATGTTTTACTTGATGTCTGGCAAGATTTTTTTAAAAGTAAGCATACATTTTCCCCAAATATACTCGAGTAATACATTTGATCACACACTATGTCTCGGTTATTTTTATTAACCACATACCAATCTTAGAGTCTGTGATATCTAGATATCAACCCCTTTTCTTACTTTTTGAAGAACTATTTGCCATTACACTACGAGCTTTTTTTCGTTTTTGGGTTGATATGGATGCACGCCAATCAGAATCAGAAATTAAGCGTGTTGTGGCCACTTTGAAATCCCATATAGTATCAACACTACAGAGCATTAGCGATGATGAAAAAGTTGCTTTAGATTTATTTTACAAGGCCATGCTTCAAACATCATTAACCGATATTCGCTCAGCCCAGCTGAAGATGAACAAACAGGCAGAAATGACAACCTGCTCTGATTATCTGTAAGTTGTATTGTGTATATTTAAAAAAATACATCTCAATGGTTTTCAAGACTGCATAAATGCAGTTTATTTTGTAGTATAGATGGCATTAATTGATTATAAAACTATTAAATATTTTTCATCAACAGCCAAGCAAAAGCTGCAATCAACAGTTCTGCGCGAGAATTTATTTTCCAGCAACGCATCTTGACAATGAGGCGAGGGGATTTTTTTTCAATGGCAAATAATGACAAGAGTCGGTCAAAAACGGTGCGTTTGTATAAGCTCAATGCCAAGTGTACCAAACTCATGTGGATTGATTTTGAAAACACCCCAACGCGTGATGTTGCCGACGACAAGTTTCCTAATCATGGTATATTTAATGCTAAACTTTTTTGTTCAAGTAAACCGTATTTTCTATCAAGTGATTGTTGATCTGACGTAATTGTATGGATTTGTAGCAAGAGTACGCGATCTAATTGAGCTCAAGACACAACAAGCTTCCAGTAAGCAGTCGCCAGACAACGCATTACCTTGCAATCTACTGTTTTGGGCATCGTTTAAACAAAGTAACAAAGTATTTAAAAGCATCATTTTACAAACCAAGGATTCAAAATCTCCAAACATAATTGATCAGCGGCTTCCATTCCAGTGTAATTCTACCCATCAATTTATGTGTTGGCTAGATGGACTTTCTATGCTTATGAAAGAAAGTCCTATCTTTTTTGCAGGAAACGAAACAGAGCGATACATACACGATGTTGCTGACAATCAATTCACATTATGGCAGATTTCGCAAGAGGGATTGAAAAGTCCTATCAATTATTTACCAGAAATTCCATCCCTACCAACATCATGGGATTTCTGGTATGACGAAAAGTGCATGGATCCAGTTTTTGTAACGCATTGATTAGAAACTCAATGGTAGCTTATTTTAAAAAATATACATTCTGTAATGAAACAGAAACGTCTGATTAGCCAACTATGTTTAATAAAACAGTACTGTTTATAGTTTCAATAGTATGAGTGATTATTTTGAATTCTATGTCAATTCTGCATAATTTGTGAAGTTGCAAGGAATGGAATGGCTTATAGTCGTATTTGCACAAAATGGAACACTAAATAAAAGTTTGTGTAATGAACATTCAGTCATGTTTAATTGAGTTGATGTACTGGACAACATTGTGTTTTTTTCGAATCGTCGTGTAGAAACAGTTTGAGTGGTGTTTAGCATTTAAACATGTCCTTTTATGTATGAATCTCTACTTTCTATAATACATTGTCGTCAAATCATTTATGAATGGCTTGACAACTCTGTAGTCATCAACACCTGGACAACAAGACTTTGTGAACGCACTTGTGGACTTTTACCAAGTGCAAATATCTCGACCAGCAATGTCAATGATCTTGATAACAATATTACATACAAACACCAACACTTGTGAGTGGCAGACAGATTGACAAGAAATGTGTACAAGCTTTTATTGACAATATCTAAACAAATTCAATGTCTAGATTGAAATGGATGAATCTGGTACCAAACTTGACAATCGTACAATGTATGACTATTCAAACAAATCCAGAATTCAAGTTGTAAAGCATCAGTTTAAACTTATAGTTTGTATTATATGATGATTGGTGTGTTGAAAGTCAATCTGTAGTAAAAAACTGAACAAGTTGGCCAATATTTTACTCGAAAATAAAATTTATTTTACGTGAATTTGACAATAAAATTAATAATTTGTATTCCCAAAGTTTTCATTTGACTAGACAAACATGATGCGTAGATCGTCATCCAGGAATAAGCAGCGATCTTCTGGTATCTTTGTAGATGATGAAGGAAATCCACTGGTGTTTACTGTAACTCTTGGAGTGCATCACAAGCATGTGTGTGCAGGAATACAAGTAAGTTATTCAGCATTGATTCAACTGGTATTTCTGGATTGATAGCCAGTGTTCAGCTATATTCCTTTGGCACATTGACTCTTACAACAGACTATCCATTATAGGATAATGGAGGCGTGGTTGACCCAGAGGCTTTAGAACCATTTATGAATCTTGTTGGCATATATCACCCAACCACCAATCCAAATACGTTCCAGTGCTGCTACATTGATGACTGTATTCAGGCTGGATGTCTGTTACCAAGTGACCCCTACATTATACCAACAACTAGTGCTCGTATCATGTACGTGTTGGGGTTTACCAGAATGACTATTTTTGAATCTATTATTTGCTAAATGCTTTCAGGTAATATTATGTATACTTGGACATTTTAGACATCGAGTACAATTTAACGAACAAGACGACCGTTTGCTGTATGAAATGCTTGCTAAAAACAAAGGGAAGCATTTCAAAGGAAATGATCTGTATCAGGATTTTGCAGCACAGGTAGAATACAGGTCTAATATGTCGAATGTGTACAAGAATGCATGCTACAACTTGCAACCTATTTCAAACCATATTCTACTTGAATGTTTCAAACATGATTTGTACATTCTAATTGAATATTTGTTTATTGATAGCATCCACGCCATACTTGGAAAGCTTGGCGAGATCGTGCAGTTAAAAAGATTATTCCGAGAATGTCGCCTCAACTCGAGGGGGCAAATGAAGATAAAATGGATGCGCGTATGACCCGATCTGCGATTAGACGAGCGACACAAATACGCTTACAACTAAATGGTAATGACCCAACTTCAATTTCAGCTACCGCACATGATCATGGTGACAGTCACCATGGTTTGTTGGTCCAAAAAGCCGAATCGAGTTTTAAATGCCAATTGCCAACTTCAGAATTAAAAAGGTACAGTATAAAAGTGTATACTTGTTGCAGAAAGACCATGCGTTAAAAACAATAACCATCACACTGCATTACTAGGCCTACCATCAAAAAACTACGTGGACCATTATCAAGAAGAAAACACACATTTTTTGAAGATGCAGCTGATAGTAATGACCAGAATGTACATAGTTTATCTTTTTTATGTCGAACAAATGATGTCGGATTTAATCTAACCAGCAAAATAACTGCTGAAAACTATTCAACTTTTGCACAGAAAGACGAACAGTCAGGAAGGGATGCGCATCGTCTTGACGTCACACCTAAAGATAATCATTTTGTTGCATTTGAAGATGTAACTCGATCGCCACACCACAGACATGTTATGAATATGCCTCAAGAATCTCAGCTTGATGAAGGGCATGATTCTTCAGAGTCTAGTTTTGAAGTTGGTGAAACCAGTGGCATGGATAGACTTGAACATAGCGATGACTCGGAATCTGATGTGCAGGACAAGTTTTCATCACCCTGTCCAGTTTACAAGTCAACCAAGCAAAATGCACCAGACGATTCAGACAAAGAAAACGTAGTTGAGAAGCGTATGGATGAAATGTCTGCCAAGGCCATGTTTTTTTCAGATGTCAACGCACTTCTTGCAGAGGCCATAGAAGCCAACTATTGTAAACGCGATGTAATGCGTGCACTGATGATGTCTTCTGGGTTGATTGAGCATGCCCGAAGATTACTATCAGTGCAGTTTAATATTAGCTTGCTCGAGGAAACTACTCGACAATGGATTTTTACATCCAAGGACGATAAACGACTGTTTAGTGGAAATGCGATTGATTTGGAGAGAGTCGAAGCGACAAAAAGCAGTCAAAGTATCGAGCGTCGAGTTCAGTTTTTAAGTGAATCTTAATAAACTGGCTTTGACGCAATGGCTTAGAATGTACAAAGATAATATTCTCTGCTCGATGATAACGTGATGGCCACTGTTCATGGCTGTGTTGAGTGTCGTTTGCTTAACCACCACAAGTTGCTACTTTTACAACTCAAACTAGAGTTTGAACTTTACTCAGATGGCCGGCTATCAAGCATTCACCTCTGCCTTCATCATGCCAATGCTGTCATCGCTCCTTCTATCTCTTTTAACTCTTCCATGTGCTCTGGTAGCACAGATAGTTGTTCCAGACGGTGCCATGCTTCCTTCTAGCTTACACAAACCCTTTCCCAATCAAAACAGCTTCAAGCCAAACAGACCCACTGACAATGCACCTATAAACTCTGCATCAGACCAGTCTCATACAAGTGGCTTTAAAACCTATCATTTTGCTGCAACTCTGTTCCTGATTATTCTTGGAAGCATATTTGTTGTTGCTGGCATAATTGTTGGCATTTTGGTTCTGTTGCGATGGATGCGTAATAGTGATAGCAGGCTGAAGGAAGAGGAGCGGCGGTTTGAGCTTGAACAGGAAGGACTTACTCAACGAACTGCTACCATCAGTCGCCGTCATACTAACAAAACAGTCCAAAGTTCTTGAAATACCATTCACATATTCATCTTTTAAACCAGTTTGCATCTGCTATAACTCTCAACTGAGTGTGCTAGTCCTTAATTCTCATTATCCTGAATATAGGATAATCTTGTTTTTATTGACCCTATTGTGTTACAGCCGTACTCACGTAAAACGGAGCACTTTTGCATTTATCTTGCATTGATTGTTTCTTGGTTTGTAATAAATAATGGTCAAATACTGGTGCTTGTTACAAATTGTCTGCTTGTTCAATACACAGTATTAAACTATAGTTTTGAACTGAGATTGTCCTCGTTTGAAAATTATATATTGTACGATCGTCAAGTTTGAAACCAACTCCAAATATTGGACTCGATTGTTGCCAATACAACTCACCATTGCTGTATTCTAAACTCATGGATACGTTCGCGTTTCTAGTTCAAAAGAACAATCTTGGAAATACAGCTGTTGTTTTCATGTCAATCATCCAATATTTGGTTGATATAAAAGGAGAGTTGGAGATTGAACAAGTATGACTGACTGGAATTGTGATGTAAACATTCAGTGTTTTACAGAAATGAACACAAAAACCAGTCAATTAGAGTTCAAAACACAAGACACTTTTTCTTGGTATTTTATTTTACGTGAATACAACTGTAATGACTAGATGCCAAAGAACTTGAATCTAGATGACCATTAAACCACTACTACTGGATATATCACGTGTAGTCATGTTCATTAACCAGATATGAACGAGTCCAAAACTTGACCAAATATACTGGATATTTATCTTGTATGAATCGAAAACCAACAGAGAGTTTGTTGAAAGAATGGGCAGAGCATGTTGTTGCCATGTGTCCTGGAACAACTTTTTCTAATGCACTTGTGGATTTATCAAAAACTGGGAGTTTGGAACAAACTATCAATCGGATATTCGACGGACAGGTCTGACTTGAATCAGCCAATTCACTGCAATGATATGCCTTTGATTCTATAGATACTGATACTCTGATTATTGTATCTAGTTTTTAGAAGGTACCGAGCGAGATCCGAGTTTAGTCACCATAAAGCATTATATGGCTCAGTCGGATGATTTACATCAAACTCCAAGGCAATGTCATTCAACCGACTGTTTGGATGCAATATTGATTTCAGACACTCCATATCCAAATTCGCCTACTAGAAAGAACTCTCAGAGTATGTGAGTTGAATACTATTATCATAGATTTGGATCACTATACGAAACCCTAACTTCTATACTCTCACTCAACATTTTACCGAGTTGATAGAACAGCCAATCAATTACTCAAAATTGGCCGATTTAGCTCAAAGTATGATGAATGATCAGGATCTTGTTCAGAATTCGGTTCTTATACCTTCCAAACGACCAGAAAAAATAGCTGCTGAGAAATCTGGATTGCTTCAGAATCTAGGACCAACCTCACCACGCTCCAGCCAACTAATCAACCCAACACCTTACGCTTTGACATCACCCCAACTTGTTCAGCACATCATATCGCTTGACTCTAGCGATCCAGACATTATCAACACGCACCTCCTAACTCAAGATACATATCACAGCAGCGACTGCTTTGAAGAAGAGTGCAATGCGATAACTCCAAAAGCACCTCCAAAACAAAGACACGTCTTTGCTGACCTAGAATTTGAGTCGAGTCGAGCCGTTTACAAAAATCTAAAAACTGACTTGGCTTTGATACCTATTGCACACATGTCACCAAAATTAGAAAGTGAAATGACAGACATGTCGAGTCCACCGCGGATCATTTCTAAAGAACATCTCACATTAAAATCACTAAAAGAAAATAGATCAACGGGACTAAAGTCTTCAAACAGTATGTCTGATGAAACAACATTACAGAAAAAGGAAACAGAAAAGCAGGCAAAACAAGCTGAGCGAGAGCGTAGAAAAACAGAAAAACAACAACTCAAGGTCTGGCACACTTTTATTACTATGCAAGAATGATATAGTTTAAAGTTTTTTTAAACGAGCCTTTTGGCTTTTTTCAGTGCACATTCTCAGATAATGGCAGTAGACTGACGTTTATATTTTATAGGAAGCTGCTGAAATAGAAAGGCGCATTCTCAAGCAAGTGCAGTCATCAAATAAGCTTCGTGGAAAGGCAGACTGTATTACTGAAATTATTGTTGAATTCTCTTCCGAATGGGAGACCAGCAGTTTAGGAAAGTTTTGTATTGACGCGATCCAGCAATGTGGTGCGCATTCAAGAATAGTTGATGCTACAGTTTCAGGAAAAATCATCACATGGAGACGCAAAACAAATCGTACTTGGAATGAGGATTTATCATTATGGGATGTGCGTCCTACCTATATTAGTACGGAGCCATATGTACTGGTACTACTAACCGGAAAGCAGCTGGCTGAACTATGCATTACTACGGCACTATTGAGGCATTTTGAGTCTTTGATGACAAGTTACCCTGGATCACATATCATTTATCTGATTGAAGATTTGGATGCATTTTACAAACAACGTGAAAAAAGTCATCAGGCTCATTATACCCGTCAAATCCGTTCTGCATTAATTGAGGCCAACAAAAGCAGAGCTGCGATTGCTAGCACATGCAATCAAAATGGAGAATTAATAGGCTTGAATGATTTATCTAGTAATCAACCTCCACTGTCTCAGAATCGCATGCATTCACCCATTGATGACGGCTTACCTTGCCGAAAAGTAGTAGATGAGTTTTTGGTTCGTCTTCAATTTACTACCAAAGGAAGATGCTATGTTCATTCTACAAAGTCTGCAGAAACAGCATCATGGATCGTAAGCTATACTGAACAGATTGCATTTGCTCCTGAACAACGGTAAGTGTACAGATACGCAAAAGAATACGTTTGTGATTTGACACGTTGCAACGGATTGGCATCTTGTTTTGAAGCCATTGAATAGATACGAATTCATATTTGACACGATATTTTGTTTCATACTACTCATTTAGACACCGAAGCATGACATCACTTAATATGAATTTTGGAGATAAAGTCAAGACTGGAAAGAGCGCAAGCGATTCGTGGCAAAAAGCACTGGAGCAGATTCCGCAAGTTACTAGTGCAAAGGCAGCAGCAATATGTGAAAAATATCCCACTTTTTCCAAGCTAATGCAAGCATATGCCGCGTGTGATTCAAAACAAAAAGCAGAATCATTGTTGGTAGGAATCAAGGCGTCCGGTACTGGACATGCCATTGGGCTATCGTTGTCAAAGCAAGTGAGTGCTGTATTTTGTTGTACAGATGGCTCGGAATTGATGAAATAAATAGAGTGATCGTTAAAGGGTACCAATTAAGCGAAAAATGCCAACTCATTGAACGAACTTTTGAATCAGAAACACAAATGGTTTACTTTATTTTGTCCAAGTTAATTCTTTTAGTGAAGCACTTGGTACAATTATATGAGATGCGGAGATAGAGCGTTGATGGATCGAAAATGTGAAGCTTTAGAATCATGTTCGCTGCTGGAGAGATTTACCAAATTTAGACCATCGCTGAACAGGTGGTTTGGAAACGATTCTGTAATCACGCACTGTATGCCCTTTGTTTCCAGCGAATATTTACGAATCAAATAGTCTTTGTCACGACGTACCATGAGTAGTTCAAACTCTGGTAGGATATTTACGTATCTATTGTTTGTAATAACCAAATATCCGAATCAGAATTTACAATCCAATACATTTAAACGAGATTAAAGCGGGCAGTGCATTACCTAAAGAGCTGACCAATTCCAACTTGATTAGATTTGATCATTTCAATGTATTTGGGACTGGATAGCGTAATACTACTTTTTGCATTGCAGCATATCTATAATTAATACCACATTGTCCAAGATTAAAATACTGTTTTTAAGGACTAATCAATATACCAAATCAAGCATAGTCGAACCTTTCCCAAACAATGAATATCAACTTCTCTGTCAAACAGCATGATCTCCTTGTTATCCGTATCCTGAACAACTTCATTACGCAAGATCTCAACAGTCACTTTGGCATTAAAGTATGAGCTTAGTATGCGTTGTAGGTTTCCGTTGGCAGTCAAAAGAATTCTCTCTAGTGGTGTATAGTCGCCATCAATGATGGTACTAGTTTCCCTGGATGACATAATGTCACCCAAATGCCCTGGAAGCTCTGCATTTCTTCCAGACGAATCATCTTTTGCTGACATTCCAACCATTTATTGGGTTAGAATTAAAAATTAGTGAAATTGCTATTCGTTAATATTCAGTTTTGATCAGAATATTCTGCCAAAAACTGCATTGACAATATTTTTGAATGTTTATTCATTAGCAAAAGTCGATACAAAACATGTCATTTCAGTTTGATTTTGGAGATGTTAGTACTGGACAAAAACCTTCTGCAGCATTGCATGAATCAAAGCCAAGGAATGCACTTTCAGCAAAACTATTAACTATTCAGTCCACAGCTCAGCCAGAGCATGTTTTTGGAGAATTAGTTCAATGCTCGCCATCAACCACCCTGTTTAGAAGAAGCGTATCTGACGTCAAGTTTCAAATCGCATCTACTGAAACACTGACTGGAGAGGCCAGTAACGAGCTAGTTGAGAGTATTGAACAGCAAAGCGATCTAATTAGTGGTGTTTACGAAGGAGGACTCAAAACATGGGAATGTTCAATTGACTTGGTTGCCTATCTAGAACTGACTTACGGATCTTCATCTATGCACGGACTTCAAGTACTAGAGCTTGGATGTGGATCAGCTCTTCCTGGGATTTACTGTTTAAAACTCGGTGCACATGTGGATTTTCAAGATTATAACGAGCCTGTGTTACGCATGGTTACTATTCCCAATATTCTGCTAAATACCATTTGTCAACCTGTGCAAAATGATATTTCTGAAGGATCGTTTGAAACAGAGGTTGTTTGCGATCAGTATATTGCACAGCTAAACTTTTATTCGGGAGACTGGAAGAGTATGCTGGTATGTTTTTACTGTTGCCGAGTTCATGTGGAGTTGGCACCTATTTGTTGCTAAATCCAAGTGTTTTGTAGAATTTATTGGAAGCTAGCCCTCCAATAAGGCAATATGATGTTATCTTGACCTCGGAAACTATTTACGAAGCACAATGCCAAGCGGATCTATTCAAATTGATCAAAGCTGTGGTCAAGCCAGGTGGCATTGTGTAAGTGTTTGTAATTCAATATAAACTCGGTGTATATATTTTAATATTTCGGTTAACATTAAATGATATTCAACACCATTTAAATAGACTGGTGGCTTCCAAATCAGTATATTTTGGATGCTCTGGGTCTCTCAACGATTTTCGTCGTTTGGTCATAAGCGATGGGTCTTGCCAAATCAGCACAGTCTTTATCAATTCGCAAACTGTGCGAAGAGAAATCACACAATTGTCGTTTTGAAACATTCAAATGAATTATGCAATATAGAAATAGTCGACTGCTTTGAATATTTCAAAAATGGTTTTATTATAGTATAAAGTAGTTGGCAATCTGAAAATAGTTGAATCAGCTGCTGACAAACATAAAAAACTGACGAAGAGTTTCTGCTAAAATTTCAGGAAGACGTTCAATGTCACGTACAACCACATAATAATCAAAGGGAAATGTGTCCATGTATCGGTCCATCTTGAGGGTTGGCTGCTGAGTTGCTGGGTCAAATTCGTACGAGACGTTGGTCATGTTCAAGATCGAGTTCTTTTCAGTGCGATTGTCAAGAATGATAAACACGACCATGATGCGTTCTTCAGTGGCTTTTCGAACAAGTGCACGCACATATTCGTGATCCTCACAAATACCATCGGAAATGACAAGTTGGAGTTGCCACAGATCTGCAGAGGATTGTGCATTGGAAAAACGTGCATGCTCCAAAATTCTCATGGCATTTTCCATCATGAGCTTAACATGGGTGCGGTCTTGTTCAAATGTAAATGCTCGAATCAAATCTGCTCCTGCATCATCGGTAAACGGTTTTTCAAATGGATGGACAAGTTGAACACTCTCACCAAAACGAACAATTCCAATATCTCCAACCTCCAGCTGTGCCAGTGCTTTGGAAATCATGGCAAGAGATTCAAATGCAAGTTGAACTGAATGTGATTCTGACATGGATCTGGAGTCGTCTACAGCAACCATCACTTGATAAGTGCGTTTAGACGGCTTTGTTCGCCGCAGCCAAATTTTATCTTTCTTAAATTGACTGGCAATGTAGGTAATCACTTTGCGCATATTGAGACGCTTTCCAGTACGGTAATCTCCCTTGAGTTTTGTTGCAAGTGTTGGTTCGAGAATCAGTCTCAATTGTTCACATAAATTAAACGCCAAATCTCTTGTCAGATTGACGTAGGATCGCCAAAGCTCATACACCTGCATTTGATCGTCATTGCCATTTTGCCGGTAAAGTGCCATGCGCTCCTCTAAATCATGGCGCATTTGAATATAATCCACCGAGTCAGTTTCTATATCATCAAAAATGCTTTGATCGTCTGCTTGAGTATTGTCTTTCAAAGCATTTACACCAGGTCCAAGTATATTCGAGCCAGATGGATCCTTTTCCTCAATATCTTCATCTTTTTCCACAGTGTCTGCAGCTATTTCATCACTTGCGTTTGAAGACTCATCATTGTCTTGTGGATTAGTTTGAAGTTTCTTTTGAGTCGAAAGTTTGGAATCGTTTGATTTGGGCAAGGGGATTTCTTTTGATTCAGATTGCATAGTTTTATCGGCAGTTTTTGGATCTTCAAGAGGTTCATCTACGTCCATGGTTGAATCTTCTTGATAGTCGCCTTGGTTTTTATCATCAGCAAGTGCTTGACGATCCATTTTTTCCAACTGTTCTTCTGTTGCTGCGCCAAGTGCCTGTGCATCGCTTGATTTTTCATCGTTTTCAATAAACTCGAAATTGTCATCGCCAGTTACATCTGGCTGAGCACTGGTGTCCTGCTCAAGTGCATCCATATCATCGGTTTGATCACTGGAATCCGCTATTTGTTTTAGACGCGACAGCCATTGTTTCATGGCATCGCCAACGTTGCGACGGGGATTCACATCCTGCTGATTTTTATCTTGTGATTCTGTAGAATTATTTTGTTTTAGCGATTTAGCTTGAGATTTGGTACCTTGTGCATCTTGAGCAGTGCAATTTTCACCATCATCGCCATCGACTTGCTGTTCATTTTGAGCATCTGTATCATCACCCTGGATAGCATCGTTGCCTTCTTGACCTTGAATGCCAAAGGGCTGATGATTTGGACGCAACTGATCCTGATTGTTGTTTTCGGCAGCATCTCCCTTGGGTATTTCTTGATTCTTGCTATTTTCAGAATCTTGTTCAGGTTCGTCTCCAGCAGTTTTTAAAGGCTCTTCTCCAGAATTTTCAGTTTCATCTTGGGCTTCAGCAGTCTCGCTTGACTCTGACTCTTCCTCGTTATTTTCCGTGTCATTCAAAAGTTCGTCAGAAATTTGTTCCGGGATAGTGTCGTCTAAATCATCCTGGTCCATATTCTATTGAATACAATTCACATACAAAACCATTGTTAGTTCAACATGTCGAATCTTCAATATTAGTTGTGCAACATCAACTCACGTTATCATCTGCATCCTTTTGATCAACCTGATCATTGGCAGCGTCATTACAAGTACTGCCTTCATCAGCTTCTGCATCGTCTTTGTCGTCATCATCACCATCAAGATCCATTTCATCTGAAATTTCATCCTCTTCATCATTGTCTTTATCCAGATCATCTGCTTTTTTGATATCGATGCCATGAGAATCTTCAAATTTATCCAAACTATCCTCATTGATGCGTTCTGGATCATTAGTTTCTACATCATTTTCGCAATCAGACCCATCATTTTGCTCATCCTGTTGCTTCTTGGTATCATCGGCAGTTTCGTCTTTGTCTGCTTGCTGATCTTGGGGTTTCTTTTTGTCTTGATCCTTTCTATTTTTCTCATTGGTTTCCTCTTCAGCAACAATCTCCGACTCGTTAGCACCACCATCGACAGGCGCATCGCATTCAGTTTTTTCATCTTGTTCATGATTGTCTACTTGATCATCATCGTCCCATAGCTTTTCATCAACAACATCGGCAAGATCCTTGTCCAAGTCACCCATCTCTTCGTCCAATTCCTGATCATTATCCTCGTCATCATCTGCTTCATTGTCGTCGTCATCACCATCGACATCCTCGAGAATGCCATCAAAATCGTTGGTCATTTCAATGCCATCGTCTTCATCGTCAATGTGCTTTTCGGGTTCCGGTGGTGGTATAGCACCTTTGGTTTGTGCTCCTTCGGCCTGATCCTCATTTTCAATTTCGTCACTGACATCTTTTTTACCATCACCTTCTCCCATACCTGTTCCTTCAGCATGGTCTTCCATGGCACAGTCATCGTCATCTTCCTCGCTAGATTTTGGTAAGCAGAATCCTTCTTTGAAAAGGGATGCAAACAGATTTGACAAGATATATGTCAGTTTAGAAACAGATTTGGCAAGTGAAAAATGCTGCAAAAGTCGAAATTGGGCTAGTGCATAATACTGGTTAAAAAGCGGAGCAATGTGGGCCAGCAATACCGGCAACTGATTGTTAAGTAGTGTATCTCCACTGGCAACACACGATTCAATAGTCACGAGTAAATCAGATACAGCCAACCGCACGTTGGAAACTGCTGATGTTTCAAATACAGCTCGAGTAAGATTGTGCATATCTATCAATCGATTAGAATCTAGTCCAAATTCATCGACTTCTTTATCTACGTCATCGGCAGAGTTCTTTTTTGCAGTATTTTTGCTAACATCCTCCATGGGTGTCCGCAAATGCTGGAATGCAATGAGTAGATGTTCAACCACTAAATCTGCTTTGGACAAAATAGTTGAAATGTTGGATAGATTATCCATGCTTTCTAGATTTTCTTCAAGATTCAAAGTCGAGGGTAGGGAATCAAGTCCCGAACACACCAAACTGACAGCGTCACGAATAAACAGATCGTGTTCTGGAAAATCAGACTGAATGCTGCAAAGACTGTAATACGCTTCTGTCAATGCTGCAACTATTCTGGAATAGTTGGTCGAGTCTTTGTCCTTGACAACCACCACCAGCGAAGGCAAGTAAGTAGCAACATTCAGCATACATGAAGCATCGATACTGGATTTTATGGCTTTCAAAGACTCCAAAACAGTATTGATACGCTCAATGAATTTGGCAGTAACTGAATGACCATGTTTTTTTACCATGTCGCTTACAGTTATAGACTGAGAAACAACAATCACTGCATTATTCACTGCGCGTTGAGCAGCTACGAGATTGCCAATGTATTTGCTATTGGATTGGAATTCAACCTGTGAGGGTGTGCTAATAATGTAGCGAACTTGCTCAGCAAAGCCCGACATTTGTGTTATATTGGTCAAGAAGGAAGAAATAAGCGATCGCTGCTCCAACGAAATGTTGAGAAGATGCTCCAACGAGCTGACTGAACGCTCGATTTCTAGCATTGTAAGATCCAAAGGCATAGAAAGTGCAGCACTTCTAACAACAGCTATTCTGGCAATATTTCGGAAATGATATTGGTGTGCACGCTCAGCAAGAGTGTGCAATTCAGAATGCATCCAGGAAGAAGGTGCCAAAGCCGAAATGACAGATACAAGCTTTGATACTTCCAATTCTGGATACGTATTTGTAACAAAAGAGTCCTGATGATGCGCAAATCGTTGTCTGCATCGAGGCAAAAGGCCAAGAATTGCTAGATATTTTAGTAGATCAACTAAAGCCTTTTTTCGCATCAACTTCTGACCCTTGGCGACTTTGATATCCCCTTGAGCAGCAACGTTTACTTTTCTGAATAGGTCAACTCGCTCTAGTATTGTTTCTAAAAATCCCTCGACTCCAGAAGCTGTATCTGCATAGACATTATCCGAAATCACTGACATGGTCATGCTTTTCATCCTGCCAAGTAGTTTGTGAGCATCTGGTACACGTGTAGCATTTTCTATAAATGCCGAATTGCCATCCGTAGTTTTTGGTATTGCCAATGATGTTTGACAGCTTTGCATGGCAGATAGCTGGCAAATATCCCACATCGACTCGGGCTCTATTTTTATTTCTGCTGGCAAAGCAGGCATCGATGGAGGAGTCTCTTGAAATGTAGCAATAACGTCTTTTACTGGCTGCTCAAGACTTAGCATGTACTTTTTCACAAACTTGTTCAGATGGTAATGTGTACGCTTGGCGCTCTCTTTCAAAGCAAATACATTGACATCTTTCCATGTGGCGATCTTTACATATTTTTTGAGTTCTGTAAGAATTGGCTTGCGAGCATTGGTTAAAGCCGTTTCCACAGAGAGTGAAAATTGTGAATAGTAAGAAATTACGTTCCAAAGAATAGATATAATGGTTTTAAGCCCAGTGAACATTTCGTCTGGACAGCTCTTGTCTAGGTGGCTCAGATGCTTATGAAAAGAGCGCAGCATATCCAATCTTTCAGAAAATTGTCCAATAGGAGATGATATACACATGTTATCAAATGTTGCAAACAGTCCGTTCATAAGCGTACTTTTTTCTGATTCCGTCTAATAATCACAAGTCATATACGTACGAGGTAAGAAATTTGGTTTAAATGCAATAGTTTCAATCGGAATAAACATGCACATTTAAAATTTACCTGAGTCAAGTCAAAGTCAGGATTACGCAAAATACCCATTGTGGTTCTCCATAAATGAAACCAAAGTTTGCCGACTTTGGCAGCACAACGACGCTCTTCCAATTTTAGCAGTTGGCGCCATGTATTGAGTTCAAGTCGACGCCATTTGACAATAAATAAAACTATATCATCTAAACACATCTTGAGAGACACCTCCTTGCTGGCATACGCTTCCCAGTCCTGACTTTTGATCAGCAATAGCTCAATTCCAGTCAGTAGTTTCATGAGTGGGGATGCAACGGGAAATGACGCGATTCGTCGGCAAATAGCACTCAAATGAACCAATACATCATGATCAGGCCATTGTGCAAGAAGATCATTTATACGGCTATCAAATTTCACTAAGAGAGATTGAATTTGTTGAGCCTCGTATACATTGGAGTCGTTGTAAAAGTCATACACATCTGAATCAGAAACATTTGTAGTGGAAAAATCAGAGATATGCTTTGCCGAAGCAAACACAAATCCAAGTCGTCCCATTTGATCCATAGTGGGAGGAACCGATACACCATCCAAACGACAAACTGCCATTGCAGCATCCAAACAGGAGAGAAACGCAGAACTCCATTGTTTTTGGAAGCCAGTTGTAGATGCCGTACCAAATGCGCCAACTGTATATTTATAGCTTGTAGCAATACGCCATGCTTGAGCATCATTAAATGTAGGAATAATGACAGGCTGTTTGGATTTTGCAGGCGCATCTTTGGGGGCTTCGGAATCGTTTAGCGGATCAACAGGAATAATATCAGCAAATGTTTCAAAAAAGTCAGGAAATCGCTGGCAAAACTCGGTTTCTTCCCGCTCTTCATCAGTCACTACGTTGGCTTGAGTCATAGCAAACAGTGATTCTTTCTCCTCTTCCAAGCGTTTTTGTTGAGCTTCAGCTTCTCCCCAGATATCAACAACGGCATCAAAGAATGCGTGTATACGAAGAAGGACTGAAGTATCGACATTTAATCCAGATCTAACAAAAGCCACAAGCTGCTCTATTGTAGCTAATTGAATCTCAAGTTTGGTTTGCATAAGAGATTGGCTGTTTCCACGAATAGAGCCGACATGATCCAACACAACATCAAATTGCTCAATTTGAAAGTCTTGGACAAATCTAACAAGTGGAGCAATGGAAGATGAAGCATCTCTCAAATGCAAAATAGAACCAGCATGACGCATTAGTCGAATACCATACTTGAGTTGATAAAGAGCAGTACATGCAGGAAGCAAGAGGTCGCGATATTGTGGATACTTTGCATCAATACGGTCAATAATTGATTGGATTACATCTTGCAAGGACTCTTCTTGATAAAGCACATCGGAGGATAAACCAGTCTCGGCCACCAGCTGTGTAAGTAATAGTTGAATAGTGTCGAAATGAAGCACACTCTGCTTCACCTGCTGCAGTTCATTGACAATATCAACCATTTGAGATCTGGTTGGACGAATGGGGAGTTTAGAGCGCCATCTAGTCATTCTAGAAAACTCAAATTCCAAATCCTCCACTTTAGCTTGAGTATAAGGACTGAGTTTGTTTTGGCATTGAATAAATTCTTTGTCCGCACTCACAAGAATGCCTGCCTTTAAACGATCTGCATGTCGTGAAGCAAGAGCAATTTTGGCAGTTCTCATAGCAACAGGGTCTACGGGCAAATCTGGAATATAAACTTCCAAAAATGCAAGCGAATACAAAACCCAAGCTTTGGAAAACTCGATATTGAGCTGGACCACAGAAATTTTATCCTTTTTGATACACAGCGCAAGAGAATCGATCATTGGACTCAAGTATTTCTGGACAATCAATTTCATCCGTTGAGAGTTGACTTGAAGTAATAAATCCTTGATCTCAGCTATTTCTGAAATGGTCAACAATCCAAGTTGGTCTATTCCGGAACGAATGGCATCAAGCGTTTCTACCGAGTAAAGTGTAGCATGAGCCAACAAAAGCTGACGAATGCATGCCATCAAAACACACACGTCAAATTTGTTACGCTGTGATATTTCAAAATCAGGCGAGGCAGTATGACGCAGTAATGCCTTCATCTGCTGCACTTTGCTAGCAGAGGAATATACAGGAACTTTAGAAATGCTTGCAAGCAACGCAAGAGTATGACCACTTAAGCCATTGTACAAAGGAATATGCATAGATTCGCTCCCTTTGTTGCTGATGTGGATTGCCGTTTCCTAAATTATAGACGAATTAAAAACTGCAAAAAATAAAATCAAGTGGCAAAGTCAAATATTTAGCATAGTTTTGATCCTTACCAGTCCTGTAGCAAGTTCGTTCTCCAAAGATAGCAGTTGCAGGATTTGACCATTCATCATAAATGACTCACGATTGCCCATAGTTGAAGATCGCCAAAAAGCAAATCCATTATTCCAAAATGATTTACTCCATTGATGCAATGCCTCTTGAGCAATTGTATGCACAAACTGCTTTTTGGAATGCTCAGCAATAGCATGATTTGAGTTGTTTTTTAAATCATCATCCAATGCCCACACAAGTCGCTGTAATGGTTCAAAATGCAATGGGGGAAGTGAGGTAGTCGTCACAGCCGAGTTGATAAACTCGCGAATAGACTTGATTAGTTGAGAGTTATCGATCTGTCCGTTGTGTAAATGAATGTAGATTTTTTCAATAATAGTGAGCTCAGACGCCAGTGCCCATGTATCGAAAAACGGCCAAAGAGTAATAGTGGCAAGCTGGGCGTCAATGTTGGAAAGCATCATAAGAGATACCGATTGAGTCGCGTCCAACTTTGTAATGCATTCATCAAGTTTTTCAGGCACATCCTGCAGCATTTGCAACAACTCAGTGTTGGGGGTATCCTTTTCATTGAGGTAGTGAAGGGTTGCGACACCTTCCATGACTGCCTTTTTGACATCTAATCCAGCAGCTGTGATTGTTTTTCTGGATATCCAATCAAACGGATTTTGAAGTGCAGAGTTCAATCGGGTGTTGACTTTATCAAACTGTGTTGCTATATCGATCAATAACGGAGTATGCAATGTCGTAATACCCCCGAGTTTCCACAACACTCCTAATGCCTTGATCTTTTCAATGCTAAGAGCTTCCCATGCCTTTTCAACAGCATTGGAAATCATGCCCATCTCAATTGTGTTCTCAGGACATAGAGAAACACATACGGGTACCAGCTTTGCAATACGGCGAACACAGAGTACCAACTTTGAAATATCTACCGTGCTTGTTTGGGTTGATTCCCATAGTTCATAGCGACGATCCATCAACTTTACAATAGGTACAAGAGTCTAGATTATAGCATTAAATAGCATCAGATTAGTAAAAATAGATCGAGTTCAAATGGCCATCAAATCATTTCTTACTTTGAAAAAACTCAAAGACTGATTCGAGATTTGAGCTACATTTAGAATAGAAATGCAAATATCTCTGGTAGCATTTAAAAGTGGATAGATTGTTTCTACACATGGATGTGGAAGTTGTGATAAACGTAACACGCCCATCTGCAAAGCATATGAGAGTTGTGCAACACTCATATCTCGAACAAGAGTATCAGCTGATTGCTTATAAATAGAATCTTCAACTAGTTGTTCTCTATATTGGCGTCGAACTAAACGAAATACAGTTCCGTTGAACGCACTTGTCTGAGTCGTAATGCAAGGAATACCAGTTTGCTGTAAATCTATAGGAAAATTGATTGCATCTGCATTGGCTATTCCAAAACAAGCCAGTTGCATATTTGAAAAGGCACTAATTTTTACAACAGCAGCATCCATGGGTTTAGATTCGACAAGTCTAAGTGCCAAATCAAACGCATCTTTAAGCTCACGATCAACTGATAATCCAAGAGCATCCCTCCACATTATTAGCCAAAGTTTTCGTGTAGAAAAATCAGCAAAAGTAGTGTCCTGTAAAAATGAATCGATTGCTGCTGCAACTATATCTGCTCGACTTGGTTTTTCAAACATTACAGGCATTAGTGAAGTAGGTGATACAAATTTTAAATCTCTTCTAGTACAACTTGTATGTGCAATGATCCCTGCTGCAGAAATAGAAAGAGATGCAAGAGTAGAGTGTTGTGAAAGTAGCTTTCCTGATACAAACTGTGGCCAACAGCTAGGATAGTTTTGACCTAGAGCAGACATTGCTTGTAAAGTGATTGCAGCAGTTTCAGGATCCAAAGTAGAATGAACTGCCGATTCTAATGAATCGCCTCGTTGAAGTTGCTCAACAATTAATCTAGCGTTTAGTATTGGACTTCGAGAGTCAGTGCTAGGTTGTTCATACCCACTAGTGTGAGAATCGCGTGCAGATACTTGAACAATGGCAGAGGCCAGTGCATCACCAGAAAATCCAACAGAGGAGGTAAGTTTAGCAACAGAAAAAGTATTTGCACTAATGGATGTTTGAAAATGATCAATATATATCTCAACACTACGATTACGCATTGCTCGAGAAACTTCGCCATACTGTGGATCCATTGCCATAAAAAGACGAAAATTAGGATGTGGTGTGATGACTTTAATTTCACCATGCACCAATCCACGCTCACTGATTGCTATTGCTCCATTGGTTTCAACTAAAGGATTGAGACGATCCAGTACGCTGGTTGAGCACAGGTTGACATTATCAATGAGGAGCCAGTCGCCATGCTCAAGAGCGCGTATAAGAGCACTGTCGACCCATTCAAAGCGGCCACGAACACCAGAGCTCAAAAATTCAGTATAGGTTGTAAGTAAATTCTGAATATCGGCAAAAGCATGCAGCGGGGTATGCAAAGACGCAGCAATTTTTTGAAGCGAACTGGAAAGTTGCTGGAATATAGCCACAGAATCCAAAGTCGAAAGGTTTGCATGCTTCAAACAAAATGCCGACCAGTCTAGCTGAATCTGTGTCAGAGTTTTTAAAGAAACCAAATTGGGTTGCAACAGTCCACTAGTCAGTACGGTATGCAAGACTTTTTCAAAAGTATCGATAATTTCTTGACTAAGACGAACAAGATCTATTTGCTCAAATCCACCAAGAAGCTCAAGAGCGTCAACTCCAGGATTAAGTGTGACTTCGTGTAAATTTTGACCAGAGATAGACGCTAGCAATCGCACAATAGAGCTTTTACCGGTAGCAGTTGGTCCAATAATAAGAGGCAGTGACTTTGTTTCAACACATTGAACAAGAGATTCTAAAAATGGCAGTGCGGATGGGAGGATTTGTAAGTGATCTGTAGGAACGCCATATTTGTGAGTACCACGGAAAGCAGCACGCTTCAAAAAAGAGTTTCCAATCTGCAGCAATGTAGGAGTAATATACAATCGTGGGTGATTTGTGGAATGATCAGGCAGGTATCCAAAAACATCGATAAAGATATCCCGAACGCGTTGTCGGTCTGATGGAGTTCGCATTCTGTGAGTATAAATTATCTCCAAAAAGTATCCAGGATCAATGGCAGAAACCTGTGTACTGTTTTTAAGCTTGAGTACATTAGCCTGCCATAGCTCAATCCAACGCAAAACATCACGGAGATTAAACTCCCATGGAGCACCACGCCATCCAAATGAACACTTGACCATGGTTTCTTCACGAATCCGTTCATTAAACGTGATCATTTTTTCAGATACTGCTGGATCAAGATTGGGGTAAAGAGCCGAGCTAATGAATCGCAAGTCACCCATGTTCAGTGGGGCAACATACACCTGACTAAACCGATTGACAAAAGACTTTGGCAAACCTTTTCGACCACCTCCTTCATGCTGTGGATTCTGCGCTGCAAAAACACGAAAATCAGGATGGCAGGTTACGTTGCGATCCAACTCGGGAATATAAATGATTGCACGATGATCTAAACAAGAGTTTAAACCTTCAAGCACTTGTTGAGACGCCAAATTGAGCTCATCCAACAATACCCATGCGCCATCTTGAACTGCCTTCAAAAAAGGTCCATCTCGCCATGCAAATTCGCCTCCAGAACCTCCCTCCACAGGAAGATCTGATCCAAACAGATCCATTAAATCCGTTTGTTCTGACAAGTTAATACGAACTATATTGTGCTGTGATACTGCTGCCAACGATGCAACAAGAGAAGTTTTGCCTACACCTGGACTACCCTCCAAAAGAATAGGCTTGTTGAGTTGCAAGGCACGAAGCAATTGCATGCAGTTGGACAGAGTTGTAGGAGCCTGCATTGCAAAACTAACATTTTTGGATGGAGCGTTTCCAACCGAAATGTAAAAATCATTTGCACCAAAGTGAGATCCTGCCGTGTTGAGTTTGGGGACTACAATACCAAATTCTGCATCGTCATGAGCCGTAATGCAATCATCAAATACAATCTGATCAATACTTTTACCCTCTGCCAGTCTACGCAAAAAGTATCTGGATGTTTTTGCAAGTGTAACAGTGGATGACCCCATTGTGCCAAAAAGTGGATTGATACTCATTCCATCAATCAGCACCATACATCCACCATGGAAAAAAGCATTTGCAACTTCAAGGTGGGAAGAAGTGGAACACATAAAGCCAACCCAGGCAAGAATATCACGAAGTGAAACAATACTTTCAATAGGCTTATGCAATTGATCTGCCAGCCAATACAGAAAATCTAAAATCCGGTTTCCCCACAGACAACAAACTTCTGTTGGCATATTGAGTGGATGCAATTTTTTTTCCAAGATATGCAATAGATCTACGCGAGAAGATACTGAAGACACCCAAATTTCAGTGAATCGGTTACGCAAAGCAGGGCTAAGCTCTTTTTTCCCGTAATCACCGCCAGGATTCATGGTAGCAAAAATTCTAAATTCCTCGGCAGCAGTAATTTCTTGGATTTCTTTGGTACCATTTTCGGCAAGCACAAGTAAACGTTGAGGTTCCAAAACAGAATTCAGGCGCTCAAGTACCGAATCGTCTGCCAATGAAATTTCATCAAGAAGAAAAAAGTCACCTTGCTTCATTGCCTGCACAAGAGGTCCATCAGCCCAGGCAAACAACGCTCTAGATTTCCGGCCAAGTTTCAAGCACAGCTGTACTTGAGATTGAAGTGCTTTAAGTGTATCTTCATCTAAATCAAGTGTTTCAAATAGTGCAGCAATAGCCTCTGCCTTTTCTATCATTGTTCCAAGCTTTTCATATTTAGTATCAATCACATTATCCTGTAGTAAAGCTGGGTGACTCAGTAGTAGACGCATCTGATCACGAAATTCTGTTTCTGCCTGTTCACGCTCACGTGTAGGACGCTGACTTCCAAGAAAATCTGCTGTTTCTGAATTTTGATGTGCATTAATAATATGCAAGTGACGGTTGGCCAAAGCAGAAAGAATTTGAACCACAGTGGTTTTTCCACAACCCGTTTCGCCTACAAGCAACACAGGTTCGGAATGTTGCATAGCCAAATGCACCAGTACAAATAGTCTTCGCATGGCTTGCGTCCATACAATCTGATCCACCATACGAGAAAAACTTTGATTTGTTGGTATGTATGTCTCTAATGAAGCCCAAATTTGCTTGAACAAACTCTCATACATGGCCTCTTCGTCTATAGTCACTTTAAACTCGATTTCTAAAATTTTCTTGATAGTTGCGCGATCTTCTGGCTTACGAACTCGTTCAGCAAGCTGCATATAACCATCCTCTGCAAGCCTTTGATATCCCACTGCGCCACGTAAAGCCCATCTAAACAAATCACGCAGAGTGATAAACGACTGTCGACCGTCAAAAATACGCGAGGTGTCACGCAGCTTTTGGAGGCTTTTGTATACGGTTACAAGCTTCTTAGCATAGGACGGTGCGATTCGACATCGCTTCTCCAAAATCATTTCAAGATTTCCTTCAGCAATGTCTGAAAAATGAAGCTCCAAAAATCGATTTCTAAAAGCACGAGAAAGTTGCTTACGACCACCGTACTGACCAGCAGGATTCTGTGTTGCAAATAGCATAAAATGAGGATGAGGCTTAATCAATTCTTGTGTCTCGGGAAGAAAAAGCTCGCGATTGTCGTCAAGTAGTCGATTGAGTGCCTCGAGAACATCGCTAGGTGCCAAATTCAACTCATCTAAAACAATCCAATACCCTTTACGAAGAGCTTCAACCAGCACACCCTACACATGTTCAAATTAGAATAATCAACCAATACACAATAAAAATGAACATAAAATAACTAGCCTAAACTCACATCTTGAAATGCCAAAGCACCCTGATCATTGCTGACATAACTGCCTAAATACTCTTGAATATCCGTATGCTCGTGATTATTGATTCGTAAAAATCGGTGTCCTGTACGCTTAGCAAGATACTCTACCATGCTGGTTTTACCAGCTGATGTAGGGCCTTGAATAAGAACTGGATATTTACGAGACAGTACTGCTCGAGATAGATTCACAAGATTGGCTTTTACAGAAGGCGTCAATACAAACAAACTATCCAGATCAGAAGGAATGTCCAATGGACCTTTTTCAATCCAAAAACAATCAATCAGTATATATGGAGAATCGCGAAGAACGTCTTCGTTGAGATCAGCCATGTCATCTTGCTCTCCTGGATGTTTAGGAACCTGCTTAACAAACGCATCAGGATTCCGTATGCCGTTTAAAATTGACTTTCTAAGAAATGTAGATACTTTTTGACGACTCTCGGCTCCGAGACCAGTCATAAAGGTCATATAAGTGGCTTCGTATAATGATCGACGGATACCATACATGGGTGCAATATATATGGCGTATGACAGTGCACGGGTAAGGGTTCGCATACTGATATGTACACGTTGGTCAGCACCATCAAAAAGTATGCCTTGAGCAGCAAGTGATTTTACAGCTGAATAAAACTCGGCAACATCAAGACAAATACGATCCCCAGTTGGGCCGGCAGGAAGATGCGAAAAAATATAACTGCGAATAATAAGGAGCAAGTCAGCTTGAACTGTATCGGGTGACTCGACCCAAAATTCGGTAAATCGACTGCGAAGTCCAGGCGGCAAATCACGTTTTCCAGCATCATTTGCAGGATTCATGCAGGCAAAAAGTCTAAAATTAGGATGTCGGACAATTGGAGTTGTATCTCCGCGCTCCAATAACATAACTGATCCGTCTGAAGATTGTAGCAACCCACTTAGACACTCGAGTGTTTCTGCAGTGGCAAGATTTATCTCGTCTAGCAGAATCCAGTGTCCGTGTCGAAGTGCTTTAACAAGCGTTCCTTCAACAAAAGAGAAAAAAAGATTGTTTTTAATTTGGTCAAGCTGTACAAAAAGTCGCTTTACAGTGTTGGAAAACCTATCCCATTCTTCGCAAAGCACTGGATTCAATTGTTTGGGCTTTTTCTTCTGCACAGATGCATCAGGAACAGCATCGTTATCAATCTTTTGTGAAGCAGAATTGCGTTGTTTATCAAAAACCTGTTTTGCCATTTTAACAGCACTTTCAAACCCAATAATCAATTGGCGCCAATTTCGACGAGCATATGCCTAAAGTTGAGTCAGTTAGCCATATAGTTAAACTTTAAAAAATAAAATTCACATCATACCTTTTGAATTGATGACAAAAAAGATGCATTGTTTTTAACAGAAAAGGTACGACTAAACAAGTCGTCGAATTCCTCGCGAACTGCAACTACCAATAGCAACGCATCCACAGGCTTAAATCCACCCAATAAGTCTGTGCTGTCTGATTGCTGGCTCATATTAATTACAACCAATTTAGATCCAACATGACTAGCAAGATGCTGAACCACGGTCGTTTTGCCTGTTCCTGTCTCGCCAACAAGTAAAACAGGTTCGCACAGCGAAATTGATACGGCAAGTCGCTCAATCAAGCGCAATGAAGGTGAAGTAGGAGCAAATGGGGGACGAGGTGTATTTGCAATTTTGACATTGAAAATAGGGAGAACAACTCGTCCACATACAAGCTTTTTTGATGAAAGATTAGCGTCAATATTTGGAACAAAATTCTCAAGAAAAAACTCTACTCGGTGCTGTGGAATTTGAAGGGTGACGCCAAGGAAGTGTGCAATCTGATTGCGGAAGGAGAGTTTGGGAATCATGGCCATAAAGCAATCAAATGCCTCTCGAAATAAATCTTCGCGTTGGCGTTCTACTGAGCTTGACAGTGTTTGGCAAGATGCCGATTGAATCTGATGGTGGTTACTTACACGATGACACCATTTGATGAGATCGCGGGTTGACAACTGTCGTCCAACAGAATGCATTTCTTGAAACTGCTCACGAAGCGTGGTATATGAGTTCATAATTTCATCAATACAACCTTGGAGAATAGGAAACCGGGAATGGACAACGCGTTTAACCTCGGCATCGTTCATTTCATCAACAAAAATCGCAGTCCAAAGAGACTCTCCCAGATGTTTTTGATTTGCAGAATTTTGACGACTTTTTGTAGCAAATGAGCTGCCGTTTTTTGCAGTGGACGAAGCTGCACGACGGGTCGCAAAAATACGGAAACTATCTTTAGCCTGGATACGCTCGCCACGACTAGGAATATGCAGCCATCTAGTCTCAAGAAGAGGCACCAGCACAGCAACAACATCAACGGGTGCCAAATCAATGTCTTCAATTAAAATCCATCTTCCTTCAGAAACAGCTGTTGTCAAAACGCCTGGCTGCCATTTAAATGACCCAGGAGTGGATGTAGTCATGTATGTGCCAAGAAGAAGCTTACTATCCGTCTGATCTCCTAGATGTATTTTGAGAAGATCTACAGAATTGATAAATAAAATTGTAAGTACAAAAAACGTGAAATTGAAAAGTCTAAACCAATCAAATCATTTAGATTTACCAGAAGAACCAACAAGTCTTGAAGCCTCCTCAACCAAAGTGGTTTTACCCGCACCAGGTGGTCCTTCAAGAAGAATGGGAAGGTTTAAAGAAATTGCAATGCCCATACGATGTAGACACGAAACGGTCGAGTTTGTATGAACCAGATTAGAAGTTCCAGAAATAGAAGATTGCAATGAAATAAGCGCAGATATATCCAAAGGAAGGTGGCCATTTGAGGATAGTCCAGCAGTTATGAGTTGACTATGTGGAAGTAATATACCACACATATCCACAGTTAAGCATGAAAGAGAATCGGTGCGTATCCAGACCTGAACTCCAGAATGATATGGGGAACTCAAGGGCAGCGATGTGAAACTATTTTCAAACAATTTTTCATGCATTGATTCTATCTGGAGCTGCTCGGAAAGTGGAATGAGAGGCAAAAGTGAATTAGGGTTTACCTTGTCCAGATGCTGTTTTAAAAAAACACTACGTTGCGCATCTGACATACCAACTAAAACAGCAAGAGAATGGGCAGTATAAATTCTAACAGTGTCATCTGGATAGTCGAGCAGAGTATAGAGAGCCGCATGATCCCAGATACCAGAAAACACGTTTCTAGAAAAGTCCAAAAGTCGATACATGCTTTTAACGATTGCAGTAAGACGAGAAGTAGATTCGACGGATGGATTTTTAGATAGATATTCTACAGCTGAAAACAACGAAGGTGAATTTTTGAATGCGGTAATTGCATGTGCCTTGACCTGAGGTACAATCGGAAGTAGACAGGAAAATGCAGCTGCCAGATATTCGACAAATACAACAGAAGGATCAAATGCTTTGGATGTTGAAGAAATGGATTTAATTTCAACTCCGTCTCGAGTATGTTTAAGCGATGATGTTTCTACCAAGGTCGCAGGAGAAATGGATACCGATGCCATCATTGCAGTCGTGGTATTTGCAGAAGAAACGATCGAAAAATCTATATTTTTTCCAAGAGCAGACTCGTATTCTGTGGCAGGAAAAAGTAGCCAGCGAGCAACTAGGTCAATGACAATAGGACGAAATAAATGGCATATATCTGGTGTCATTGAAGGACGCAAAAGCAAATAAGATAAAATTTGTAAAAGCAAGTTCAATTGTTCATGTGAAATGCGATTGTGCAATGGGTCTTGACCAGATATATTTGAGCAAAGTGGATCCATGACAGAAGAAAGTAAAGCAAATTCATGTTTCTGTAGAGATGCAATCAAGGTTGGATGTGAAAGCAACATAGCAATTCGAGGAGCAAGGTCCAGCAAAAACCCATGCTGCTCGGATTTATCACAGACGGATTGCATTTCAAAGCAGACTATTGATTGCAAGCGTGTAATAGTAGATTCTAAGGATGACTACCAAGTGCGACAAACTACACGCCGAGTCAATATTTTTAAGCCAAAAAGAAAAAAATAGCAAGAATTCAAACAGTTCACATACGTCACGTGGGACCAGCTGATAGTTTATACGACAAATTAATCGCGTCGACAGTTTACCAAACCATCATGAATCAAGACACTGCTGTTCTTGTTGTGGTGTGGACTCTTCGTCTATTGTTCTTGCTTCCCACTGCATTTATATTTTTTATTTCTCTACTGAAAAACCCTCTTTGTCTATCTCTCCTGCAGTATGGCAAGACCTTTGGAAACTCGATCTTTTCTGTTCCCAAATCTTGGTTTACCCACTTTTATTTCTTTGGTTTATTCTGGAACACTCTTATCGGTTGTGGCTTACTGTCCTTGAATCACTCTTTTTCCCAGTATGCGTTGAAAACCAATACGACTATTCGAGTGGATTATATGATTTCTGGCCAGAGTTGGATCGGCTGCAGCATGAGTGGTCGAGTCTGGTTAATATGGATCCTCATTGAATGCCAAACCCTTCGACGCATGATCGAATGCCTTTTATGGCAGTCTTCCAAGCGTACTTCAAGAATGCATATTCTACATTATGCTGCAGGATATTTCTTTTACATGTTTATGCCGCTGGCTTTATTGGTTGAAACCACCATCAGGCCAATTCTATTCACTATATTTGAACTCGAGTCTTCATTGATTTCTCCTTGCAGCCAGCCAATCACTTTTAAAAGCGGTATATTCTGCATCGTTGGACTGTACATCTTTTTCTGGGCTGGGTGTGAACAAAACTATATTCACATGTACTTGTCAAAACTAAGGCAAAGGATGGACTCTCGAAACCTATCAAAATCTAGAGAATCTAATACAGTTGGCCTGAAAAATACCACTGACAAATCATTGCTCACTATGGCTACCACAACTAATACCTCTACATCTCTATCCACTTCAAACTACATTCTACCACAGGGCAGATGGTTTAATTATGTTGCATGTCCACATTACTTTTTTGAAATCATGATTTATGTTGGATTTGTTGTGATTGCTGGGTTTGCAGATCTGACTACTTGGTGTGTAGTTTTGTTTGTTTGCGTAGATTTGAGCGTGAGCTCAAACATGCAATGGAAATGGTACAAGAAAACATATCCAAATCAGATCAAGTCTTTCTGGAAACGTATCATTCCTTTAATCTTTTGAAAAGATACTTTCATGATTAATTCCCTGCATCTGTCCCAAACCATTTTATAATCTTTCTAGAAACAGTTTGAAAAAAGTATCCCTGTACTGAAATAAACCCCAAACCATGTAATTAAAAGTCGAGACAAAAAAGTTTGAAAGAAAAATATTGGCGCTTTTCAACTACTATATACAGGGATTACGGGAAATATCAAATACACTGGCTTTGGTTCGAATGATCAAAAACCTGATAGAATGTCAGCGTTAAATCATCGTCGTCGTGTCTTATCAAGCAATGTAGTCATCAGAAGATAAGATCCGCTTCTAGAATGTCTTTACATGAACGGGTAACACTTAAAATAAGCATTCAGCTTAGTGACTCCGAGAAGATGCGATGTGCGCCTTCGCAATGGCACGAATTAGTATCCAAATCAATCAGATAGCAAATAAACGTGGCATCAATCCTACACCAGCCACATTGCGTTAGTATTGATATTAAACTCATTTTTCAAATATCAAACAATATACATACGTGTTTTCCACTACTTTGGTCAAGACACCCATGACATAGTAGGGCACAATGGTTGATACAATTGCCACAACCCATTCGTTTCCATCTGTGCCCACACCATTTGAAGTGCGATTCACGGCTCCCCAAAACACGGCTAAACCAACAGTTGATGCAACCAAAACTCGGCCAAGTACGCCAATGATTTTTGCTACGCTTTGGGTGATTAATCCTAAAATGAGATTACGTCGAAAAAGCCTCGTGCAAGCATATGCCGAATCCAAGAATGGATCTCCCGTAAGACCTGTGTTCACCAATGCATAACCAGATATATCATCAATCACTTGAGATACAACGGTCAATGTGGACAATAAGAATCTCATGAACGTGGAGCCTTGAGATGCTCTCTATTGAATTTAGTATTGATATTAAAAAGTTTAAATAAGCTATACTGTCTGATTAGCATATATGCTTGAATCAATGCCAATAAAACCTACACTGCGAATCTTGGAGATTATATACTTGATGGTCTGTACTGCACCAAGAATAAGCGATGCAAGCGCAACTGAGCCAAAGGATTTTGTAGAGACATGTTGAAAATTTCTCCATGTTTGATCACTGCTATGTGTGGGTGATTTAGGTAAACTTCAATCCATAAAGTCAGCTACAGAGCAAAACCTATAAAAATCAACAAGTGTCTAGTCAAGCATTACAAAATACTCAACTCTTCAAAATACCATCCACCAACAACAGATGCGACAGTTGTTTTTTCCAAATTTTGAAAAATAGACGATGTCCAAAAGTAGACAAAGACGAAAAATACGGCGATAAGAGGAGTGGTTTTCGAAGAAACAAAAACTGGGTCGGCGCCATTGCCCACAGGAATGTCAATCTTTACACTTCCAACTAAAAACAGCCGAGAAAAGAGCACAAGCCAGATAACACTGAAGATGAAGTGAGCAATCATAAGAGCTACGGAAAGTCCAAACAATGATGGATTGAGATGCAAAATATCGCACGAAAGCTATATATACAGAGTTTAAAAATGAGTCTACTATATCCACATCAACTAAATCAAAGCTAAAAGATCAATGGAACAAGTCACATACCTCAATAACATGAGTCATGGTATCCACCATATTCCGCCTGCGCCAAATATACGTTCCTAGCCAAATCGAGATAATGATGCCAGAGAATGCCACAGCCATCATGACTTGAATTTCAGATCGTACATCAGGTGTCTTTGGAGCGTATGAAGTGGAGAGCGAGACAAAAAATGTGATTATCGAGACTAGAAAAATCGAAGCGGGTATAGCGATTGCAGTAAAAAAGATGATGGGCTAATAACACCATTGCAGAAAAGTAGAGTTAAAGGCTGGTCAGATAGACTAAATCATGACGATATAGTGGAGACTTACTCTTGCAAAATATGATAGCATAACTAGCCATGCGGCTCCCACCAAGACAGATATAATAGTGAGCACCAATACCGTGACTACAAAAGCAACTGAATGTTAGCATGCACGCAGGGTTGTTGTAGTGGAATCTGCATACATACCAGCAGACTCGGAGAAAGTAAAATAAAGAGTTTTTGAGATGATAGATGAAGAAGGAAGCGATCCTGACGAGGTTGCCGATACGATACCCCAAACAAACATAAACAGCAAAGCAGTCAAGTAAATGAAGGTAACAGAAATGTCACTATAAGGTCGTCGTTCAGGCTCAACATAAATAGACTCGTCCTGATCCTACAAGAAAAGCAATAAGCATGTCTGATACCAAACAGATGAATAACAGTTAAATTCAAGGCAATACCTCGATGGTGGATTCAATCAATGGTTGAAATAATGGATCGACTTGAGCAAATGGTTTAGACTTTAAAAACTGGCCAAATGGATTGCGTATACCCAGTAATGGATTGCTTGACTCTTTCTCAGATGCTTGACTGTCACTCTCATTGTCATCATCGTGGTGACCATATCCAATATCATAAGTAGGATGAAGACTAGGAGGCTGGGCTGTGGCTGGGTAAGCAGAGTTGCCAAACCCAAAGAAACCACCACTGCGAGGATGCTGACCCTCGACACTGTCTTGGTCAGCATAGTCCTCGTAGGAATCCTCAATCCTTAATGCAGGTTCGGTGTAATCAGAGTGTGAGGGATAAGCAGCAGTTGGAGAACGCAGTTGACTGGAATAGTCTCCACCACCTGGTAATGTTGAAGAAACGTTGGGAGAAGCGGAGGTGGCAGGACCAGCGAGCGTAACAGAAAAGAAAGGCGCAGTGCTAATAGAAGAAGACATGGTAGCTGATGGAATTCCAGGACTGTTGTAGGCGGTATGATAAGAAGGCGAGTGTTGTGGAGTAATTGCTGTCTGTCCGCTGTTTTTGGAACTTGACTTGGACATGCTGATTGAATGTTCGCCAACTCGTCATTCACAAATATGCTCGTCAATAATTACACTTTAAACACGTGTTGAGCTGGACCCAATTTTACTCAAATTCACGTAAAGTTTATATTTTATTTTCGAGTAAAATATTGGCCAACTTGTTCAGTTTTTTACTACAAATTGACTTTCAACACACCGATCATCATATAATACAAACTATAAGTTTAAACTGATGCTTTACAACTTGAATTCTGAATTTGTTTGAATAGCCATACATTGTACGATTGTCAAGTTTGGTACCAGATTCATCCATTGCAATCTAGACATTGAATTTGTTTAGATATTGTCAATAAAAGCTTGTACACATTTCTTGTCAATCTGTCTGCCACTCACAAGTGTTGGTGTTTGTATTTAATATTGTTATCAAGATCATTGACATTGCTGGTCGAGATATTTGCACTTGGTAAAAGTCCACAGGTGCGTTCACAACGTCTTGTTGTCCAGGTATTGATGACTACAGAGTTGTCAAGCCATCCATAAATGATTTGACGACAATGTATTATAGAAAGTAGAGATTCATACGTAAAAGGACATGTTTAAATGCTAAACACCACTCAAACTGTTTCTACACGACGATTCGAAAAAACACAATGTTGTCCAGTACATTGACTCGATCAAATATGACTGAATGTTCATTACAAAAACTTTTATTTAGTGTTCCATTTTATGCAAATATGGCTGGTGATAAATTATGCTTTAATATATTCCTTCAATTTGTTTAAGCGATCGTGGAATTTCCACATAAACTTGCGCTGCCACTTGTGGATACTCTCTCACCATCATCTTCCATACTTTTTCCATCGCTTGACCTTGATTTCCTATTGATAGTAGTCTCAGTATCTGCTTTGCTTGCCTCACGGTCAGTGTTCCTCTATCCAGTACCATATCCTCAACAATCACTTGTACTGCATCCTGTATTCTATCGTTTTTTAGCAACTCATCAAAAAGTTGAACATAGAGCTGCCCTGGAACAGGTGAATGATTCGCTGTTACAGTAGACTTGTACGTGTTTGAATCTGTAGACGACTTGGGCTCATACGATCGTAAAAGTCTCCATTCAGAAAACAACAATGTATAGTCCTTGCAGCTACAGCACCATACAAAAAATGCTCGACAAAGACTAGTCGAGTCAAGTCGCTCGCTAATTGAATATGAATTCCATATTTTCAATACAAAATCATATATCTCATCTAGTGTCCATTCATCTCTAGATTGCTGATCCTTGCTCTCCGTTGTCGCAAATCTTGCTTTATATTGAATGTCTGCCATCATCTGCGTTAGTCCATGAATCATTTCTGCATCGTGCTCAATGGTCGGCCCACAGGATCGTAGCCAGCATAATTCATAGTAAACATCCCGCATCCGCCGATAATCAGACTTGGTTTGCCCATAGTATTTTATTAGCTTTAGCGACATTAATCCTACTGGAATATTCACTTGCTTGGCTCGTTCAATCCATTTCTCAACGCAGGATTCATTTACAGGAGTACAAAACGTATCTATTGCTGTAGAAAAAAAAGCGTCCGTTGGCACAACCCCTGCTGTCTGCATCTGCATATACAATCCATTGATCGCATTTTCTGCTTCTTGTAAAGTAGCTTCAAATTTTAAACATGCAACAGCCATCACTTCAAATGTCTCGATACTTGGTAAAGCAATTCGCTTAAATTCTCGTCGCGCGCTCATCAGATTACCTTGAGTGGATGCATACAATACCTTTGTGGCTAAAAACTCGGCTGTTTGATCGTCATTTGCTGCGTGTAGGCGCTCTTCGATCTTGTCAACTAGGTAATGGCGAGTCTTTTCAGAAGACTTGTTTATGATGGGGATGATAATGTTCAAGGTGGCTGTATCAGGAATAACACCGTCTTTCTGCATGCAATCAAAATACTTGATGGCATGTTTAAAACGTTCAAGTTTTAGGCAAGCCTTGAGCACAATATTATACATTAGCGACTTTGAACCAAGCGATTCATGCCATACAATATCCAGACGAGAGAAAGCTTTCTGGACAAAATAAAACAGTCTATTCTTGTTGATACCTTGAATAATCTCTATATACACCTGTGCATTGACGCTGGACTCGCTATAGTTAAAAATGCGCCAAAGAGCAGGTATATCGCCTGTCAGGGCACATAATTTGGCCAACACGTTCAATCCCTTTGGCGATAATAGACGAATATGTCGAGTCAAATGCTCAATCAACACTCCACATTCGTTGAATTTTTGCTGTACAGTAGCAGCTTCGATCTGCAAAACATTCAACTCGAGAGAAAAGATATCCACTTGATCTTGATCCAAATTCCAAGCCGTGGCTCCCATTTGCTGGTATTCCATCTGATATTCTTTTACCAATGCATCAAAATAATCAAAATCCTTCCATTTGAGCAATTGAGATAGTATGGAAACATAAGTCCAGCTCATCCAGGAGCTTGAAATTGTTTCGATAAACATGATTATATCCGATTTGGTCTCAACAGAATGATCACACAAGCAAATAAATAAATAGGTATATACGGCAGCATCAGGCAGCAATCCTTTCTGTTTTATAAATTCAATAGCCTGATTCGCTTTGGCTATGGAAGTGACTGATGATGGTGATGGAAGATGATATGCCTCCTGCACCACTGCTGATAGTGAGATGTTGTTTGTAACCAACGAGGATAAAACATATTCAAGAAGATGTTGTCGATCAAATACCAATAGATCAGACTGATTGATGGATCGAATGAGTGACAGGATTTGCTGAAGCTGGATGGTATTGGGCCGAGATTGAATATTTGTTGGAAGTTGGTACAAGGTGTGAACATGATAATCTTTTTTAGATTCAGTATCAGGTATGGTAATCTTTGAATTCAGCAGTGCGGCAGCCTGCAACCGTAATGATTCAATCGGGCTCGTTGCTGTATTGATGCTGACATAGTTGCAGTATCTGATCATATTCCAATAGACTGGTGATGCTGAATGCTGCTGGTTGATGAAACCAATCTGACTACAATGTCTATGTCGAGTGATTGAATGAAGTTTATTGGAAGACAAAAGAAAAACTCTAAACCTATGCCATATCATCATCTAATCCGGTGCAGATCGATCTAATGGTAAAGGTTTGCTGTTTCGACAACAATTGCAGTCGTATTCACGTAAAATGAAGCACCAATAAGGGTGTCAGTGTATAATAAACACCCAATTTCATGAAATGATTATTCTCACCAAATTTACTGAGCATTGTTTTTAAACTACAACTCACTGGCTTCTGTAGAAACAACTGAACACATGTTCAAAGCAGTATTCACGCTTGTTTAATCTCCAACTTTATTTTCAAACATTGGATAATTGTCATGGAAACCATGGTTGCATTCTTGAAATGTGCAATCTTTGTTTTCTCGAGCTAGAGTACAACATAGTGTGAGATTAAGATACAAAACGAGTTTGTAGAGATGACAGATGGACGCTGTGTTCATTGAAAAACTGAACACTTTTATCAAAGCAGTCGATTTATGGTAGAAACCTATTTAACCATTTTATATTTCAAAGCAAAGAAGCTGAATGCAAGATAAATACAAAAGTGTTTCATTTTACGTGAATATGGCTGTAAATACTACAGTCAGACAAAATGGCGAGATAATAATAAACACCTCAATTTTCCAATAAAATGTGGGAATAACAATGTATAGGCGTATAACCAGAGATTGAGGATGAGAATAGTATAGCATATAGCGAAAAATGCTATAATATAAAGACTAGAACAGATCCAAGGCAGTCCGTCCATAAAAATAGCCATGGTACAAAAGGTGCAAGAGTCCAAAAAGCGCAGTATCAATTATAAAGGTTCATTTATAATCTGCCAATCATAATGATACATTTCTAGAGCTTTACCAAAATGATGAGTTTGCGTTATAACTGTGGAGTGGTTTCTCGCAAAGCACAACGGAATCGTTGTACAAGTGGGTCCATGTTAAGATGACGACGAAGAGCATCCTTGCGAACAAAACCTAGTCATAAAAGTTGAATGAGTGATTTTGTTGAAAATAAATCAGCTCGATGCAACAAAAAACACAATACACACCTTTACCACAGCGAGAACACTTGAATGGCTTTAAGCCAAGATGAATACGAGCATGTCGGTTAAGATCATGACGACGCAGGAACGATTGGGTACAAATACTACATTCAAATGGTCTAGTAGACTGGTGGACACGGTAATGGGATCTATAGTCGCATTGTCGGTGATACGATTTGTCTAAACACACCAAATGAAATTAGATTTACTATTCAAATCAAAACAGATTAAATCTAGCACTAAATAAAACTTACCACACTTTGGACATCCAAACTTGCCATTACTCAATAGAACGGGAGCGACAGCGGCACTCACATCATCATCACTCTTTATAGCAGTGTCTGCATCAGGGCACGCATCGAGTTTGGACTCTGCCTCAACAGTAGGAACAACATCATCAAAGCTGTGATCTGTAGAGGATGAAAGAGTGCTTGAATAGGCAGAAAGAACAACGGATGGCAAGTATGTGCTTTCCTCTCGTTGTGACGCGCTAGAAGAATGCGAATATGGAGATGCAGGCTCAGAGTTTTGACGATCAAAACTTTTATAGTGATCAGGATTAGAAGTATGCTCCCATCCACACTTGGAAGGTGGGAATGTGGCGGATGCAGGAGGAGTATTGCTTTGGATGGCAGAATAGGATTCATCGGTAGGTGTTTTGCATGAAATATGCTCTTTGTCAGTAGAAAAGTATTGATAATAGTGGTTGCTGTACTTGTTCCTATAATTATCATCACGAGTAGTCGAATGAGTCTCTTCATCCATTGCGGCCGACTCTTGTTCATGATATGCATATGCATGGCAAAGATCATGCAGCGTGGAAATTGAAGATGGCAGACAAGCGGAAGCAGGCGTGAGCGAAGGAGTAGGAAGAGTGGAGACTAAAAACAAATGCACAAGAGTATTAGTCAAGAGTAAAAAGCATAATTGATAAGAATAAGGTATTGTTCAATAGTAGAGCAGCGTGGTAGATGGGGAGAATGGTCATGCACAGCAAAATTAAAGTTGGTGATATAAATCTATATCGAATGTGTGCAGTGAAAAGATGGATTGGCCGAGTCTAATTTTACAGGCTTGCCATCAAGCTTGGCTACTGAATGTTCAACTAAAAGCCTCGAATTAAACAAAAACGCTGTGTTGAACCGATTCAAAGCCTGTGTGATGATTCAGTATAATCTAAACCAACAGGGGTCAAGTATGGCAATACTAAACCACATCGCCATAAAGAAATCTCCACAAGAGATTGCCTGCTTCAGGCAAATCCTACTCTTGAAAGCAGGACACTGCGTACCATCAAAACAAAGTGCACATCATTAAACCATACCTTGCGGCGTATGCTCAGAACTATAAAAACCAGAGTTGGGCGAAGGATAATTGCTCAGTGTATTGACTGCACAAGACAGTCGTCTATCGGGAATGAACCGAGTGGAAACTGTCAATTCAGCAGGTTTAGATCGTGGAGAGTAAGCCATGGGCAAGTTGTGGCCGTCATTTGAGGTCGATTTGGGCGTAGCTAGAGCAGAACTGGGAGTTGAAGACAGTAAAGAGGGGGTCATTGAACGCAAATCACCCAGCGCAGCCAGCGACAATAACGATAACGAAGTCATTTGTGGTTGATTATGGGTGTTATAGTTAGGTTCGTAAAAAGAGCAATCGAGGGGCCGTAAATGAGGCAACTTTTGCCTTTGTGGTTGGGGCTGCCGACACTTTACCAGAGTGTGGCTGTCGGTTGACAAAGACTTGTGTGCACAATCGAGATCGGATTGACTGCAACTGAAAGCGGTGCTGCAAGAATTTTCCATGGATTGAGCAGTAGGATGGGATGGGTCGTATATAAAAGTCATTTGGGAATCAGTCGATGATGAATGGGTTATGGATGGGCACGAAAGAGTAGAGTTTGATACGGTGGTAGTAATAGTAGATTCAGTAATTTTGGGTGAACAAATAAATGGTCGAGGTGAAGTGGACAAACACGAATCAAGCAAACTCGATGGGCGGTGAATACTATCTTGCGAAATGAAATGTGGCATGTGGCTAACCCTACTATGAGCCTGTTGTAGTGACTGTGTGAGTGCAGATGTGCATGATGAAAAAGGCATATTGTCTCTAGGTGGAGTTATATTAGCAGCCAATGGTACTATGGACAGGGCAAATACGGGGCTACTATCGGTACTTTTTTCAACTCTCATCACGTCCATTCCTTGCTCGAGTTCTGTTTTGTGTTTCCCTCCTTCATTGCCTGTACACGTCGCGTTGCTTGGTTTCGAGGCGGGGATTCTAATGTGGCTAACCCTCTTGTCCAATGCTCTTGTCTGTTCACAAAAACATGTCGACTCTACTGAGGCTAGTATGGAAAGCTCATGTGATGCTTTGGCGTGGGCGGAGGTTGAATGCGTCGGAGTAAACTGAGGGTTGGATCCTGTTTCTGCAGCACACAGTGCACTTGCACTCGCCAAGGTAGAACAGTGTAGATCTAAATCTATATCATCATACACCCATGACAACGAATTTGTGCGCGTAAGTCGAGGCTGAGTGCTACTGGAAGACTTGTGGCAATGAAACTGCTGCATCTATTGTTAACAGTATTCAAGCAGCATATGGTGTAACAATAGTGTCAGTCAAATTAAATCAACCCACAGTAGGCTTGTGTGCGTATGTAGGATGGTAATGATGTCGCTACTCAACACAGCAATCAATCAAACTAGTTGGCATGAAAAATAGCTTTGACGAGTGCTAGAAACCATGCATTTGTTTAAAATAAGATTTAAAGACTGGATGTTTACCTGAAGGGTATTTAAGGCATGATGAGAAGTAGACAGATTGTCATCCATGTTTGAATCGTCACTTTGATTATTGGTGTCAGTAGGAGAATGCTGACTGGCCTTGTCGAGAATATTCATATTACAAAAAAACGAATCGGAGCGTTTCGTGTCGATTGCTGGATTGTCATGTATCCACTTGAAGGCGGAAGTTGGAGTCGAGTGCACAGCTGGCAATGCATCAAATGTGTTGCCGTGATCGTCATAAACTGGTGCAGAATCAGAAATATCGTCACAGAGCATCGACATAACAGTAGCCATTTTGAATGATTTTGAAATGAAATAATTAATTAAAGGTATTGCTCGTTGAAAAGACTAGACTGTATATACGCTGGTAAATAGTATAATAGGCGTTTATGACTGTGTGCACCACAAAGATGAAGGTTGGAATTAAAAAAAACAAGGATGGCGGAGTGAAAAGCCTTTTTATTAAAATGACTGATAATGCTGGGCAAATACTGAAAGACTGGATTAGCCTCAAAAAGAATAGGCACTGCCACGAAAACAACAGTTTATTGGAACAAGGGTTGATTTGAACATGGCCATATAATGGCTGTGAAATTGAATCATGCAACACCAAATCTGACACGATCCCATACATATTTCCAGTTGCTAGACTATCTATTTAATCCGACAATATCCAGCTCATGACAATACATCTCCAAAAATAGCAAAATAGATTAAGCGTAAAATTTGGTTGGGCGTGAGTTGACCAATATGCAAACAAAAGCACATAATTTTATTCACCAGGGAATGAAGACTAGATCAGGCTGAATCCATCAAAAACCGGGTATGCGTGACACAAGAATTGAGGCAACAGGTTGTAGAAACTCGATAGTGGCAACACCGCTTGTAGTATGAATACAAGCACACAAAGCAAGTTTAACCGACGGAAGATACAACTCGAAGCAAATATTTGCCAAGCCAATTAATGGTCAAGATTCGGCTTACAGTATCATTTTTGTTGCCACAAACGCATCCTTGAGTTCAGTAGTAAGAACATCAAAACCAAGTCTACCCTACAATTTTTTATTAATAGTAGCAACTACACTAGAAAGAATGATCAAAACCCTTTGATGGTCTTTAGCCATGTTTATTACCCAACATCTCCGCCCAAAAAGCACCGCGCTGCATAAACGAATAGTGCACTTAATGACCAGCATCAATCATTTAGATCAGACAGTTATCGTGACGTGGCTGAATTTTATAGGGTATCAAGCATATTTGTGTGGTAAATGGTCACCCCAACGTGTATGTGTTTCAAGGTACTACAGCCGTATTCATGTAAAAATAAAACACTAAATAAGAGTCAAAATACATAATAAACTGCCAATTCCCACCATATCTACTGGACAGCATGTGTCCTGGACTCTACTTGACTGGTCTCCATGATCATGCTTGTGTAAGCAACTGACTGAGTGTTCAAATCAGTATCCATACTTGTTCAATCTGCAACTCTCCTACAAACCAGTCATTGGGTGACATGGAAACAGCTGCTGTATTCTTGGACTAGAGCGCGAACATACAAGTTTACTATACAACAGATATGAGTTGTTTTGGCAGCATCAAAACAGTCAAGCCAATATATAGATTGCAATCAATGAGTACAGTGATTGTACAATGTATGGTCATGCCAAATGTGGACAATCTCGGTTCAAAACTATAGTTTGAGTGACTATCACAATGAACATTGTGTCTATCAAACAGGCAGCCAATTTGTAACAACGATTATTCAGCGATTATTCAACGATTATTTATTCCAAAGCAAAATAGTGACTGCAAGATATATACAAATGTTCCATTTCATGTTCCATTCCATATAAACATGGCTGTAAATATCACCACTCGGACAAAATGAATGGAAACATCTATTTATATTCCAACAACCCAATCCTGACATGTTTTAAAACACTGATGATATCAAACAGACAGCTGTTGTAACCTTTCAAAAACAAGAGTTTTTGAGTTGTGACATTGCACGATTGGTTTAGATTATCATACAGACTCTATAGATGAAATGTTGAAGATCGTGCTAGAACAAGACTGATGTGGTATTGTACTGTATTGGATCGAGAGGAACAGATTGACAGCAAACTGGCTGTGACAACAAGTTAAATTGTTACCACAATGCAGCAGACACGAGCGATAATAATCTTGCCATTCAAATGGACAGATGAACAATCTACTGATATTTGCGAAACAACAGCATCAATAGTGGCAATTCCTTATCTCATCTTTCCATTCTCATCAGTTGTAAACCAAATAGGGAGACTTGGGTTTGCAAGGAATAAATGCTCAGCTATTTTCTCCGGCAATTTTATTCTTGGCCGCTCATTCATTCTAATTGGATTTGTATTGGGTTACGAGTGTGATCATTTTCAACTATGCCTTAGATATATGTTCTACATTTTTCATGTATTTATTGATCTGTCGACAATTAGGATCAAACATTTGGAACAATTGTTTGAGGAGTCGTAATTGACGGTCGTGGTGTAAGAATGTCATTTGCATCCATAGCCGTGGAATTGATACGTAGCTGCTCAATTGGAAGCCCTCGTTTTGTCGTAAATTCTGCATTTTCAACACCGTGCTGTACATACCTGCATGTTGCCCAATGCATTAAATGGGTTTCAAGGTAGCCAACAAGACTGAAAAGAACTCTAAACGGTAGAGGATTGACCGATGTACGCTAATTATTGTCATGGGTGTAAAAGCAGAGTTGACAATGAGTTGGAAATTAAGCTTTCATTATACATTTGGCAAGCTTATTTACCTGAGCTGCACAAAGCATCACGAATGACATGAGCAGCATGCCAACTGATGCAGTTCCATTGGAATCGTCCAGTGTTTTAATGAATGTTCCAATTCGACGAGCGATACTACGCTTACTTTGTCCCGCAGAAGTATTATAGTATTGACCAATTTGAATCAGTATGCATATGCATGCAACCAGAACAATCTGGATTATGAACCGAGATAGTGTCCTAGTTTGTTATTATAGAATGCATGTTAGTCATTGTTATGCATAGCTATACTTGAGTTGTAAAATCTAGCCGATGGTGTCGAATTTAAATCTACACATCTTCAAGCTTACCATATCAAACTGTACGAACTGGCAAAGTAAGAACAGTCACTACCGTCTATGCATAGATTCAACAATCATAAGTGCCTACTTAGTAAAACTCATCAACACCTTTTAGCATTTTCAAATAATCCATTACCACTGATAGTCATGGCTCCAATAGAAACACCTATTTGTGCCAACACTGATGCACTAAGAAACAGTTTTACAATAAAACTAGACCGGATCTTGTGGATGGTGAGACTTTGAATAATCAACGAGCTCAGCGATCGGATCTGAATGGTGAGCGACAGTAAACCGTTGTCAAATAAACATCCAGCTGGTGTGCTCATGATCAATAACCTATAAATTGGTCATATGAAATATTGCACATGTACAGTAATCAGATTGTGTTGCATGAGAATGCATGCATTTTCCATGCCAATGTTGATTGTTGCACAGACGCATACTCAAAGTATGTGATCAAATAAAAGCATCATGCTCCATAGCTCCAATCTCAACCTACCCCGTGGCTGATAGCTGAATCATCATGGCAATTGTTTGAATCATGTTGAGAAAGTATATGCCCTCTGTTGGTCGCAGCATAGTTACTTTCATAGATTTGGCATATAGGAGAATACCGAATCCTGTGGTTATGCCAATAGCGTATAGAGATAAGTCATGACTATCGTATACCATACGAATAGGTGTTCTGTCCAATTCGAATGCCATTTTAGCGTAGTTTACTACTGGTTTACTTGATGAAATAAATTTGTCAAATATAAACGTGCTATTAAAAGTGAAAGCTTATAGGATTCAACTTATTGAGCTAATAATCAGCTATGCAAATTGGTCAAGATCCAAATTAAGTAGTACTTGCAGCACGTGAGGTGTAATGGGGTTGTTTAAATTCAATCATGGATGGGGTTGTATCGTAGTCATGGATAAGGTTGTATTGTAATCATGGATAAAGTGATTAAACTGGCAATAGACATTTTGGCAAATAATTTTACGTTTATTCATATACTACAGCCGTATTCATGTAAAATAAAACACTAAATAAGAGTCAAAATACATAATAAACTGCCAATTCCCACCATATCTACTGGACAGCATGTATCCTGGACTCTACTTGACTGGTCTCCATGATCATGCTTGTGTAAGCAACTGACTGAGTGTTCAAATCAGTATCCATACTTGTTCAATCTGCAACTCTCCTACAAACCAGTCATTGGGTGACATGGAAACAGCTGCTGTATTCTTGAAATATACTGTATTCTTGGACTAGAGCGCGAACATACAAGTTTACTATACAACAGATATGAGTTGTTTTGGCAACATCAAAACAGTCAAGCCAATATATAGATTGCAATCAATGAGTACAGTGATTGTACAATGTATGGTCATGCCAAATGTGGACAATCTCGGTTCAAAACTATAGTTTGAGTGACTATCACAATGAACATTGTGTCTATCAAACAGGCAGCCAATCTGTAACAACGATTATTCAGCGATTATTCAACGATTATTTATTCCGAAGCAAAATAGTGACTGCAAGATATATACAAATGTTCCATTTCATGTCCCATTCCATGTTCCATTTCATGTTCCATTTCATGTTCCATTCCATGTTCCATTCCATATAAATATGGCTGTAAATCAGTCAATCCAAGAATCGAGTCCAACTATTTGCCACAATAGATTTAAACTTTTTGACTAAAGTAATCTCTAATATAACCCTCAAATTGATCATCTGAAAATTTAAGCTGAAATTGAAATTTGGAAATAGCATTGATTAGATTACAAAATAGTGTACTCCGATATACTCTTTTTTTCAACTGTTTAAAATACATATGATGACGCAAATCAATGTCCCAGTCAAAAATACTTACATGATTGCCAGGTAAGCTGGAGAATACTAGACTGTTTGACTTATCTAGTGATTTTAAACCAAGACGATCTTCTTTATATAGCAACTGCTCTTTCAAATCCTGTAATTCACCTTGAGCATTGTAAAAAGAAAACCACGCAGTATCTTTTGGTGCAATCATTGTGTCGTTTTCAAATCGAACCATGATAAACTTATCAAGAGATCTGAGTCGCTTGGCATACTCGGTATTGATTGAATCGTCTCGATCATTGTTGATGTCGGCAAGAAAAGCACTTTTTGAGAGGTATTGCTCCATATCAGTGTACCGCTTAAAGTACTGAGCCTGAACAACTTTTTTTTGAACCCATGGCCAATATACGCCTGTGCGAACGATGGAGCGCATTATAGAGCAACTTGTATCAGATCTATCAGCACAATTCGGAATATCTGATACTCCACCATGTGGTGATCCAAAAGTGAGGAGTGTGTGGATAGGTGGACTGGATAGGCATTGCTGCACCACTGCTCTTAAAAACAGTCCACCTTGTGAGAAGCCAATTGCATTGAATCCATTTGCAAGCTCAGGAACACCAGATATATTGTCACAAGCTTCTTGAATCTATTGTTAGATTCAATTAAAAAATGTTTAGTGCTGCTTAAAGAATATGGATGGAATCAGATAATTGCTTTCCAGACACCCATATGCCTTGCACTATGAATCAAGACACAACGATGGTCTAGATTAACAAGACATCAACTCAAAAGTACTGAAAACTCACTTGCGAACTCACAAGCCCAAAAAAGGATGCTTGTCGGTCTTGCTCAAGGGAGTCGCCCAGCTGGACTGAGTAAATAAATACACCTGGCAACCATCTCTGAATCATTTCAGTCAGCCTTTCCAGACTATCTGGATCACAACACGAATCACCCATGCCATGCCATAGTACAATAGGTCGATACGATGGGTCTGGTTGTTGTTGAAGAGGCTGTTGCCCTTCCGAATGAGAACCCCAGCCAATAGGTGGCAGATGTTGAGTTAGAGCACTTTGAACCAGCAGTGCTACAAATAGTAACAAATCAAGCATAATGCCACTAAACAATAGCAAAAGTATAAATCACGCTGGCGATAAAGGGTATGAGAATGAAAAGATAAAAGATAAATTGCCAGCAACCAGTATTTGTGTATTTGCATAAATTCCATTCAACCACTTTTGTGCCGGATTTGTTTGGTTGTTTTCTTGATAATGTTTCGCAAATATCAGTAGATTGTTCATCTGTCCATTTGAATGGCAAGATTATTATCGCTCGTGTCTGCTGCATTGTGGTAACAATTTGACTTGTTGTCACAGCCAGTTTGCTGTCAATCTGTTCCTCTCGATCCAATACAGTACAATACCACATCAGTCTTGTTCTAGCACGATCTTCAACATTTCATCTATAGAGTCTGTATGATAATCTAAACCAATCGTGCAATGTCACAACTCAAACTCTTGTTTTTGAAAGGTTACAACAGCTGTCTGTTTGATATCATCAGTGTTTTAAAACATGTCAGGATTGGGTTGTTGGAATATAAATAGATGTTTCCATTCATTTTGTCCGAGTGGTGATATTTACAGCCATGTTTATATGGAATGGAACATGAAATGGAACATTTGTATATATCTTGCAGTCACTATTTTGCTTTGGAATAAATAATCGTTGAATAATCGCTGAATAATCGTTGTTACAAATTGGCTGCCTGTTTGATAGACACAATGTTCATTGTGATAGTCACTCAAACTATAGTTTTGAACCAAGATTGTCCACATTTGGCATGACCATACATTGTACAATCACTGTACTCATTGATTGCAATCTATATATTGGTTTGACTGTTTTGATGCTGCCAAAACAACTCATATCTGTTGTATAGTAAACTTGTATGTTCGCGCTCTAGTCCAAGAATACAGTATATTTCAAGAATACAGCAGCTGTTTCCATGTCACCCAATGACTGGTTTGTAGGAGAGTTGCAGATTGAACAAGTATGGATACTGATTTGAACACTCAGTCAGTTGCTTACACAAGCATGATCATGGAGACCAGTCAAGTAGAGTCCAGGACACATGCTGTCCAGTAGATATGGTGGGAATTGGCAGTTTATTATGTATTTTGACTCTTATTTAGTGTTTTATTTTACATGAATACGGCGGTAATGGTGATTGCTCAGGAAAAAGAAGCCGAAATAGGGTGATGTGCCAGACACAAATGAATGGGCATGTGATGCAGTGCTCTATGATGAGAGCACTGATTTGACACAATAAGAGCGGGCGGATGGGGATAAGGGACAAATATGCTTGTGTGATCTGGACAAGAAATGGATGGTTAGCTTCACAAACCTTGTTGCCAACCACCTATTCAGGGCGAGTTGAAAATCGCGACCTTTATTTTTGGCTGAATGCTCTACTATACAATACACAAGGGCTGTATGCAATTGGTACGGCCTTGTATAGGGTGGAGAGTCAAGGGTTTGTGGTTAGATTTTCAAGGGTTATATACATCAGAGCAGTGTTGATATGGGGCTGGCTAGTTGTGAATTACAGATGAAGCATTTTGACATGGTTTTCACTGGAAACAAGCTTGATTAAATATATAAAAGAACACGATTTCCCCTCACCAGCCATACTGCATCATCTCGTTTGCGTTAAAACCTTTCCATAGAAATTAGACAAAAGGAAACAACTAGCAGTTGCATTAGATTCAATAAGCTGCCCGCATCTTAATTGATTATATCCAAAACAAGCCTTTAAGCTTTAATCCTTCATTTTATATTCCATCAGTTTCGTCATGAAAAGTCCTCATAGTAGCCTCCGCTTGGTTATCCCAACAGCTCAACAGATCATTTCTGTCCCAGTGCAGCTGTCGGAAACTCGACGATCGCAATGCTCCTCGTTCATAGAGCTTCACCATCAGCTCGAGCATGAGCTTGATAACCAAACACCTGATTTGAAGGATTTCTACGATTGGCAGCAGCAACTCAAAGAGCATCAGCAGCAGCAACTCAAGGAGCACCAGCAGCAAAACAACCAGTATTACTTTCTTCGACGGTTTTCTCGTGCATCTACTGTTGACATGAACCAGTCACTCTCTATGGTTGCGCTATCTGCAACCACACAGTCTTCGCCCATTTGGTATGCATCGTGTCTCTACAGCAATGGAGCCGTGAGCACGTCCATGTCTACCATTCTTAGCGAGTCCAGCTGCCACAGTGCTCGTACTCCGTATGACATTCCAATTGATTTGAGTATACCCTCTTCTACCACAACATACAAGCGTTCTCACAGTGTTTCAATATCTCGATCAATGCAGATGATTGACGGATTGCTAGCTGATTTGGACATGTCAGTCAATACCATAGATGAACATCACGAATGTTTAAAAAACTCCGACTCCACAATGATACCTACAACTTCTTTGCGCATCCAGCCATTTGATATGCTTTATCGCCGCAGCTCAAATGTCTAGTCCATTGTTTTTAGAAAATGGTTTATTTGCCATTATCTAACCTAATCTCATGGCTGTTTCGTAAAAAACACCACAATAAACAATTTGCATTAGAATTTGAAATTGTAGATTTGAATATATTTTGTTGGCATCCAGTGTATTAGTGGAAGTGGGTCAAGCAACCTATCCACATCAGCACATTGAAAATGATGTAAAATTAAGCTGATTCTGTTTATCGACCAAATACTCTTTCGTGTAAATTTCATCTCAGTATGGCTGCCTCGATAAGCGTATGTGGTGCTACACATATATTACCAGGCTTGTCACTGCAAGGAAACACGGTAGGTGGGGAATTGATTTTGGTAGCGGTGTTGATATCAGTAAAAAGCCAGCGCCAAGCCTGTCCATTTGCATCTATAGCATATCCGCAGTCATCTAAAATAGAAACAAGTGTAGCGTTTGCGATCCCATTCACCAGAGACAGCAAAGGTTTTGGCGCAACGGTTTTTTGCGAGTCTTGTACCGATCGAGTCTGGGTTGAATCTACGCAGACTCCATGGTTCATTACAACATATACTTTTCCTTCACGCAAAATCACCATATGTGCATCATTACAGGCAATATGCTGAATCGCTCCATTGTTCAGTCCAAAATCCAATCGAATTGGCTTGTAAAGAGCAGTATCTTTGGTTGCCTTTATATCCACATTCTCTTTGTCCAAAGTGTCAGTATTGTCCAACCCATCTTTAGATTTGTCTCGAGTTTCACCCATGACCCATACACCACCGTCTCTATCAGTCAAAACAGCTCGATCAGGACCCAAAACTACTGAATTAATAAACACCTTGCTTCGCTTAGTCCCATTCATGGCTATAACAGTATGGGTAGAAAATGGAATACCGTTGCGCTGCTTTACGCTTTTTCCGGTAGATTTTTTCTCCTTGCCAGACTTTGCCGGTGCTTGCCATGACAATTCCTTTGGTGCAAAACCAAATGTGTGTACTTGTCCTGATTCCGTCACCATCCACACTAAATTACCACAAGCAGCGATGGACTGTACATTGTTTCCTGTAACATGAGGTGGAAGACGCACGAGTACATATTCTTTTGAAGGCGCGTCTGCATAGAACCATTGCTGAGAACCAGTCGTTCTAGGATTGGTAAGCTTTCCAAACATGAATACGATTCCAGTGTTTTTTGTCAAGAGAAAGGATGCATGATCAGTGGTTGCAATCTGTTTGATAGGTTGCGTGTCAAGCCCTTGAATAAGTTGAGGTGTTATGCCCTGGTGAGTACGCCATGCAGTTAAAGCGGCCTTGGTTACTAAATTGGCAGCGTCAAATGCAGGATCGGTAGACACATTCTGGTGTGAAATAAAGCCGTGTGCATGCAGACCTCCAAGAGACCAAACGCGGCCATCATCAGATAGTGCTAGACCATGCTCCAAACCTGATGCAAGGGATACGATACGTGCATCTGAATTGGATATTTTTAAATGAACAAAAGGACTAGGTTCCAAAAATGCACTTGATAGTTTGATTGTGTGCTTTAAAGTGCTTTCAGCTGCAGGGGTTTCGAGACTGGCTGGAGTACTTTTCTTGTCTACATTGGGTTGTGAGCGGTGATTTGTTGCTGAGCACGATAAAAAAGTATACATGTAGAAATCAAATATAATTGGATTTGGTTAAATGTGGAAGTTTCATGGGTTACAATAGTCAAGTAAAGTTTAAATTACCTTTCTCAATATTGGAACCAAAAGTAGAATGCTGATCTTGTTTAGACGATGAAATGACCCAATCAGGGGTGCCAAACGTCAAAGGAGGTTGAGATTCTGTAGCGGCTGCATTGAAATATTTTGAGGATGTCTCTAAAAAAGGTACTTTTGAAGTAGTAGTAAGCCCAGGCTTGATGAGCTCAAGAGCTTTGTGATCGTCAAGTAGTTGTTCGCGGGCTTTGCGAAACTCCTCGACAAGTGGATGTGGAACTGCATCCTTTTCAGCCTTGAAGCTTGGATATATTGCACATCTGGTTGCTGCTTTACTCTGACCCCCAACACGACGACCACCCGATGCTACAATTCATTCAAAAATACAAGTTGGTCAATTAATAAAAAGCGTTGAACAAGATATATAGAAGCGGTTCCAGATCTGAACATCAATGTGTTCGCTACAGTCACGGTTTAATATACTATGCAGTAACTTACCATGTTGCTTTGCAGAAATAATGGCTGGTTGAAGTGACAAAGATCGGACAGGTGAGGAGCACACATCGCGCCTATTAGAGCTGTGAATTCCAAACGAATGCGATTTCGAGGGTTGGTAAGATGGTCTGTTTGCTGCTGAACTACCAATTGTTTTTAAAGAAAAAGTCTGGCTGTTCTTGCTTGCAACTATTCGGGCATTTCCAGCACTTGTATTGGTGCCCAGTATCTTCTTTTTTTGCATGAGTTGATCCATATAGCCAGAGTCTCGACTATCAGGCTCTTGCTTTCGCTTAACAGTTCGTGTAGATTGCTTGGCAAGTTGAAAACCATTGTTTTTAACATAGTTATTCTCTTGAGTGGCCTGTTTTAGTTGCATAATGGATGCTCTACCTGGAAGCATGTGCAAGCAATGTTAGAGTGGATAGAGTTTAAATAGATTTAGAGTGCATTGTTGTATATATATTATAAGTCTAGTTTATTTCAATGCCTTATTTGCCAGGATGTATTAGATACAACTTACAAGTTTCGGACATACTAATGGCGTGCAAGTCAATAATTGAACGGGTTAAACTGAAGACAAATGGAATGAGAACGTAGCATAAATATTTATTTCCATTTCAAGCCAATTTCGGCATGTTTTAAACATTCTGATGGCAAACAGACTATTGTTGCAACATTTCGGAAACGTAAATTCCTCGTAAAATTACACGATTGATTCAGATTAGCGTAGAATATACAAGTGGGATGCTCAAGATCGTGTCAGAGCAAGACTGTATGCATCGTTGTTCTGCATTGAATCAAGAGAAGCAGATTGTTAGCAAACTGACCGTGTCGACAAGTCAGATTGTCGTTGTGGTACACAGACACGGTCAATATTCCTGCCATCTAAATCAATAGATGAATAATAAACTGATATCTTCAAAACAGCAGCATCAAGACTAGAAATTCCTCACTTCATTTTCCCATTCTTATCCCTTATCATCAATCGTAACCTGCTAGTTCTACTGTTCTACCAACTGTTCAGCAAACAATGCCACGAGGTATAGGCTTCGTATTGTCCATTATTAAACCCTGCAGATAATTATTTGAGCACAATAAAAAATGGTTTTGTACGATCTGCAATTCCAGGCACAAAAGATCCCGAATGCTAATTGAAGCAGTCAGTCTGTAGTAGGAAAACTGAATACTTGACCATTGTTTACTTGAAAGCAAGATACAGATGTTACATTTTATGTGAATATAATCGACATTGCAAACCGCCAATGTTGAGCTCAGAATTGGATTATACGGCAGATATGACTCCTACTGTATCCGATAAAAATAAATAATACATTGCAATGCTCACTATTTTGTATTTATATTACTCATGTTTCACCACAATGCCCTGTACACACTCAAGCTGGATTCTTCAAGAATGTGGGTTTTTAAATAAAGTTCAACTATAGCAATATTATGAATACTCGATGGCTCTAGCTGTATCAGAGTAGCGTGCTACACAATAACAAGAGGTTTAGCAGGCTGACAAAGTGTGTCTCGAATACCTAAAGCATTGCATATCTTGCTGGCATATTCAAGATCAACCAAGACTGCATTTCATGTGATCGGATAATTTCTAATAGAGCCAATCAAATGTGTCAATATCAACTGCGCCACAACACGTGATTTTACCGAGTTGAAGAAAATTCTTGACGTTACACCAAATTGTAAAGAAAGGGAAAATCAAGCCATTTTTTTAAAGACTTTGACAAATCTGTTAGGAATTTCAAGCATTTGGTAAACAATTTGTTGGCTCAAGTTCACTTTTCGATTTCTTTTCTTCCCCACTTACACAAAATGGAAAACGACAAGCATCAGGTCAGTCAGAGTTGCACTTGAACAAAGCTTGCTCCATCATTCGTTGGTACATATCTCTGTACCAGTGGTGCATACTACATGACAAAACGTTGCTTTATAGTGATTAAATGCTGCTGATTTAAATCATATTAACATCTTGTATCTGACAATTCATTGACCACTACAACCAACTTTGTATAACTGGATCGGACCTGGCTAACTCTGTGATGTACATGCATAGATTGTTGACCTCTACATTCCTCGCAAATGGTGCGTTGTCATGCTTGATCATTAACTGTTGTTAAACTTCAGCTCCCATTTGAGCGACTTGAACAGTCGATTTTGAACTGGTTGTTGCATACAACCTTTTTTTTATTTCAACAAGAGAATGTGCTGTCTATTAGCTGATTGTGTTCTATTTGTGAATTCAATTGGTCGTCAAGCTGATGCTAGGATGTTGAGAATATAGCTGAACATTCTGGTATTGACTTGGCGTGTATTTCCTGGAATGCAACCTATTGATCTGAATGGACAATGCGACAATCACTTGTTTAGCTACCATTTGAATTTATAGATTGGCTCTGTTGTACACTTTAGCTTTTGATCTAGTTGTACTAACTTTTATTATGAATCTTAGTTCTGCCACTGGCCGCCTCATTGCCGCCAAGGACCACGCTGCCGTCCAAATCAACATTGGTGATGTTGATGCTCAAGGCCGTCTCACTGGCACCTTCAAAACCTATGCCTTTTCTGGATTTGTTCGTGCTGCTGGAGAATCTGATGACTCCCTCAACCGTCTTGCTACTCTTGATGGCTACCTTAAGAACGTCTGGAGCTACTCCAAGTGAATTCAAGTGTTGTAATCACCAAAAAAAGTCTTAGGTTTCTTAATCTTGTGTTTTATTCTATTCTGTGTTTGGGATCGGGATTGTGAGGTGAAAGGTTAGGATCGAGTAAATGATACACTTTACAAGTAGAGCACTGGCCAATGGAATTGTGCTTGTTTTCCATCATCTTATTTACTCTGGAGTGGAGGTTCTTGGAGCTAATGAAAATCGGACATTGGTACTTTTACCACTAGCATCGATTGCAGTCTTTAACTTGATGGCCTCCAGTTCGCGATCGCGTTGTTCCAACTCGGCCGTGTAACGTTGTTCCATCTTACGCAGCTGCATATACCGCAACAACAACTCCTCCTCCAACGCATCCCGCTCTTTGATAATCAACTGTTTGTCTATTGAGGATATCCAAGTGGACGTCTTTTTTGACGTCAATGCTCCATCGACCCAGACAGGTGTAGGTTCATGTGGCTGCAGGTATCTAGTTGGATTAGATGATCCTTTTGAATGTTGTGCAGGAGATATCATTTGTAGTCCTAAATGAGATTGTGATTGAGGATATGGTAGTACTGCCTTGGTGCTTGTTAGACTACTTGCTTTGCCTGTTGCAGAAACAGTTGGGATAGGGGATAGTAGCCGACTAGATACTGGTGGAGCACTTGCATATGGGATTGATGGTTCTGGAATTAGCATCTGGCTGGCAGTTTTAATGCCTATAAACTGCTCTTGAAATGCATCGGATTTGGTATGACGGGGCGAATGAGCATCCATGTGATAACGTACAGGTTGCTTGCGTGTGGGAGATCCAGATCCAGATCCAGATCCAGAATGGAATGTTTCAACAAGAATCTCTTTGGAAGGTGATTGATAGATTCTATCTATGTTTTCCAACCCATTAGTGAAATCTGCTCGGGGTGGTTGGCTAAAGCTTTCTTCTGCCGTGGATTCCATCAAATGCGTATCGTCTAGCAAGCTGCCAATCATACTGATACATTGACTATCATCAAATTCGTTCCCACCTCTATTACGACTATTTGGAGATGTGGGATGGTTACACTCCAAATGTCTCGAGTCAGCATCATCGCCTTGATTAAAAGTACCAATCCGCACCAAGCCAGTGTTGTAATGAGTTGAGGTGGTAGAACTAGGCAATGAGCAATGTGTTCCATTTATAGTGTTTTTCCCAGTCGAGTTTATCAAGCCCTCTGCACGATTACGGATACCAGACATGACCAATGATGGCATCTCAATCTCAATAATCTCATCGTTTTGATCAATTTGATTCAGCATGTGGACATGAGATCTTTTTGCTTCAAGCCCAGATCTGGTAGACACATAGGGTCTTGATGGTATGGTAGAAGCAGTGCTCGCAGCTGTATCTTTTTGGTTTGAGATGCATGTATTTTCTGACTGGCCCACTTGAAACCATACTCCACAGGACGGACAGCATACCCGATTTATCATTGCATGGCTAGTAGCATGCTGCTCTATTGCCAACTGTTCTTTGGTGGCAGTCAACTCTGACCGTAACGTTGCTACAGTTACTAATAAGTCGGATATGGTTCGGTGTGCTTCAATTGTATTGAACCCATCCGAAATATCTCCAATCGTGTCATTAGTATTATCGACATTATATCTAAAAGGGTGTGTGTTGGAGTCAAATGGATTGGAATCGGACACAGCGTGACGAAGAACTTGTATTTCCTTGGCTTGCTTGGTCACTGTACATTCTGCTTCACGTAGCAGCTGCTGTAAATGCTGTGATCGCATCAACAAGTTGTCTCGTTGACGTAGCAACAGGAGATGATCGATTTGCTGTTGTGCTGACTGAGCTCGTCCAATAGATGGTGAAAAAGACTGAATACTATTCTGTACTGGTCTATTTGCTCTTGAACTTGCTTTTGCTGAATGTTTAGTTGGAGCTGTAGCAATAGGTGTTGACGATGGTCCAGATGGTTTTGGAGATAGTGAGGACGTTGTTGAGCGGACTTGTCCGACTTGAGAGTTGGATATGCGTTTAATTTGAGTAGGTGGTGTTCCTCTATTGGATGCAACTATTCGAGCAGATGAATGCTTTTGTCCGGTAGATAATAGTTCTGATGGTTGTGTCTGTGCTGGACCATAGCGAGACACTTGTGCTCTGTCATGATCATCCAGGAAAGTGTTCAGATGAGATTTACAAGCAGTATGCTTGCCAATAGTCTCGTCGCTATCATGGTCGTTGTTCAAGTCTAATGGTCTCAATACTGGAAGAGGAGTCGTAGATACTAGCATGTTTAGTATTTCCACTTTAGTTGGTCCTGTCGTGAAAGTCGGATCAACTCGATACAAAAAGTTGGGTTTTATTCAAGCTCAGGAATACAACTCGATCTGCTGTCGTGAATCCAACATTAAAAAACTAACAACTCCGTCATATTAGGTTTAGTGTCAACTTTGAGTGCGCATTTCATTCAAAACTAGACAAGCACTGCTCTTCATCTACCATCGTCTTCAAGAAAGTTGTTCAGTTATTGTCTTTATTAATGCCAATCCAAAGTGAGCATCTATCCTAGATCAACGCTCAAAAGTAAACCCCAATAAAGCTTTATAAACCAGCAAGAAATACCAACGCATTTAATTGAACAGATTGTAAGATTTAATAGACTCGTATGATTGTTGCTTGCTTTCCAACTTCCTTTGAAAACAGACTTTGAAGAAATACCTTTGAAAATCAACGATCCACCTCACCTATCACCAAATATTTAAGTATAAATCCATTCAACATAAGCAAACCATCCGTAAATAAACTTACCAAACACAATGTCACAGGTACCAATAATAGTAACGGCATCAGCTAACAAGTGACCTTTGCTCATAAAATCGACAGCAGCAAGATGTGGAAATCCAGGTGCACGGATATGACATCTGTATGGGCGACTGGTTCCATCAGATACCAGGAACACGCCAAACTCACCCTTGGGTGCTTCAATCACAGTGTAGGTCTAAACCAGTCATGGCAAGAAATTAGACTCGAGCATCCTAAAAGTTATTTTTAAAACAACTTACTTCTCCAGCAGGAACAGAGTAGCCTTCCGAGTATAGTTTAAAGTGATGAATCAGAGCCTCCATGCTTTCCTTCATTGAAGCTCGAGAAGGTGGAACAATCTTGTTGTCATCCACCTTGACAGGTCCGGCAGGCATCTGCTTAATGCACTGATCAATAATACGCAAGCTCTGTCTCATTTCCTCTACACGACACAGGTATCGATCGTAGCAGTCCCCGTTGGTACCAACTGCAATATCAAAGTCGACTTCATCGTAAGCGTCATAAGGTTGCTCCTTGCGCAAATCCCATTCAACACCACTTCCACGGAGCATGACTCCGGAAAAAGAAAAGCCGAGAGCTTCTTGAGCTGTCACAACACCTACTTCACGAAGACGGTTTTTCCAAATACGACTGTTGGAAAGCGCTTCCTCAAGTTCGTCGATTCGAGAAGAGTACTGCAATGCCCATTTGTGGATATCTTCCATGAGGCCAATGGGAAGGTCAAGAGAAACACCGCCTGGACGAATATAGGCAGCGTGCATGCGAGCACCGGAAACTCGCTCGTAAAACTCCATGAGCTTTTCTCGCTCTTCAAAAAGCCATAGAAAAGGAGTGAGTGCACCCACATCGAGAGCGTGAGTAGCCACGGCCATGATGTGATTTAAAATTCGGGTGATTTCACCAAAGAGTGTACGGATATATTTAGCACGAGGTGGAACATGAATGTTGAGAAGCTTTTCAACAGCCAGAGAGTAAGCTTGCTCATTGCACATCATGGAAACTGGTTATTGAAACGAATATGTATTGGAGTGATACATTGAATTGAAAAAACAAGATTCAGGTAAATTAAAAATCAGTCATTCCAGTCTTGACAAGCTTATCAGTCGTAACATAGATCAACCAAGCAACAGTGCTCATTTTTACACAAAAACTATCCATAGAAATTGAATTGTTGCTGTTGTCAAAACATACCATAGTCTAGTCGATCAAAATATGGTAAAGCTTGCAAATATGTCTTGTATTCAATGAGTTTTTCGGTTCCACGATGAAGAAGGCCAACGTGAGGATCAGCACGAATAATTGTTTCACCACGAAGTTCAAGAAGTAGCCGCAACACACCATGAGCAGCAGGATGCTGAGGACCAAAGTTGACAGTGTAAGTATTAAGCGTAGGATCGCTTCCCTCTCGAATGGGAACCTCTACATTATAGTTTTATTTAAATGTTAGCGATTCATATTAAAGGGGTTGACAGATGCCAATGAGATTCAAAAAGTGATGCACGGTCAGTCGCATTTGTAATTAATATACAAATAAACCAATGGATCAGATCTACAAAATTACACCATCCATAACAGTCCATGAAAACATCAAGTTTCAAGATGCGACAAGGCAAATCCAACTGTGTTGTCAATCATTCAAAAACGTACCAACAAACTCGGTAGTCTGACGAGTACGAGGAGGAACAAACCAGCGAGAAGTAATCGAGTAAGCCTCGCGAGACATGGTCTTTGTTTTTGAGGATGTAGAGGCTATAGGAAATAGCAGGTCGAGGTTCAGGTATAATTAGTATTGAATCGTAAGCCCAGAATAGAGAAAATGACATCAGGCTCATTATGTCATGACAAGCATTCAAAAATCAAAGTATGGCAAGGTATGACTTTATACAGCTCCATTATGATGGGAAACATCAATCCTAGCAGATAGCTATTGCCAATTCATCAACTGTTGCCAATGTCAAAGCAGGCTGATTTTACCATGACGGGCCTGAGTAGAGGACCTGCCAAAGGCACTAATGGAAGCTGTCTGCCTAGAAAAAGAGCAGCTGGAACAGGCAGCCAGGTTAAAGCTATTAGCAGCAGGTCGTATGGCCATGACAGCTTTCTGGAAAGAAGCAGCAGCCAATCTCATTGTTTTTGCAAGTTGTCGAGAGTCGAACAAAGAATTGCGAATTCACAATCTGATATCAAACTACAATCTAATCCATCGCAATGGATTTACATTCTTTGATTTGCAATCGTATTCACGCAAAGTGGAAGACAATGCCAAAGTAATGATAAACAGCCAATCTCTATCAATCTTACTGAACAGTGTCTTTTGAGCTGTTTAATTGACTGATCTTTACTCATTTTATATAAAGCAACTGAGCGAATGCCTGGAGCAGTATTCACATTTGTTCAATCTTGACTCTTACACAATGAACATTACAAGTAAATATTGTATGGCTGATGGAAAACATCAGTTTCATTTCTAAAGTGCAATCATTGAACTAGAACGCGAGCGTATCTGAGATTAGAGTGCAACAACATCAAGTTTTCTTGACAACATTAAAACAATCCAGTATCTGGATTGCAGTGAATGAATCAGGAGAGTGTATAATGTATGATTATAAAAAATGAGAATAATCTCTGTTCAAACCCAAATTTAATCTCGTATGATGAGCATTGTGTTCATTGAAAAGGCAATCTGTAGTAGAGAAGCACACACATCTAGCCATTGTCTATTCCAAAGCAAAACAATGACTGCAAGACAGTATTTTATTTCATGTGAATACAGCTGTAATATGAAATGCCGAGTTTTAAACGAAACCAAAATTTTACCAGTTGGACTGTAAACCTCGTCGCTATATTGTAACTACTGTTCTTCAAACACCATCCGACTGTCAATTGTTCAAGTCTTGATTTAGTCTATATATCTATCGACTCATTTCCTATAGACCTGCTTTTATGCAGAGCACAAGGATGGCTGCAAAGGCCGCCAATGCTGCTGCTGCTGCCGCCGCTGCTGTCACTAACTCCTCTACACCAGCCAAGAGCGGACGAGGCCCTAATTTTGCTCGAGAGGAAGACCGGCTACTTGTTTCCTGCTATATGACTGCAACTGAAGAGCATTCAAAAGGAGGTCCGGGTCAGACTAAAGAGGCTCTTGCTAACCGGGTTATTACATTCTGGTTAGAAAGATATCTTATTGAGCTTCCGCAAGTCCAACATGAAACTGCTCAAGCCAGATCTTCCAAGAGTCTGACGAATCGATTTGCAGATCTCAAACGAGATATCAAGTTCTATGGAGGTTGTGTCGCTTTATACAATGAAAACCAAGGTCGAGCAAGTTCGGGTCCGCTTTGTTCTGATGCTGCCAGCTACATTGTTGACAAATATATCAACACCACACCTATTAAGCGAATTGATGTTGTGCATATTGCTGGCTTGTGGGATGAGTTTAAGCACTACAGAATGTTTGATCCGCCCATGCCAATGGTGCATTCGTCAAAACGAAAGTTTGATGAGGAGTTGGAAAATATGATGGATGATGTGTCTGATGATGGCTTGGATGCTATTGGATTGGGTGTGAGTGGAACTGTATCGCCTGATGCAATGTTGCCTGGAGCAACTGCTGCTGCTCTTGCACTGGCTCATCACGATCGTCGTTTGGCACATCTGGCTGCAAGTGCTGGTACTCTTGGCGGAAGTAACGATATTCCTGGTGTAGGTGGATCAGGCAAGCGTGGTCGCCATAATATTGATGACGATATTCTTACCATGATTTTAGATGCACTTACAAAGCGCAACGAGATTGCTGCCAAGAGACTGGAGCTACAGCAGGCAGGCCAAGCTGAAAAACTCATGTTTCAGAAACTCAAGCAATGGAATTCGATTGTACGTCAAGGACAAAGGCATTTGATTAAGCTCATGACAAAACGAGATGCATCTACAGATCGTTCCTCGTATGATCCACTTATTCAATCTGCCACACAGGTGCTTGAATCTTCAATTGCCACTTTGCAACGGATCCAGATGGCAGGACCTGTAGGTGTAGATGAGAATGGGTTGAATACGCTTTAAACATGAAGCTGCTCGACCTTGCTTTTCAAAGTATTCCTATTAAAGTACATAACTTTTCCCCAAATGACTGCGTTTTATTTTAAAGTTTATGACGGTGCATGCAGAATAGCGTACCTCATCAAAGCTATAGGATGGAACTGTATCCATGAGTGAATTTGGTTGAAAATCAACAAGTCATGATACAGAATATACTACAGCCTTGTTCACGTAAAATAAAAATGTTAATACATAATAAACGGTCAATCTCACCTTATTCACCAGTCTTTTGGGATTGGCATGGAAACAACAATTGCATTCCTGTTTTTCTTTGACTGGATCGCGAACGTATGAGATTAGAATACAGCAAGTTTGTACAAAATCTAAAACCAATTTCAAAATTGGGTTTGACTGTTCTCATGTGCTCAACCAACTTGAAGACTGTGCAATACATAGCTATACCAAGAGATGAAAATAAGCAAAATTCAAATTAGTTTGTATCGTATGATGGACGCTGTCTTGAAGTCGATTTCTAATAGAAGAACAAGTATTTTGATTCCAAAGCAAGATAATACAAAAATGCTACAAAAATATTGCATTTACAAGTACGGCTATAAAACGTGAATTTGTCGGTTTAACTCGACATCGTTTTGGTAATAAATGCCACAGAATCGGCAGGATATGCAGTGGCCATCACAAACAGCAACACAGACTTATCCATTAAACCATCATCAACGATTTCACAAGAAACTGCAGCAGCCAAGTAATGTGATCCAATCCTACACACGAAGGAGAGTGGTTGATCCAGACATAAAGTTGCCAGAAACTCTGTATATCCCTCAATGTCTTTCATCTGGCATGATGCCATCTGCCATATCCATTTCCGATACAAAAGAGGTTCGAGCTACAGATAATACAGGTACATGGTGGCATTAGAGAGAAAGCTGCGGTTATATTGACATGTCACTAACCCTACCAGACAATTCTATAGATAGCAATGCATCTCTAGTCAAAAAGGCGGATAAAAAAACACAATCTATAGCAGCAGCCAATGCTCGGTTGCATAGTCATTATCTCACCAATTCAGAGCCAGTATCCGAACCAGTATCTGAATCAGTCTCAATCGCAAGTACATCTGTCAGGACATTTGTTACAACAAAACCAGTGTCATCATTAAATAAGCAGCCAACAATTGTCAAGCATGTAATAGGACCAGGAGTTAGTATTCCAGACGCAGTTAAAGCTGTCAAGAGCCAGCAGAAAGTTTTGTTTGGAATGGCTGTAAGTTGATTGAGATCTGCATATCAACATTGTGGTAAATAATAAGCTTTAATCTAAATAATATTGCAGAGAGTTCAAGCAAGACTGGACAAGCAATTGCAGTGATTGGCATTCATTATCTGGAGATGTGCATTGAATGTTTTATTACAGCCAGCGTCCCTGCTGTTCCTTGACTCCCCTATTCATAATCTCGCTTTCTCGTCACGCAAGCCAACTTGAACTTTACCTGCATCAGCCCCATCTTCATACCAATGTCATCTACTACAGAAACGACCAATTCGCTGGTGGAGCATACCACTGAACTACAACCAGAATTCACCTCACAGAAACCATCTTCAGTATTGCCCATTCAGCTGGATTCCAATTTGCAGCCATCGCCCTTGGAAGCAACGCAAATGGCCACTCCACTCATTCCTGCAGTCATTGTCGAGCAACCTACTTTCATTCCTGCAGCTATTCAGGAAGTAGTCGTCACTCCAACCATTTCAGCTCCAATACATCAACAGTCACAATTAAATAGCTTTGTTGGCTCGTCAGCCTTGGCATCTCCATCTAAAAATGACAAACGTCCTCGTCCTTTTTCCATCTCAAGTCGCTATTTGTCGCATTCGCTTAAAGGAAATCATATCCACCGACATTCGCCTCGCTCTGCGTCAGCATCATTGGCCATCACTCCATTTAAATGCGATGATGATGTAAATAACACTGTCCATATTGCACGCTCTTCAAATGATAATCTCTCTCGCTCAATGCTTATGAAGGACTTGCACAAGCCAAATCATGAGCAATTAGTCTCACAAGGCTTATCGCATAAGAATGATGAATATGCATCTACTGTTACAAAACTTAATCTACCTTTTTTAGTCTTGAGCAACAATTTATTTTTCTCAGGCGAGGGATTTGAGCCAACATTGTTTAACAAATGGTATCGAAAAAACGGATGGTATCGTCCGTTTCACGGTTAGTGTTTAAAATTGATCCACTATATGTGTCTGGATAATGTAATTCTTGACCTATTTTGAATCTGACTTGACCATTATATCAAAAACTCGTTTAATCCTCTTTATATAGCAAAATTTATTCTTCATATCGTTGTATGGATTTTTGAAGTTTCTGTCTATTTTCTTTATATATTAAAGTTTGTTCAGTTGTTTTCACTACGACACATCTTGTACGGAGTTTCAGGAGCATTGGTATTGGCACAATTGGCATGCACAATCATTACAATTTCATTGGATCCACAAGATTCTAAAGTCAAGCAAGCGCATGTTCCTCGTAACATTAATTATATCAAGCTAACAGGTGTACCTGTGATTGATGCTGATACGCGCTATTGCCAAATCTGCCAGGTTCGTGTTGGTTTTCAGACTAAACATTGCAAGGTACAGTTGTGTAATGAAGCGCAATGTTTTAGAAAATCACTTGGTTTGCTGCCCATTCTGTTGTTTTAATCTATTTTATATATGAAACACTACCAGCCGTGCAACAAGTGCATTGGTGTGTATGACCATCACTGTGACTATCTGTCTACATGCATTGGCAAACGCAACTACCGAGTGTTTTATGTGACAGCATTACTTGGGACGCTTGCTACATGGTTGATGTCAGGCGTGTCTATTTATGTCTTTGTGCAGTATTTTGTCAATCAAAGTGGATTTTCAAACGCAGGTATGAGATATTCGACAGGTTTCTAGATTTTACTTTGAAACAAGTATTTCATACTGAATTTCAAAAATGTTTTAATTGTATTGTAATAGTTTTTGAAGTCTATCAGCATAATACCAATTCGGACATGAATATTGCCATGACGGTCCTTTGTATATATATGGCAAGTATCATTGCATGCACTTGTGCAGCTACAGGTCTATTTGTGTTTCATACTCGAATCAGTAAGTTTATAGTCGAGGTTATATATGATTTGACGAGCGTAGACGGGCAAGCATACTATTCTAACATACTGTCTTGTGTTTTGCCATGGATTCAACTAGGTTATATTGGAATAACAACAGTAGGGTATATTGAAAGTAGATCGGCTCGGGGACCAGATTTATGGCACATTAGTACCAAAAAGTTTAAAGAATCACAGCAGATTGCTCAAGAGTTTTCTGAGCCACATGACATGGTAGAGCATGAATCATTTAATAATCCATGGCATCATCCTCCCGTATAAAATGCATAGTGGATGACTATGAGATTCAAAGTGTAATTACATTTGTATTCTAACCAATATCCAAATCACAGTCGTATTGGCATAAAGTGAAGCACCGAATAAGAGTGTCTATAATAAACAGCCAGTTTCATATAATGGTCGTTGTGTTTATTGAAGAATGCCTATCAAGTGAATCTATAGTAAGAAAGCAGCAACTATTTAGCCATTGTCTATTCTGGAATAATGACTGCAAGATAATGGTTTATTTTCATGAATATGCTGTAAAAGAAACTGAAATGTGCAATGCATTTCACTCGTGAAATCTGTGATATTGCAAGATTCTTTATTGACATGTGGTTCAGTAGACACCATTCCTTTCTCGATGTATTTGCAACTGTGGCTTAACATGAAAAGTCTTTCTGGGAGATTCCAGTTCAACCATGTCTTCATAGTCATGAATGGGATCTGCTCCTACCTCTGCATTAGTCTTGCGAGAAGATACTTTTGGTACAAGATCCGATGCTGTAGAGTGTGAGGCTTTTCTAATGGCATCAACAATTTTGGCTGTAGTGGTAGACCAAAACACATTTGCATCAGCGCTTTGCTGTGATTGGGCCAGTGCATGCAATGTTTCATAGCAAGAGTCACTTTCATCGTCATCGCTTAACATCAGAATAGCCGAGAATGCTCCTCGTTGCGATCTTATACAAGTAGACACTACATCCAGTGATGATTCGGGAGAGGATGAATGGTATGATTCTTTCTCCCATTGTGTTCTGCTATCTGGGTCATTGTGGACCGTTGGAACTGCGACAAAAGACTGCCGTCTCGTGTGTGAAAAACTGCATAACACAGTTGCTGCATTGATTTGGGATGCACTCTCGGCTCCCGAAACAGGAGTGAGACATTGATCACTGTGATGGGTTTCTTGGGTAATCAGAGGCGCTATGTTAACAAATGAATGCATCAAGTTTAATTTGTCTGGAAAGTTCGGACAACTCTGAACAAGATTATTTGGACAATTTCAAATTTCATTTCATTTTAGATATCGTCGTCCGCAAGGAAATCGCCATATTGCCATAGATTAATCTTATAATAAATATTAGTTACTACATAGTTGTTAAAGCATTAAGCAAACCACTCACCCTTTCTTGCTTGGCTATATCTTGAGCTGCAACAATTTGCTCAAGAACACTGGTATCGACAGCAGTGTTGTTTAAACTCATAGCAGCCAAGGATCCACCTACAGATTTATGTTTTGCTCGACGTTCCATCTCGATCTTGCGTGTCCAGTTGCGACTAACGTATGCGAGCCCTTCGCGCACAAGCTGCTCATTCACTGACCAGACTCTTCCGTCTCCATTAGCCGGATTCTTTACTTGTTCAAGATCATACACAACAAGGTTAAGCACTACTGATCCCGTTTTTGTTCCTGCAGCTGGTGTTCCTGTACTACGACCCACAATCTGCGCTGCAAGTTTCTTCCCCTCTGTTAAATCCCTCAGCATCGCAAAAGCCTCTTCCGAAAACTCTGCTCCTGCTTCAATAGTTGCAGTGGCAAGAAAAGCAGATTGATCTGCAGCAACACCTGGAAGCTGCACATAGGCTAGCTGTGCCTCGACAGCTTGAGGCTTTAAAATAGATGTTCCAAATTGTGCAGGTAAACCCCTCAGCCGACTTCCAGGAACGGTTTCTGAATTTCCATAGTCAATATACACGATTGTATATGAGTTGGCACCATTAAGTTTGCACACGCGTGCACGATACCAACATTTATCAACTGTAAATTGAGCCGAACAATAGTCACCCGCTTTGAGTGCAAATGGAGCAATAGCTTGCTGACCTGCAGTGGAATGATACTGAGAAAATTTCACCATAAGCTGCTCTAGTTTAATGAGATCAGACCCTTGAACTTGGATATGCAATAATCCAGTATCAGCAGAAATGTTGCTGACAAAAATCTCGCGCATGTCCGATGTACCCAATGAACCCGACTGCTGGTTTGAAACCCCACCAGTAAGATCATTCGATTCTTGTCTATTTTCATCGACAAATTCGCTTGCTGGATCATAGTCTGTCCATATATTTAACCGAGCATTTTTGGCCTCAATTTCAGCATCATATAGTTGATTGGTATAATGACTCTGAGATGCCGAGTAATCATGCACAGTTGCAAGTCCATTCTCCAATAGCGCAACCGCGAGATTAACTTGGGTTGAAGCCGCATCGACTGCACCGTGATGTAGACTGTTGGCAGGCTTGAAAAAAACAGTTCCAATAAATCCTCCAACCTTGTCTACACCTTCAAATTCTAGGTCTACTTCGCGCTGCATAACTAAACGTGAAACGAATTCAGCAGCTTCTGCTCCAAATGGCTCGGATTTTTCATTGGCATTGCGAGCATATTTAGGAGCACGAATACCACTCAGAACCATAACCAAACGGCAACTCTGTGCAGGGACAGTTATACGTAGTCTGGACCCACTCGAAACGTGCTCAACGATGCCTGTCAAACGGTTGGAGCGTTGAAGAAAAGGCAAGTACTGTCGAGATTTGGCAGCATTCTCTGATGCGTCAATAATACGATGAACAGGCGGCTCTTTGGTGGAGTGCATACCTTTGGATCCGCTAACAGATTTCTCCTCTGCTTGAACAAGTTTATCATAATCCGATGATCTCGAGTTGTCATCTTTACGGTGCTTAATTACAGTAGCAAGTCCACGAGACACCAATGTTTCACCAATGTTGGTTCCATTGGCAAGGGTGATGGTTGCACATTCGCGCTGTTCGTATTCGCCTTCGGAAGCTTTGATGTAGTCAATACGCACCTGAACTTTATTTCCCACCAATCTCGAGCGTAAAAATTCCTGTGCATCATGACTGTATCCAACCTCAAAGCCAGCATCGTTCTTGGCTCGCTTGGGTCCACGGATTGAAGCAAGCTGAAGTTTTCGATCTTTACCAGGTGTGGCTACAGGCTCAACCATAATCAAATCTGCACCAATGATTTTTGTCACAATGGCATCATACTCGTTACCCAAAACGCAGCTAGCTCCTTTTCCACCCTGTGCATCGTCCGTAGTTTTGACAAACGAGTGCCAGACACGCAATCGTCTTTGTCTGGCCTTTTCTTCGGCAGCCTTGTATGCTGCAATGTGGCCTTGTCCACTTACAACAGACAAATTCCATCCAATAATTTTGGCAAACCCTTCAGAGAGTAATGCTTCGGCAATATTTCCTGCAGGAAATTTGATTGAGCCAACAAATGAGGCAGACGGGCCTGTTCCAGAAAAGCTTTCAAGAACCACATGAATATCTTTTTGAAGTAAACGCGACTCCACAAAGTATTTGGCTTCTTCTGAATAGGGTTCAATGATGTCTTCTTGGTTGGGAATATCTTTACGTAGGGTGGGACATTTGATACCAGAAAGAGACAATGTAATGTGTTGGTAGATATTGCCTTGATCCTTGGGAAGAATCAATAGAACGCGGAATGTGGATCCATCACGAACCTGCTCAAGAACAGCTATATAGATTGCAAAGTCATTTCACATGCATAGTTTAACAAAACAAACAGGACGCACAGTAAGTTACCTGGAATAGGCTGTTTTTTGAGGTCGTCAATGATTGAACGAGTTTCACCAGTATATGTATGATACACCTTACGAATCTATTTATAAACAGTAAAAAGTAAATAGTCTATCACCACTTTCAGTATTTTCCTTTTGGTAATGGATTCAACAAAATCAAATACTTGCTTCAGATTTTTCAGCCCAGATTCCCTTTTTAGCTTCTTGCGCTTCTTTCTCCAGTTCAGCGAGCTCTAGCTGCTCACTAATACATTCAAAAACTCAAAGTTGAACAAACAGCTCTGTTTCTATATAGTTTCTGGAATAACTTACTCTGTAGGTGCGTGTTTTCCATCGCGCATGCGGATCTTGGCCCAGCCCTCCTTCACCAACAATTTTGCCACATTTGTTTCTCCGTCGACAGGAACACGTAGGATCAAAGTACCAAAGCTGCGATTGTTACTAGTGGTGGTATATTCGGTCTTGTAAGCAACATCTTTTCCTACAACTAGACGTCGAAGATACTCGCGAGCTTCAAATGCAAATGGCTATAGATTGAAACAAGTGTATTTTTAAAGTTGGTAAGATCGTTTATATCAATATGCAGTCCATGGGGTTGGAAAAGATCAAGAGTACTCTGGGTTGATATCGCAAAGGATACCGAAATGAATTGGGAACAGACCAAGAATGATCTTGAACTATCCTCACTATAGTGGTTTAATAGAGATCAGATGAGCTGTTTCACTTGACAAAGTGATCATGATGATAGAAATGACGGCCTATTCACCAGTATCCATTAACTAGCCAATGCATCGATCTACCATTACTATAAAGAACCCTGTCTAACAATACAACCACATTATAACCAAAACAATACTAGCATCACACCTCCTCCTTCTCAGGTTCCTTGCTGGAACCAAGGCGGGGAGCGACCAGATGCGACAGGGAAAAGACCAATTCAGGAGGAGGACCACCGACAGGTTTACCCCTAAGAACGACAGTGTCAGCAGAGATGACATTTTTGACCATTGAGCGGCCCGAAGCAGATAGTTGTTGAGATGTCATTGACCTAGATGATGTTATAGTTTGTGAGAGTAGAAATCGGGAAACGAAAAGCAGATGAATGACAGAAGTTGACAGTGTTGGCTTGGCTGCTCATGAATCATCTTGCCAAGACTTTGTCTTGGATTCCTAATGTAAATGCATTCATAGTTGATATGCAGTAGACGATCGTGGTTTGCTTGAAGATTAGCTGTTTCGTAGATCCAAACTGTTTATTTCTCAATTGAAATGGTTTCATTCTATAATAGTTTCTCAAAACCAAATAAGCAATCAGATTTCTACATTCTGTTGCCATTGTATTTGCTCGATATTTCCATATTGGCTGATTCATCAGAATTAGATAAACTGTTTCTATTGATTCTCGATAGTGGTCAAGCGCAGTCATGGAGAAACATGTGCTGGATAGAGATGATGCTGTTAGAGGAACCAATGAAGATGCTCTGACAAGCAAACAGTAAGAAACCAATGCGTACTTTGAGTAATGTTCTTGATAAACTAACTTGCACCATTCAAGCTCAGCAGTAACAGCTGGATATCTTCAAGATCCATATATCAAGGCATTTCTTAAACGAGGATCAAAAAGAGCACCCATTATCAACAGGGGAACATATGCTCGCACTGCTGGTTTAGATATCCTCATCAAGCAGTTTTTAACCGCTACCATCCCATTGCAGGATGCCACAGGGTCAGAAATACCTGGATCTGGCACTCGTCCAATGGATAAACAGATCATTTCTCTTGGTGCTGGATCCGATACTCGATTTTTTAATTTCAAGGTGATACTGAAGTCGATCATACCAAGCAGATTGAATAGTATGATTGTAACTTGCCCAATTTCGTATTCTTTTAGGCTGATGGAATCAACCCAAGACGGTATATTGAGATAGACTATCCACAGATCACTGCAAAAAAAGCACATGCAATTGTCCGAGATAAAAATACTAGACTCGTCATTGGAGAAGATTCATATAAAGTGTTGGGTGGTGGAGTAGAGCTGGTTGCGGACTCGTACTGGCTGATTCCTGGTGATTTACGTGATTTTACATGTATTCTACCCAAGCTCGTTTCCATGGGACTCGATACAACGTAATGATTGCTTTCAAATCTGCGTTTTATGAATTAGCTTGGTCCAATATATGCTTTCTAGTCTAATGGTTTGGTTCAACTCTATATAGATTACCAACATTGATACTGTCAGAATGCGTGCTGATCTACCTCGATCCAATCGTATCTCACTCAATTCTGACCACCATGGCATCAAGTTTTACTACGGCAGTGGTTGCTACATATGAACAGATTCTTCCCAATGATGCTTTTGGAATAACAATGCTTAATAATCTCAAGGTACTCGGGTGATTTCTATCCTGAAATTTAGCAACATTGAAGAATGTATGCTGCTTTAAAAGTATTTACAAACCTAATTCAATCATACATGTTTCAACTACCAGACCCGAAATATCACTCTACCCGGAATACATGATTGCCAGACTCTGGAGCATCAGATATCTCGCTACATTGAATGTGGATGGACAACCTCACGGGCAATCAATCTCAATACTGTTTGGGACAAGTGTATTTCTGACTCGGAAAAGCTTCGGTAAGCCATTACATCTGAAAGCTTTAATCAAACATGACGGTACTAACCAATAGTCTAGTGTATCCAAATTAGAAATTTTTGATGAGATTGAGGAATGGCAACTCCTTTCGATGCACTACTGTATATCGTGGGCAGTCAAACTTGGACACGCTAATGACGACATGGCGCAAACATACGTTGACAAATTGTGGTTTAAATATGAACATTAACGTTGATGGCGACTTGCAGTTTGGTGGAAATACAAATAAATGTTGGTTTCACTGGAATGTGCTATGATGATCTTGTGGTTTTATTACTGGAATCTATAGTAGTGAACATACCGAGTTTGTACACTCCATTTAATTGAAAGTGATCAAGTATTTCCGACTTGTCGAAGCCCAACCCAGTTGTACTCTGACTGTTTAAAGCTGGATATAACTACTGAGTTGAAATTTAGTATCAAGTTGATGCTTTAGAAAGTTTGTAGCCGAATACAATCTGATTTGTATTGATTCTTTCCCATCTCTCCACTCAAATATACAATTATATAGTCATTTCAATTAGTATGCATATAGTTTATTCGTCAAACTGCAAACCTCATTGAATCATTCACATTCTAAATCCAACACATCAATAATTTATCTTCTCAAAGTCTGCTGAAATGATTCAATCCAATCTGCCGCAACTTGATTCGTATCTGCACATAACAACATGGACCGCTTTGCCAAAACTATTTTAAAGCAATGTATATGCCTATGTGCACCACGGGGTGGATCAACAGCCAAAACATCCAAAATAGATGCAAGCGATATAATTCGCAATACTTCATATTCCTACAGAAATAAACATGTCATTATTTTAACCGGTTTCAAATGTAGTTCAAATGTGAAATAAGCTTACCGAGCTATTTTTATAGCACGTTAAATGACCATTACGCAAAACAAACCAGCGTTGTTTCCATTGTCGAGGTAGACCACCGCCGAGTTTCAGCAAGTACCCCTGTCTCACGACTTGATCATTCGCCATTGCAACCAAAGCCGGTCGATACAGCTCTCTTTGTCTCATAGTCAAATGCTCTAGTGCATCCTTTGATCTAGATCCATTATTCTCTTCCTCATCATCTTCATAATCACTAAATGGCTGATGAGATCTGGCAGGATCATCTGAATGTGAGAGATTGAGATCAGAGATGCTGCGAATATTGCCAGGTCGTAGCACGCTTTGAGTGCGAGATGGAAACGATGTGGATGACGCGGCAGCAGCATACTCACCTATGCCAGAGGTTGATTTGAGATGATTAGATGGGGTGGGTATCTGTTCCGACACTGATTCACCAAGCATTGCTGCGCGCAAGCCAGCAGAAAGTTGTGATGGAGCAGACATGGACAATATATTGTTTTGATTGGCAATCGAGGAGTGTGTAGATACTCTAGTGGAGTCTATGTCCAGATGAACACTACTGGTATTGCTTGGTTCGCTTGTAATGATTGATTGGTACAAGTAATCTGAACTAGATTCTGACCAGCTTGGTTGGATAGAAAATGGAGCGGGTAATGAAGCATGTTGCGCATATGTGGATAGATTGCTATTATGACGACTAGGTTCATGAGTGTTGGGATTAACAGTATTTTCCAGATCGGATCTTTGTTCAGTTTCTGTGGATTCAGGAATCAATGGGGCGTCCAGATGTTGAAGCATGGGCTCATCGGCAGTGGGTATCCCAGTTAAAATCTGAGCAGGATTGGTATTGGCACCTACAAGAACTGATGATGGATTAGAGCCGATAGTGAGCACAGATTCAATGGTTGCAACGGACTCTAGAATAGATGGAGTATCTGATCTAGTTATTACAGGAGATCTTTGAGATGGTTCATCCAACGTGGTTCTATTCGTTCGAATTATTCCAGGAGTATTCTCTCTGTGCACCTGCGTAGATGGTCGTTGAGCAGGTAATGAAAACATGACTTGATGCGGGGTGGTTGATGTTGATGGATGTGACCCAGACACTCCTGAAAGTGCCAAGTCTGGTGTAGTAGTGGATGATCTTGCAGACCGATGTGCAGCCTTGATCGCAGTCATCCAAGTGTCTCTGTCTACAGCTGACGATGCACATACGTAATAAGTGCGTTTGCGAGTCACCATACCAAACACAAACAACCGCTTTCGTAGTTCAACCTGTGCAATGGTGGTGATGTCTGCCAATGGAATAATATTAAGAATCTCATATTCCTTGTCACTCTGGTAGTATGACAACATGCCTGGACGAAGCACAAACCACCTTCGCTTCCAACTCTACATAATATGTGACGATTAGTTGAATGACTCTAGACACTACTAGGCTAATGGGATACAAAACAGGAGTGTAACTGTTCAGTTGATCGTCATGCAAGTTTATTGCTGTATGCAGCCATGTCTGCATACAGACTGTTTCATTGAATCTCGATGTGTATTGGCTTCAATAGCCAGACCAGTTACTACAAGATAATCCATACATACCCGTCGTTGTTCACCCTTCTTGAGCAAGTAACCTGACATAATGATATGCTCCTTTGCCAGGGTCTCAGTAGCAGATGACCCAAAACAGCCAGCAGGCTTTTGTTGCTTCTCATGTTTGCTAAGCCTTGTGGGTGAAGGTGACTGCCGCTGAGATGGTTGTTGGTCGTCGATATCGGACTCATCAGAGAATGGGTAATGCACCACTTCAATGTGAGATGGTTGCGTAGCAGTGTCTGCAATACTCTGCTGCAGTGGAGGGGAGCAATGGCCTTGCATCTGTGGTCCGCACTAAAGTCGATGAATTCAGTTGAATGCACTTGTCGGCCAGTTCAAGTTTCACCAAGTCTTTATTCATGCTTATTCTTGGATTTAGACTCGTCTCTACTCCATGATCGTTGTGCTGCCATCAGTCCACCTACAGATCGAGTGTCCCTCAACAAAAACATTTGTCCTATCCATCCATCCACCACTTGGAAATACTCGGCAAGTGGAAACAGCACTTGCTGCACCAACACATACCAAACCACTCCCATCAGTGCCCCAACTGCGGATCCCACACAAACTTGTTCTAATGAGTGGTACTCTAGTCGCAGTCTAGTCATCATCGTATTGAATGCATGCAAATCGCATTGCCAATAAAGCCTTTGTATTAATGCATGCTCTTTATCCAATCCACTGTTGGATACCATGTATTCTAACATTCAATCATTGGTTACCTTGAGTACGACACAATCAAAGCGCAAAGAGTTAACCCAATAACCATAATCAATTTCCATGCATTGAATCTAAACTTGATGCTAATCATATACAGCGGATCAGATCTGAATGATAGCAGTGCAAACCAATGGATAAAAAGCAATTGCATTCTTGAACTCACTTGCGCAGAGTATAAATGGACGAGTAGACTGCAAAGTACCAGATGAATTGAGCATGGCTGGATGGCATACCATATCCTTTTCCCAGTCGATCTAATGGAAATATTCAACTCTAATTAGTACAGTAATGCTACATTTGGATGCAACTGGTATTTACCTGTAGGACGATCCTGACGAATGGAATTTTTGAGAATATAATTCACTCCTTCGTTGACAAGCTGGCCTAATAACATAAACCCAGAAGCCAAATCGCGACTGAATAGACACTGAGTGGTGTAAGCAACCAGTAAAGCAATCGGAGTCAGGGTTGCATAAGCCATAAGTTTCCCTAGTGGATCTGCTGGGTCGTATTGTGCATGAGTCAGCGAGGCGGATTTAAGCAGGGCTAAAGTTTGTGAAGATGGAGATGTGCATGAGTCTAATGCAGTGGGTTGGAATAGGTTGTTCATGCTGGATTGATGTAACCAGTTATCCAGATTCTATTGTGAATCGTAGCGACAAACTAACAGTTTGATGATCATTGAAACTTTACAACCCACCACGTGATTATATCTAATATTCAACTGAAATACCATGTCTAAACTCTGACAGTCGCATTCACGTAAAATAAAATACTAATAGATACCAAGTATATAATAAATGATCAATCTCATGAAATGATAATCTTCATCAAACTCAGCTCAAAACCATAGTTTAGTCTTGTATGATGAGCACTGTCAAAGAACTGAAAGTGCCAATTAAAGACAATTCCTAATAGAAAGGCGCAGCAAATATCCATTGTTACTCCAAGGATAAATGGTCATTACACGATAAAAAGTATTTCATTTACGTGAATATGGTTGTATATCAATTGAAAATCCATGTTGGTTTATTTCAAAGAATCAAAGCAGAGTGTTAGGCAGACAGTTTGGCCATCAGAATTGCTTCAAGTTTGCATCCATCCTTGGCAAAGTTGCGAATACCCTCAGACAGCTTCTCGGTAGCCTATACATTGATTAAAATCGCCAGATGAGCAACAACGCACTAGCATTCAACCATGACAGGCAATCAAGAACTTACCATAGCGTCCTCGTTCATTGCCCACCTAAATGTTTTTTCATCAAATGAAACGGCAGGAATATCCATAGTGACGGCCTTGTCTTTGGTCAAACGAGGAGTAAGGGTTTTCTGCATACTCTCAAGCTCACTCAGCAGACTAGGAGAAATGGTTAAATAGTCGCATCCAGTCAATTCTTCAATCTCACCAACATTGCGGAATGAAGCACCCATCACAATGGTCTTGTGACCGTGACGCTTGTAGTAGTTGTAGATGGATTGAACAGAAATGACACCAGGATCAGTAAGAGCAGTGAAATCTTGACCAGTGGATTTTTTGTGCCAGTCAAGAATGCGACCGACAAAAGGAGATATGAGAGTGACCTGAGCTTCGGCACAAGCCACAGCTTGAGAAAAGGAAAACAAAAGAGTAAGGTTGCAGTGAATGCCATGAACAGCTTCCAGTTCCTTGGCAGCCTGAATGCCTTCCCAAGTAGATGCTAGCTTAATCAAAACACGATCCTTGGAAATGCCTGCAGCTTGGTAGAGATCAATAATGGTACGTGCCTTGGCAATAGAGGCTTCCTTGTCAAAAGATAAACGGGCATCAACTTCAGTAGAAACACGACCAGGAACAACCTTGAGAATTTCAACACCAAAGTTGACAAGCTAGAGTACCAGAATTAGCGGGTAACAAAAATATCAAAGGTATATAGATTAGTAATTGAATGCTCTATTCAATAAAAACAAGCTATTGGAATGGTAGTTTAATAGATCAATAGCGTTGTATTAAAAAATGAGATACAGTGATATGCCAGTAGTCTTAGCGTGGGGCACACTTGATACATTTCAATTTCACTCACCAACTTGTCAAACGCAGCTTCAAGTTGTTTCTTGGGGGTGCTATACACAGTAAAGTTGTTGTAAATACCAGTCAAATAGATCAAAGGTTAGTTAAAGTTGCCATTTCAGATCAACCCAATTTACAGCCGTATTCACGTAGAATGAGATGCTAAATAGGCGAATCAAAGTATACGACAGCCAATTTCATAAAACAATGAGTCATTTTACTGGACAGTATTGTATCATGTGACTTTTTGAGTTCACTGATATGGAAACAACAATCACACTGCTAATACGTACAACCATTGTTGTTGAACTAGGATACAAGGGGGTGTACAGATCTGAAAATAGTCAAACTCAATATCTAGTGATCGTACAATGTATGACTATGCCAAATAAGAAGTTGGGTCAAAACTACAGTTTGTATTACATGAACGGTGTGTTTCAAAGATTGACAACACCAATCAAAGAAACAGCCAATCTGTAGTAAAACTGAATATTTAACAACTGTCCATTCTAAAGCAAAATAAATGGTTCTGCAAATGTTCCCACTGCGTGAGTATGGCTGTAAAAGGGCGTTGGATAAACAAAAGCTTCTAATTGGCAGAGACTTGGCTATGCCGCGCAATTTGTCATTTTAGCAACTGGGTCCATAAACTTATAGTTGTTACCTGGCATGAGCTTTGCCGTATGCAATGGCTTCATCGATCAAACGAGCGTACTGAGGTTTCTGAGTGGCAGCAAGGATAAGCGAAGGATTGGTAGTGGCATCTTGGGGTTTGAACTTGGCAATAGCTGTGATTGTTGTTCAACAGGGTTGCAAATTATCGAATATATACTAGTCAGCTATAAATGATGCAGCAGCATACTTGGACTCGAGCCTGCAAGAGAAGTAGATATAGAATCGAGTAGAACTTACATTCAAAGTCACCGGTATCGGCAACAACAACGGTGTGCCTATTTAATATTGTGGTGTAGTAAATGGTTTAAATAGCAAGAGTTTAGTGGAAACAGAGTATACAATCAGAAACAAAAGGCCATGGATGATTAATACAGATCGAAATAACCTAACTGTTTAAGTTGGGCAAGGGCAGAGGTAGACATGAAAAATAGTAGTTTGATGCGGATTGGGAAAGAAACGAGAGGCTGCTGGTTGAATGTTATTTATAGACACGAGATCACTTTATACAAATCCCATTCAATGCTTTATTCTAAATCCTACATATTAATATTCAGACTCTCCTGACTGCAAACTACTGGCTTATAATGCCAGCAGTCAAGGAAATACCACTTCATAGTAACATGCCCTCAGGCAGATTCAATGATTCTTAACAGCACAAACACGCGACTCGCACCTTTCTTCCACTTTCTGCATCTTGTGGTGTGAGTGTTTTTGTGACGTGCGTTGTCTTCATTGCTCTCATCAAGAATCCTCCTCCATCAGCAAAACTTGGACAATCAAGTGTCTGAAAATCAGATCTCTTTGGCAGTTTATTTAAAGTACGGATTTATTTTATTGAATGAGATTTAGATGGGATTGTTTCCACTTTGAATGGATCTACTTGTATTTTGGTAGCTGTAGGAAAAATCTTGCTATTCTTGAAACATGAAAGTCTGCGGTACATGCTACCAAAATGCATCAGCAACATATTATTCCTAAAGTGTCGGGATATACCAATGTAAAACATCAAGATCACTTTCATATTGAGCTGTTCATATCATATGCACTGGATCAGGCTTTAGGTTACGGACATGGTGGTGACAGGATCAGCAAATGATGTAGTAAATGGACATTGGCTTCTACAGTTACTATACCAGATTATCGGCAAATGGAGTGCAAGAGAAATGCATCAGCTCAGATAACTGCAGTAGAACTGCAAACAAGAATATGAATGATAATGATGCCACCTAACCACTAAAGCAGACATCTACCCCATGCTCTACCTTGCTAGTATATCATAAGATGCTGACAATTGTTCTTTTGTGCGTATGTGTCTATTCAAACATACCTAGAAAGAGACGGCCGGAACTTGTTTGACAATTCATTCTACTGTTGTTGCTAACAGAGGTCAAGCAGTGCTTTTTCTGTCACCAGCAGAGTAAAAAGAGAACCTTGCTATCAGTCAAGGCAAACACTGTTAAAGGCAAGTAGGGTTAGTTACCATAAAAGGATGCTTGGTGCTCTGTCTGCGAGTCCAAAGGGATTCTGGGCGAGAAGGACTCGTTGTTCCTATTCATTGCAACCTTTGCTGACATTCGTCTTATTCCCCAAACACAAGCACGTGTTTTATTCTCACTCCAAATCAGTGTTTGGTTTCTTTGCTTTATCCATCGTCACTAACCCATTCTTTCATCACTTTGTAGATCATATCTAAACTTTTGATCACAATCGTTTTACTACTGGATTGTAACTCAATTATTCCATATATCCCAATCTTGATTGACCGTGTAGACCACTTTTTTTGTTCTTTTCTTTGTATTTCTTGAAACCATACTATCCTGACTTGCCCATCTTCAAAAAGTCCAGTCAACTTTATTTTTAAAAAAAGGTGAGCTCATTTATTTTTCTAAATTTATCGGACGCTTTCTTGAACTTGTGCACTAGTGATTTGCTAACTGCAGTTTTTGTCCTCCATATCATTGGTATAGTTTAAAAACCAAACAAATTCTACTAAAAAACCAAACTCTTCAAAAATAGGCTACAAATAATAAAAACTATGGCTATTACCGCAAGTGTTCACGGCTTTCCGGCCTCCTCTGCTCCACTGCGTAAAGTCAAAACTGTGCAATTCGGTATCTTGTCTCCAGAAGAAACCGTACGTAAACCTTGTCAACCATGCTTTTTGGCGCTTACCATTGATTTGAAAGATTGGATATTCATCAAACTCCTTTTTCCAAAATCATATTCTCTGATTTATTGCTTGACACATGCTTATAGAAAGCAATGTCCGTTGCAAAAATTGAACATTTTGAATTGATGGACAATGACCGACCAAAGCTTGGAGGCCTTTTAGATCCTCGTCTGGGAACAATCGATCGAAACTTTAAATGTCAGACCTGTGGCGAAAACATGACTGATTGTCCTGGCCATTTTGGCCATATTGAGCTTGCTAAACCTGTCTTCCATCAAGGTGTGATATACATTGCATATGTCAATTTGATGCAGCTTTTTACTTTTACATTTTTTGTTGAGTTGATTGTACCTTGCTATTTTAAATGATATAATCGCGGATGCATTTTAACGACTTGCATGGTTGAATGGTGTTTGCTTGTGCGATTTCCATTTTTGATTTAAAATACGGCAGGCTTTTTAAAAATCATCAAAAAAGTACTCGAGTGCGTTTGCCACTACTGTGGTAAACTCAAGGTAGATGAATCAAACGAAAGATTTGTTTTATTCCGACGCATCAAAAGCCGCAGACGTCGATTCCACGAAGTCTGGCAACTCTGCAAAACCAAGACGGTTTGCGAAGGCGGCGAGGAGCAGAGTGAAGGCGGCCAACAGAAGCCTAATGGGCATCCTCACAAAAAACCTCACGGTGGATGTGGACAAAAGCAGCCAGTTTATCGTTCAGCCATTTTGAAAATCATGGCAAACTTCAAGGCCACAAAGGATGAGGATGGAAAACACGAGGCTCAAACTATTGAAATGACACCCGAAAAGACATTGACATTGCTAAGATCGATTAGCGATCAAGATGCAACTGATATGGGATTGTCTGCTGATTGGGCTCGTCCAGAATGGATGATTATCACGACTCTTCCAGTTCCTCCTATGCCTGTACGTCCATCCATCAGTATGGATGGCGCTGGTCGTGGTGAAGATGATTTAACTCATAAACTGATGGATATTATCAAGGCTAATATTAGTCTGAAGCGCCACGAAACTGAAGGTGCTCCTGCTCATATTGTGAATGAGTTTGAAAACTTGCTTCAGTTTCATGTTGCCACGTACATGAACAATGATATTGCTAACCTTCCTCAGGCTATGCAAAAGTCGGGACGTCCTCTTAAGTCTATTGCTGCTCGTCTCAAAGGAAAAGAGGGCCGACTTCGTGGAAATCTGATGGGAAAGCGTGTTGATTTTTCTGCACGTACTGTCATTACTGGCGATCCCAATCTGTCGATTGACCAAGTTGGTGTTCCACGCTCCATTGCTCGTAACTTGACTTTTCCCGAAACCGTTACTCCATATAATATTGACATTCTGCAACAGATGGTGCAAAATGGTCCAAACGAGCATCCTGGTGCCAAGTATGTCATTCGTGATAACGGTGAGCGAGTGGATTTGAGATACAGCAAGCGTGGTGGCGACATACATTTACAATATGGCTACAAAGTTGAACGACATCTTCTCGACAACGACTATATTATTTTTAATCGCCAGCCCTCTTTGCACAAGATGAGTATGATGGGTCATCGTGTAAAGATCATGCCTTACTCGACGTTTCGTTTGAATCTGTCTGTTACGTCGCCATATAATGCCGATTTTGATGGCGATGAAATGAACATGCACGTGCCGCAGTCTCACGAAACCCGTGCAGAGATTCAAGGGTTGTGTATGGTTCCTTTACAGATCGTGTCGCCGCAAAAGAATGCTCCGGTTATGGGTATTGTGCAAGATACTCTTTGTGGTATTCGCAAGTTCTCTAAGCGAGATACTTTTTTGAAGCGTGATTTGATGATGAATTTACTCATGTGGGTTCCTGATTGGGATGGAATTATCCCTACTCCAGCTATTCTCAAACCTATTCCTTTGTGGACCGCTAAACAAATCATTAGTTTGATTCTTCCCAAAATCAATCTTGTCGGATTCCATGCAGCTCACCCTGATAACGAAAAAACAGACATCAGTCCTGGTGATACTAAGGTTTTGATTGAGGATGGCGAGCTTCTTATGGGCATTCTATGCAAGCGAACCGTTGGTTCCTCTGCTAATGGTATTATTCATACATCCATGAACGAGCTTGGCCCTGATGTTACTATGGGATTTTTCAACGGTACCCAGCGTGTAATCAACTATTGGCTGCTGCAAAATGGATTTTCGATTGGTATCGGTGATACCATTGCCGATAGGCAGACGATGGAGACCATTAATGACACCATTGCACATGCAAAGCGTGAAGTGAACAAGATCATTCAAAAGGCTCAAACTGACACGCTCGAAGTGTTGCCCGGCATGACAATTCGTCAATCATTCGAGTCTCTTGTCAATCAGGAGCTTAATCGTGCTCGTGACAATGCTGGCAAATCTGCCGAGAAATCACTTAAAGAGTACAACAATGTCAAGCAGATGGTAGTATCTGGTTCCAAGGGTTCTTTCATTAATATTTCTCAAATGACAGCTTGTGTTGGACAGCAAAACGTTGAAGGAAAGCGTATTCCTTTTGGTTTTAAAGATCGAACGCTTCCTCATTTTACTCGTGACGATCACTCGCCAGAATCCCGTGGATTTGTGGAAAATTCGTATTTGCGAGGATTGACTCCTCAAGAGTTTTTCTTTCACGCTATGGGTGGTCGTGAAGGTCTTATCGATACTGCCGTCAAAACTGCTGAAACTGGTTATATTCAGCGCCGTCTTGTCAAGGCCTTAGAAGATGTCATGGCCAAGTATGATGGCACTGTGCGTAATGCGTTAGGTGATATTGTTCAGTTTACATATGGTGAGGATGGTATGGAAGGCGCCAAGGTTGAGAAGCAGACACTACGCAGTATGAGCATGTCAAATGCAGATTTTGTTCGCAGCTACCGTGTTGATATTCTTGACGGTGTGCACAAGCTTAAACCCAATAAGCTCGAATACCGTATTATTGATGATATGAGCCAGAACCCTGAGGCTCAGGTCAAGTTTGATGAAGAATTTGAGCAGCTTGCTGAAGATAGACTCATGCTGCGCCAACAGATTTTCCCAAACACTTCTACTGACAAGTGGGCCTTGCCTGTCAACCTTGAGCGTTTGATTTGGAATGCACGCAACACGTTCCATCTTGATCGCAATAAGCCATCAGATCTTCACCCCATGCATGTGATTGATAAAGTCAAGGCTTTGTTGGACAATTTGGTGGTTGTGCGTGGCAAAGACGAGCTGTCACTAGAAGCACAGTACAACGCAACTCTTTTGTTCCAAATTCTTTTGCGTTCGACTCTTGCTACTCGACGTGTGATTGAAGACTATCATTTATCCACTCAAGCATTCGATTGGCTTTTGGGTGAAATTGATGCTAGATTTAACCAGGCCATTGTGCACCCTGGTGAAATGGTTGGCACTATTGCTGCACAGTCTATTGGTGAGCCAGCGACACAAATGACGCTCAATACTTTCCATTATGCTGGTGTTAGTTCGAAAAATGTGACGCTCGGTGTGCCGCGTCTTAAGGAAATTATCAATGTGGCAAAAAATATTAAAACGCCTCGGCTGGAAATTTATTTGGATCCAGAATACCGTCGATCCATGGAGATGGCCAAGAAAATTCACAGCACAATTGAGCATACTACACTACGCAAACTGACTGCATCTACTGAAATTTGGTATGATCCAGATCCATTGAATTCTGTCAACGAACAAGATCGTGAGATTATGGAGATTTACGCTATTACGGATGCTGGTGAGGATCTTTCCAACGTTTCTCCATGGGTATTGCGCATCCATCTTAACTTCCAGCGTAAGATTGACAAGGGGATGACTATGGATGCCATTTGTGCAGAGCTCATGCAACCTTTTGGAGGTGACTTGAAATGCTGGCATTCCGATGACAACGCACAAGAGCTTATTATTCTTGCGCGTATTGTCAATGACGACAAGGGTGATATGGATATGGACGACCGTCTTGAAGAAGATGCTTTCCTACGTCGTATTGAGCACAACATTCTTAATGATATTACTCTTTGTGGTATCAAAAACATCTCAAGAGTGTTTATTTCAGAAAGCAAGTACACGAGTGTGGATGAATCTGGTGTGATTCGGCCCGATAACCCCGAGTACTTTTTAGAAACGGATGGTACAAACTTGATTCAAGTTTTGGCCCACCACGGAGTAGATGCTGTTCGCACCTACTCCAACTTTGCTTGTGAGATCATGGATGTGTTGGGTATTGAAGCCACACGTGCTGCCATTCTCAAGGAAACTCGTAAAGTTATCGAGTTTGACGGTTCATATGTCAACTACCGACACTTGGCACTGTTGTGTGATATTATGACTCAGCGTGGAAGTATCATGGCTATTTCTCGACATGGTATTAACCGTACCGATGCTGGCGCGCTTGCTCGTGCATCGTTTGAAGAAACTGTTGATTTGTTGCTTGAAGCTGCTGGGCTAGGCGAGCTAGATGATTGCAAGGGAGTTTCTGAGAATGTTATGTTGGGACAATTGGCACCACTCGGTACCGGTGAATTTGGCGTGCTGCTGGATGAAGATTTGCTACTTCATGCACCTGTTCGACCAGACTTTATGATGCGTGCGCCACATGCTGCATTAGATGGTGGATTAGGTTCAATGTCTGGATTTATGAGTCCTGCGCATACACCTTACATTGATCGTTCTCCAAGCCCAATTCCCTTTAGTCCCTCTGGTGGATATTCTCCCGTTGGGCAAGTTGCCTTTTCTCCCGTTGGTGCTGGCAAGGGATGGCTAGGTGTAGCAGGAAACAAGGCTGGAATGTTTTCTGCTGTTTCTGCATTTAGTCCAACCAGCCCTTCTTACTCTCCAACTTCGCCATCTTACAGTCCAAAGAGTCCAGGATTCAACCAAGCATCACCCAACTATTCACCCACATCCCCGAGTTACTCACCAACATCCCCGAGTTACTCACCCACATCACCGAGTTATTCACCCACATCCCCGAGTTACTCGCCAACCTCACCAAGTTACTCACCAACATCCCCGAGTTATTCACCCACATCTCCAAGTTATTCACCCACATCCCCGAGCTACTCGCCAACCTCACCAAGTTACTCTCCCACATCTCCGAGTTACTCGCCAACCTCCCCGAGTTACTCACCAACCTCACCAAGTTATTCACCCACATCCCCGAGTTACTCGCCAACTTCCCCGAGTTACTCACCAACCTCACCAAGTTACTCGCCAACCTCCCCAAGTTATTCACCAACATCCCCGAGTTACTCACCAACCTCCCCGAGTTACTCTCCCACATCCCCGAGTTATTCACCCACATCCCCGAGCTACTCGCCAACCTCACCAAGTTACTCTCCCACATCTCCGAGTTACTCGCCAACCTCCCCGAGTTACTCACCAACCTCACCAAGTTATTCACCGACGTCTCCGAGCTATTCACCTACTAGTCCAAGCTATTCTCCTAGTTCGCCTATGGGAGTTTCTTTAGATCAAAATACTTCTGCTTCGTCCACCTATATGTGAGTGCTTATGGTTTTTGTGTTTGGATGTTTTGTAATGTGCTACACTAATGTTTTACTGCTTGGGGTTAGTCCTGGTCGTACATATTCTCCTTCACACGACTCTTGATTTGTGAGGTTTTGATTGCAGTTATGGGGTGTGTTTTGGTATTTGGTCCATGCAATGTTTTTGCATCTATGATTAGAAGCAGCTTAACAGTTGTCCGACAAAGTTTAGTTGATTTTGCAATCTCAAATACGCCTAAATAAATTGAGAAACGTGTTTTACAAGTATATTGAAAATTTTCCAAGTGACTGGACATTTGATCTACCTACAAGTAAAATTTACAATCAACCTGACTGACTGTGTAATTGCTAATCAATTCAAAGCTGATAATTAGATTTAAACTACCAGTACAAGTGTTTTATTGAAGAATAATTTGTTCTAGTTCATCAACGGCAGTCTGTGGATATCCACCATGACGTCTTGCACGATCCAACAACGCTGCAGCACGTTCACGCTGTCCACATTTTACCAACCCTGTAATCATAATCTGATAGGATCGTATATTAGGCTGCAAGTCTGCATCCTGTTCTGTTGTTAGTCTATCAAATATTTGAAATGCTCCAACTTGGTCGCCGAGTTTCCAATACAGTTCCATGATCGAGTTTTCAATTTCTGGCGTCGAAGAAACTAATTCAAATAAGTATAGGTATACATAGTAAGTACTTGAATGCAGTATAGTCTCTTATCATGCGATTGCATAGTTAGCTATGATGGCTATAATACCTACATTTATGCGTAAACATGAGATTACGGATCTGTTCAGCAATACGAATTGACCCATCAGCAGCACGGCACACACCAGAAATCACATTTTCAAAGGTCATCACTGTGGGTGAGCATTTTTTCTGTTGTATATCTTCATACAGCTCTAGTATGGCATCCATATCAGGTTGTTCAGCACGAGCATAGCCACTCAACAAAATATCGTAATGAATGATGGAGGGCTGAATAGCAAATCCAGCAGATCCGGGGGCTCCTGCAGGTAAAGTGAGCGCATCAAACAGCTTTTTTGCAGAACCAACGTCATTCGACAAGTCAACTAAACCACTCAAAAGCCAAATGAGCGTATTGGCATCTGGAGCAACGTTGCGTTGACGCGAGACTCGCCAAATTCCCATGGCTCCAGTAATATCTTTGGAATTTTTAATATACATTTTTAATATATCGTTAAAAACAGATATGGAGAGTACAGGAGTCATGTCCAAATACTGATCAAAAGCATCTAATGAATCGGCTTGAAGATCGGCTTTGACGTAAAGATGAACAAGATGCTCTAGAGATTTTCCAGACACATGAAGGTTATGTTTCTTCATAAGGTCTAAAAGAGACTTGGCTTCAACAATATTGTTGGTAATGCAATGAACACGAAACATATATGAAAACACATCTGGAGTGAGATTCGTTACACCACATTCAGCAATCAATGGCTGAAAAAGATCTGTGCAGTGCTTTGCCAGAGTAACTGAGATATTTTCAAACCGATCAAACCGCTTGAATAAAGCCAAACACACGCCGATTTTGGGAATTTTGCCATACTTTTTCACAGCCTCGACTGTCATTTCTAAAGCCATGACAGGATCTCTAGCATTCAGATATGCCGAGATGGCAAGTTCATATATTGCGGTTTGTGCACGTTGGATGGCCAGCTCAGTATTGTATGTTTGTGCCAAAGCAGTAGATATATCAATAACTTCTCTGATAGAAGCGTGATCTTTTGATTTGGCTAAAGAGTTCATCAATGACTGGAGAACCGAAAGGGAAATTTTTTGTCCTGCGTCACTGATACGCTTAAACAAAGACAAGGCTTCCTTAATCTCAAAAGTAGCACAGTGCATTTCAAGCTGAGCTATCATTGATTTACTCTCATCATTATGGGTTGATTCTACGGGAGGAGCAGTCGGTTGTCTCCATTGCTTCAAAATGCTGGAAGTTTTCTTTTCGACATCGAGAGCCGCACTTGGAATAGTATCAAAGTTGTATGGACGCACCAAAACAAGCCATTCAGCTTTACCCATCGAGTCCCTAATGTTGTCGAAACCTTTGCATACGGTTTCGTGTATTTGCTGAGTTGGTTCAAGTTTATGTAGTATCATGGATGAGAATACTTTTTTGACGAATAAACGAACAGCAATTTGAGACGAGATCTCAGATCTTGGGTTGTGATGAGAAAAAGCACAGTCAAATAACGCATGATAGTCTACCGCTGTAAGTTGAGCTATAGCATCAGGCGTTGCCTTTTTGAAAGTCATACATATTGCAAAGGCAAATGGCTGAGAAAGATATACTTTAGCTGCCTCTGCAAACAAAAAAGCATCCAAGGCACAACGAATATTGCTGTTGGTAGCAGTACAGGTTATCAGAGCAGTCAGTCCACGATCGATTGAAGCAGAGGGAGCGATATTTCCTGAACGATTTATGAATTTGGAAATTATAATTTTTAAAAATTCCATAGATCGCGCACCTGTTGGATCCGTATTATACAGACCCTGGACGAGTCCTACAACATGAGAAATTTCAGGAATTTGATTGCGACTCAATAGCTCTTTAGCCAATTTCAGAGAAAGATCCAGATCGCCTATATCTGCACTCGTGCTGCCCAAAAGTCCAATGCAATAAGGCGGCAAATAAGAGATTTCAGTACGCGAGTAATAGCCAAGTGCCTCGTTTAGGTTACCGTTAATCAAAGCAGCATTCATCATAAGAGAGTATGTCTTGGGGCTGGGATTGGGAAGTTCCGGAGACTTGTTCAATGTATCGTATAGCAGCTGCATGCCCTCGAAATCAAGTCGTTGATCAAGAAGACTCAGCAATTCGTTTATTGACTTAATACTGACTGATTTCATGGCACTTGGCATAAGGCGAACTAGCACATCGATAGCTGCAGGAAGACGCCCACAAATTGCCAGTGCAGAGGAAAAAGCCAAAAACGGCATAGTCTCGGGTGTTTGTGACAATTCTATGTATTTTTCAAACCAAACCTGAGCATTGAATGCATCTCCAGCAATCCCATAAACATTTATCATGGACGTGTAAGTTTCGGTGGTAGCTGAATGACCAGCATTAATCATGCCTGAATAAGCATCTTCTGCCATCAAAGTTTCACCACGAAGTGCGCACGACTGGATAAACGCATTATAGGCATACAAACTCATTCGTATATTCGCTGTAGTAGCAGATTCAAATATTTCGCAGCCAAGAGAAAAAACGGAGGTAGACTTGAGCTGCATAATCTTACGAGTCAATGATCTTATGGCAATAGATCGATCAATAGACTTTGAGTGTTTCGCGTATAGTTTTTCTTGATCCAAGCGACTTTGCTGAAGCTGTTGGGTTGAAACTAAAGATGCATCGTGTTTGAAAACGCTAGTAACCAGAGCAGAGTACAGTTTGGGAGTAAGCTCGACATTGAATTTCTTGATACCTTCCCAAAGAGTTGGAAAAACATCTGCTTTATTTTGCACAGCGGAAAGTCGAGAAAACTCATTGATGATGTCGATCCACTCTGATGGCTCAAGCTTAGCCAACATGTTTGATTTCTTCATGTCCATGTATGATGAACTTATATCATCCCATTTGTTTTTGGGACTACTTTGGAGTATACGGAGCAAATTTTTCCCAGCTTGTGTGGAAATATCAGCGTCTTTTTTACCAGGAGAGTCGATAAAAGCAGCGGGAAGTATAACAGAATTATCTGCAGCATTATTTAAAGTACTCAACAAAGCATTAGGTGCAGAAGTTGAATCAACTGGCATTTTCTTTTGCGTAGTCTCTGAAGCTGTTGATAAATTAGCACTGAATACCTATAGAAAAATGCACAATATCAATTAAAAATTCTGCTATAATAAAAAAATGGATTCAGCAATGTGTGGATAGTAAACCCAGCAGATCAGCTATTCAAAACCCGAATGCAGTAGACTACAGTACAATTTCATAGTGTGATAGCAGTCTGCCTTACCATGAAATGGTTCATGACAGGCAATAGAGTCTGACTTATTGAGCTCGATTGCGTAGCACAAAGAGCAAGTCCGTGAGTATTATAAGCAGACCCTTGAGCCAGTCTTGAGACCAACTGGCCAATGTTCTTTCCGAAAATCATAATGTAACAGATATCGACTATACAAGTGACAATATGATCAATTCCAGTCTGTAGATCGCTGATTCAATATTTCAACAATTGGTTTTTGCATTCATCAGAATGCCCAATGCACATACCTGTCGAGTTCAAAAACAATTCTGATGTTATTTGAATGAGTAACAGTCTTTACTAGGCAATTGTAACAAATGCAGCTCAGGAAAAGATAAACCTTGATGATGATCGCTTGGTTTCCACCTGTTCAAAATTGCAGGAAAACCCTACAAAACTCGACTTGATTGAGCAATTATTCTCGCCCTAAAAAGTTGTTTGAAACCATCTGAATATAGCCGGGCTTGCATGAAATATTGTTGTCTTCTAGTTGGACACGTATTTTACTGTTTAGCTTACTAATTCATTCATAGAAATAGTGCTGGAAGATATCTACACTTTATTTTAAGAGAGTTCTGAAACAATATTCTGTCCAAACTCAAAACGAAACTGGAAAACATCGCCTTGTTCGCTGCCAGTATAAAAAATATAATCGTCGGAAGAAATCTCAAGAGATGTGCATGGGGAACGTAATGGAAACATGGCTCGAACATGTCCTACTTTTCCTGAAATCTGAGTTCCAATATATCGGGCATGTTGAGATACGGAAATTCGCCGACCAGATCGTGCAGACGAGAGAATGGGTCGACTAGGTGTAGAAGAAGATTCGTCCGTAACGGTTGCATTTATGTTTTCAAAGGAAATCTTGTCATCTTTAAAACCAAAGGTATCGTGTTGCATTGGTGTTTGTATTTTATCTCGAGATCCAACATTTGCTGATTGCAATGGATCTTGAATGTCCCATACTCGGATCATCAGATCGGTTGTAACAGTGACAATGTAGTTGGAATCATGCATAAAACTCCAGTGCACAATTCGTGCTCCATCGTGCATAAGTGTGCAAAGTCTGCGTTTCTTTTCATTGCTCTTCAAAGCAATGACTGTGATAATACCAACAACTGGTTTTTCCAGCTTTGAATCTCCAGCCACCATTTCATGAAACTGTACACCCGAGTATCCTAAATAAGTTCCTGAATTATCGTATTTGCACGTATCTATCTGAATTGAATCTCCAAGCGATCCTCCATACGACAAAATATTTCCATCAATAAATAGTGTTGACTTGGTTGTATATACAACTTGAGCTTGGCCAGCTGGATTATATAACCATGTAAGATCAATAATAGTTTCTTGAACTCGTGTATCAAATCTCCGAATTTCGCTTCCCGTTAGCGAATCCAGAATCATAGCCGTAGTATCACATGCTACAAGCAGCTCACTCATGCTTGAAGACAGAGAGTTGGTATAAAAATGCGTAACAAATCGACAAAAAAGTGGTTTTGGATCATACGTTACAAATAAATTTGGCCGACCAACCAACTTCCATGCTGTCAACTCTCCGTCAACAGCCCAAGTATATAATCGCATGTTTTCTTGGTCCTTTTGAAATTTCATCAATACAGCATCACGAAGTGCACGTGTGTGACTGATTCGAAGTACTTCTTGAGCATGTTCAACATTCCAAACAATTGCAACATTTTTTGAAGTGATAATAGCAAATCCTGTAGACTGGTGGATTCGACACGATGTAAGATCATCTGCAACAAAATTTTGACGCACTGGTACAAACTTTTTGAGATCTGTGCAAGTTGACCAGACGACCAATCTCCCATCTTTGGATGTCGATATTGCTTCTAGTTTATGGCTTTGATGCGGTTTAAATGCCAGAACTGCATTGATAGGCGCTGCATGTCTTGATGGGATTTGCTCACGATTTGCATCAAATGCCTCTTTGGTAATACTCGTATACAAATTTGATTGGCTATCACATATGAATAGACTCGAGTCTGAAGCTGAAAAAAAACGCTCTTGGCCTTTGGACGCTGCGATGCACATGCAGCCAAGTATTTTCTTTTCCCCAATCGAAAGGCGTTTCACAATCTTTCCTGTTTTTGTACATGCAATGCCTACAAGGCTCGAGGTAGATCCAAAATACAGCAAATTTTCATCGTTGGAAATGCTCAAGCAAGATATCTTGGTATCAATTGGAATTCGCACCAAGGCGACCCGAGAATGAGTATCAATTTTCCAGAGCATGACATCCCCATTCGATAAAACTACAGCAAGCAAGTCTTTTCCTATAGAGAACTGCCCAATGGAAGTTTCGCCCACGCCATCTTCTGCAAATCTGCATACTTCGCGCATAGTCTTTGTTGCCATTACCACAACACAATGTCGTTTGTCTAGAATCAAATACGCAATCTTTTTCCCATCGACAGATCGAGCCAATATCTTATCAACTCTCCCATCCTTTGATGTGGGCCTCAACGTAGCAGCTACAGAAGCATTTTTGGATTCCAACATATCCTGCTGATAGTTGCTGACATTGATCACTCTTTGAGTTGAAAATTGCACCCATTGCAATGTTTTATCATGTCCACGTTGCCATACCCCGTCAGGATTGTCGGAGCAAAAAAGTATCCCGCCAGTATAGATATTTTCAATACGAGCATGCATGTGTCCTATACCGGTATTGTATACACAAATATGTCCATTATGTGTTCCATACACGACAGTTTTGGAATCATTCAAACCAAAACAACATTGCACAACTGTGTCGTCACCCAAAGGTTCTACAACAAGTGTCGAAATATGCAAAAATGTGTCAATATTCCAAGCATTCAATGTTCCATCTGTGGAAACAGAAATACAGCATTTTCCAAGATCGCTGATTGTAATGACTCCAATATAAATAATGTTCGTTTGGTGATTTCCAAGTGGCACCATTTCAAGTTGATCTTCAGTAAGCGATAGACAGTTTAAGAATGGATCCAAGTTTGTTTTGTTTTGATATGCTTGTAGTGCTTCTTCGCGAACATGCAAGCAGAATCCATTTGGCAGGTTTAACGCCAAGGAATAAGCTAGCTTTGGATACATGGCTAAGCTGCGACTATGCTGCTCAGCAAAAAAGTTGTAGTCTGTGAGTTTAGTTCGTATCGTGGGATTTGTGGCAGATACTGCAAGTTTAATGGCTTTGCAAAATTGACCAGAAAGCTCGTACGCAAGATTGGATGCAAATACAGCAGATATAAACCCAATGGAGCACATTATAACTGATATTTCAGAAATTGGTCGCTTAGCGTGAAATTGATGATAGCTGATGTCTATAGCTCGTATCGCATTGCTACCTGTCCACGTCAAATTGCCTTTTGGATCACAGATGGAAATAAAGTAATCTGAAAGTATATGGTGATAATGCTCCAACTGATGCAAATCATTCAAGTATCTATGCTTAACTGCAAAAGTAAACTGGTCGTGAAAAAATATAATAAAGCCAGCACTTGTCTTGATAACATACTCTTCAATCGATTCAAATAGTAGATTCCAGTCCAATAAGCCAATTTTTAGCAGTCCAATAATTTCAACTTCTCGAAGACCATTTCGTGCAATACTTATAAAACCCAAAAGTTTTTTGATCAAGTCTACACCATGGCGTTTTTCCATTCGTTCAAAAATTCGCTCAAAGACATGCTCGACTGTTTCTAGAATGTAGTTGTTAAACTGGAAGTGTGTTTTAGTCATATTCAAATGGGCTTCTTTGAAAACCAAATGCAAGTACAATGGACTATCAGATGCTGGATGACCAAGAAGTAGCTTCATTGACCGAGCGTCTAGCCTCAATCCAAATGATTTAGACTTGTCGATAATTATATTGCGTTTGTCATCTTCAGTTAGTGCATCGAGTGAAATTCTGGCTGCATCGTGATATATACGCTGCATAGTATCGTAGATTTGATTGTCTGCAGCACTAAAAATCCAAAATATATGATCACGTACATCAATCCCAAGTTCTGATGGATGCGGCATCCATGATAAACTATCATGATGATTGTGGCTATCAACCATGCGATCAACCTCGTCAATAACAATCACCACTTTGTTTCCAAAGTAAACAATTTCATGCAAAAGAACGATAAAGTACTGTCGGAGCTTCCGCGAGTTTACAGGAAGTTGCCGATTTTTTACTCGTAAATAACCAAACAGTTTAATACAAAATCGCCGAATCATCGAGTCCACATTGAATGAACTGACCCATGTTCGAACAAAATTGTGAAGTACAACCACGTCCCGCTTGACAAATTCTCTACATAGGTACGATAAAGTAGCGGTTTTTCCTGATCCTGATGGCCCATATATAAGAACTGCAGGTGAAAATTTTGACTTTTTTTCGTGCAAAAACAACGTACTAGGCGAGCATACAGAGTTTATAATCAAGCTTGTGATATTTTCACGTCCAATATTTTTTTTTGGAACAAGTGAGCTAAAAGGAGCCCTACCGATTTTTCGTCGTTGGTTTTTAACACATTCTAAAATTTGCATCAACAAATCGCTGCGCAATCGCTCGCCATACTTTTCAAGACCGCCCATGTGAACTTCACGGCCAATAACTTGTGTGAAATGACCTGAATAATGTGGAACACAACGATCAGGAAATTCTTGTAGCATTTTGCTCCGAAGTTGATTGATTTTAGCTTTTTCTTCTAAATCATTTGGCTCATACTGTGCTCTAAAGCTTTTTGGCATGGATCGTGAAAAGTTTGGATCACGAAAGTAAAACAAACATGCCCGTTGTGCATTTACTGAATAGCGAGAATCAGTTTCTTGAAGCGCACATGCAATTTCGAGTTCGGTGATTGTTTTGGGGATTGCCAATTCCTGCTTAAGAAAAGGATAGGTTTCCATAATATATGAGGAGATATCTTGCTTTTGAAACACTGGTCCCAATTTTGCACCAAAAATACCGATAAAAAGTGATGCACGCCTGATTTGAGTGCATGCTGCATGTAGTTGAGAGTGTGGATCCACACCATCTCTCAAGTCTAGCTTCATGTCTACAAAATGCAAATCAATGTGACGATATGCCAAATCTTGCATCAGCATGGGAAATACTGTTTCAAACAAATACCGCCGTTCGTTATCCGCGTCTGACGTTGAACAAACATACACGGTAAAAAAGTAACTCGTGTCAAGCATATTTTTGTCCAATGAATCCGACATTGAGTTTAAACTATGAAAATAGTTTAAATCAATGTATCCAGGCTGAAGATAGTTGGGTAGCAGTTTATCAGCTACGTCCACCAAAATCTCTGGATCTTGTTGAAGCAACACGTCTGGTGGTATAGTGGATTTTACCTGCAGTTCGCAAATTTGATTGTGTCGTGTTCCATCTTCTAATAACTCAGTGACTGGTGCTCTTTCTCCAAATATTTTCAGTGCTGCTTTATATTTAAACAACTTTTTTTGTGATGCAGCGTGTGTATTTATCTTGGACTTCAAATCCAGTTGAAATGGTGGTACTGGTTTCAGTGTATCCACAATATCTGCATCCTCATGCGACATGTACGTAGTAGAAGAGAAACATGAACCAACCAAAAGCTTATTTTGTGATGGAAACGAAGGTCGAACAAGGTAAAGTGGAAGATTATTTGCAACTCCAGCATTGATTGTCACAATGCTATCTTTACAAATTTTGACACCGTCCATATATAAACCAGTGATAACAATAGCCACGCCTTGTTTTTCCATCAAATCTGAAATACTACGGCGATCAATATCGCACATGCTAACAGGTTCAAACACAAGCTCGACTGCATCAACACTTGTTTGACATTTATCGGCAAAGGCTTTGCGAAATGTATGTAGTAATGCGCGTAAACTGAATGGCAAAGAAGCATGAATCAGCCATGGTTGACCAATAGATATCCACTTATTCAATGCTTTCACTCGCTTGCTAATGTCATGTATCCATGTGCTTAATGTTGCAGTTGTTGGATGGGATCGTCGAATCCAGGGTTTGGGAATTTTGTTTTCAAGAATTGCCTGTATGGTTTTTTTTGAACTCGAGGTAGAATAACCATTTGAAAAGGATGAAAGTAGAGCTTGTAAATCGATTCTTACACGACGAATCAATCGCAAAAAGTTGTTTGCTTCCTCTAATAAAAAGTACTTGAAATGACTATTTTGTGCAAGTTCCATGTTTTCGTAAATTAAGCGGACGCTGACAGAGTCGGGTAGAATACTCAAATATTGACCGAGTTTGTATTTGACATTGATTGGATCTTCATCAACAGTATCTAGTTTGACACAATCTTGCTGTAGAATAGCTAATGTTGAGCATAGCTTTCTGGACAAATGATCTATATTGATAGTATTTCCAAAGTTATGAGCGTACATTTCTTTTTTGGAATACATTTGTGTCTTGTACTTTTGAAAAAAAAGCAAAAAACTTTCTTTGGTCATGATATCCAGGGGCTGCTCTTGACAAGAAATTATGGAGTCGTACAAAGCTCGTACTTGGTTCCACAGCGAGTTTAATCGCTCAACATTGTGGTCTGACCGAGATTCCAAAGAATACACTGTGTGCATGAGAATGTGTTTTAGCGTATCAAGAGGAAGTTTCATACGAGTTGTCAAAGCGTATAGCTTTAAAAGTGCAGCGTAGTCGATTTCATCAAAAACCATAAATTTTGGAAAAGAGATTTCAGAATGAAGAGAAAGGTGCACTAGACTACTATGGAATTTAAGCACAATGGCAAGCCAAGGTCGATACGCGTCTCCTAATTGAGAATCGTTTGCTTCCAATTTTTGTAAAACTGCGTTTTGATCATTATTGTCAGAATCATCTACAACTCGAGATTCTTTAAATAACCATAGTGGAAGCTTGCATGTCAAATATGATGGACTGATCAACCATATTTTGAATCCATTTGAGGTCATCTTTGAGATTTGATGGATTTTAGGAAGCCAGACCATCCAGGATGTATCGAGTGTGATGAGAATCCACGTTTCATTTTCTGCTGCAAAAGAAATTTTTTCAATCCATCGATCCGCTAATGTACAAATATGAATGTGTCAAATAGCACTGAATATCAAGCATCGTTTAAGAAACAATCACTATCAAAGTGCAGTTTACTTACCTAGTTTATCAGCTTCATTAATTATTGATAACTGCAAATGTGATTCATCGTACGTTTCGCTTAGCAACAAAATATTACGAATAGTGTCTTTTGGTGAACAGGACAGTGTTAAAATCAGTGTGTGCGGTGATTCTAAGGCTTTGGAAAAATATGTTAAAGGGTTGCGGTCATGAGGTGTCCAGCTCTGAATTTCTTGCAAAACATCATGTATTCCTTCATCAACAAACTGGGGTAGCGCAATTCTACACAAAGCATAATTTTTAGTTTGACAAGCAAGGTCTCAGCTATTATATAATGTTGAATTGCCATAATTTGCTTACAATGTTATAAAAAATTTAGGCAAAAATGCAAGGCGACGTTCATATAGGTCACACAGTGGTCCAGACATGATTTCCAAATGACGTTGATCTGAATGCAACAAGGAACTTAGTAATTGTATAAATTGAGGACGATCCTCGACTTGCGAAATAAACTTGTCATGAACCCACTTTTCAAATAATGTATGTTAGTCATTACGCCATGTAAAGTAATCCATGCATGTCTTTTCAAGATTTAGCATATTACTTACAGTTGTAAATTCTGAATCGTTTTTGATTTCTGCGCGTTTTTGTACAACTAGTTTGGTGCTGTAATAATCCTTTTTGGAAAGCATTTCATAATAACGCATCTTGACTATCACAAGCTGAGCAAAGAAGGGAACACGATCAAAGTGGTGAATTGCACGTCCAAGTGAGTTACAAATAAGACTAGTAAAATTTTCAAGCACAGTATCTACATCATGTCTTTGTAGTTGCCCAGAAAACGATGTTTCGAGCAAATACAAAATACTTTTTTCAAAGCAATGAATCAACATGCTGTTGGAAAAACAGTATTTCTTGTCCACCGATTCAAGTTGTCGCATCAATTGCCATACTTCAATAACATATGATACTATTTTGTTGTAGTATAGATATAATGGAGCAATATCAAGATCAAACAATTCGCGTTTTGTCTTGAGTACTTGTGTTTCCTCATTTTTTCGTTGAAACATGATGATATCATAAACAATTTCTTCTTCAATAGATTGGTGTTTTTTGGCAACTTCGATAATTTTTGAAAACCATTGCTTTACTGACTTGCTGTGATCTTCAAAGTCAGTACCTATAATATAAACAAGGTTAGGTAAAATGTTTCCAAGCGCATGCATCAATCTCAAATATGAGTGCCAATATGCACAGCAAATTTTAAATACAGAAACCACTTACGGAGCTGTATACGATCAAGATGAAATTTTGGTTTCAGTACTTTGAACATCACGTCTATAAGATGAACGGTTAAAGTTTCTGATGTAAAATTAATGTCAATACGATCAAACGTTGGCTCTAAATCATCCAAAATATCCAACGGTGAAAAAATCAGTATTTTGCAATGTTTGTCATTGGTGAGATTCGATATACTTTGTGCCGCTTGGCATCGTAGTAGTTTAAATTTGGTGATTGCGGAATGGACTGTTGGCTCTGCACCAACATTTTTGATGGCTATAACACCAGAAGTCATGATATGGCTATCTAGCTCGTGATAAAAGTTTGGACTAAACGCATCAATGCACGTCATCATTTTGAATTCTTTTTCAAGGTCAGCTAAAATAATGGCTGCAAGATTATCAGGATCCATAATCACCATATCGCATGAGCTATGTAGTAATAGTGCATTGGCCAATTGAATTTGATCTGCTTCCATAACACTCCAAAATCTGCTATGTGTCAAATAAAACTCTGAAATAACTTCTTGAAATTCTCGAATCAAATAGTGTTTCATAATAGACTCGATCCACAGTTTACGAGCTTGGTCGCGTTCGCTAAAATTCATTGCAGGAAATAAGGAGCATGTTGACGCAAATAGTATAGCATCTCCTTGAACAGACGTTTTTTTCTTTTTCAATTCGGCAATATTGGATTCAATACTTGTGCAAAGCAGGTTGAGTGACCGAATGAATCGAACTTGAAATTGAATATGTTTCCCCATTTGCATGCCTCTGTGATAAGCGTATATGATATCTAAACAGTTTGACAACGTGTAAAGAATGGAAAAACAACCTGGAGAAGAAGACTGCAAAGTAAGATTTTGCGGGTCAATATTCTGATCTTCTGTTTGAAAAATCAAAGTCGGGCAATCAATCCGTAGAAAAGAATCAACACGACTGATATATTTCTTGACACGTTCAATGCTGTTGTGAAGACAGTGCAGTTTGGATGCTTTTTCAATAATAAGCTCATGAACATGCTTTATACCGAACGAATGTTCACTTGTCGACACGGTAATAATGGCCTTTTTAAGTCGCAAAGATGAATTTTTTTGAATGTTTTGTTTATATTGTATCTGAGCAGAGGTTGGAGCTTGAAAAGATAAGGCTTGACTTTCAGTTTCTGAGAGATACAAGGAAAACTGATCTTCAATAGCCATAAACAAATCATTGGTCAATTCTAGTTGAATAATATCGTTTGATCTGCGGTTGGCATCGTAGTCTTGACGCTCTAGCTTTAAATATTCAGGAACACGTTTCATGAAGATTGCCTGACGCTTATATGCTCTATAATTTTTACAAGTGTATAAATGAAACCATGGACTTAGCAGTGATCAAAATATCTAATAAAACATCATCAAAGTCAAAACAGCAGTCAATCTTACTTGAGACCAACAAGATTATTAATGTCTTCTCTAAATACTTTTTGAACTTCTGGTATGCGTTTTCGCTTCAAAACGGTTAGTTTTATGTAGAATTCACGCCAATCCAAAGTTTTTGGATAGTTGAATGCAATTCCCCAGCCCGACTCGTGCGATTTCCATTTCCATATTTGCTGATGTTTAATAAGATCACACCACTTTTTGGATACCAGAGAAATATGACAAAGTGTTTTTGAATCCATCATTGTAAGTATTCTGCAGCATATACTTTTTGGTAGTCGAGCAATGATATCACAGTAGACTCTGTCAACTTGAGCCGTGATTTCAAAAGAGCTAATTGGAGTATTTTGAATAGCACTATTTAACACTTGCATTGTAGACTCATCCCCAATTTTAACTTTACTAATGGTAGTACCAAAAGAAAAGGGGTCTTGTATCAATCGATTTTCAAATTCAGCAATTCCACCATCCCACTGAACCAGTTTACAAGCCAATTCCAAAAGACGTCTTAGTGTTGGATTGCACTTTAAATACTTGAGATGCTGTAGCAGATCAGTAAAATTAACAGTGCTAAGAGTATGGTGCACCTCCTTAGTATTTCAACAAAAGTCAGTGATTTCAAACTTTGATACAATAGCAATATACTACAATTTAAGTTTAGATATGCATCTAATCAAAACTGGCAGTTTAAAATGCCCCTTTACCTTGAATTTTTGAACAATAATTTCAAATGTCCAATATTCTGGCAAATGCGAATATAGTGCGCTCCACTCCTTATCAAACTGTGCCTTCTTTATATTCACTTGCTTTTGACATTGTTCAATAATGCAGCAAATACGATCCTTTTTTGATATATATTGATGCAACGAAATAGCAATATCTCTAATCAAAAATGCTCCTCGGCAAGCTTGAAATGGACTAACTGCAGATGAGCATACCATTTTGGAATCTTTCAAACGTTTAAATATGTTTAGATTGATGCATTTAAATGGACTGTTTAATGCAATCACTTACCATAGAATGCAACTCTTTGAAACAAAGGGCCGTCGATCACATCTTTGAAAAGTGCAGCACTTGAGCTGGCTAACCAATGTAAATCAACATTTTTAAACTAAAATTTTCACGGAATAAAAGTCATTAGCATGTGGCTGATGTGCCAATCTCTTTGAATAAATATGATGAGATTTAAACAATTTCACAACATCAATGGTATGGGATATAACCTTTTGATATACGACTTTGGGATGGGTCTGATCATTTAATTTGAGTAATCGCATCATTGTAGATTTGGCAGCATCAGTAAATACTCCACCATCCTTGATATCAATAAGCTCGGAAATGTGAGATGGCGTCATAGATTCAATGGCAATCTTTACATCATCTAGCGAATTTTCCGCGTCTTTTAAATCACTCGACATTTTTTCTTTCAAGAGTTGTAGATTTTGCAACTCCTTCTCGTATTCAGCATGTGCCTGTGCAACTTCTGCATTTGTAAACCTTACACCAACTCCGTCATTTTGAAAAGCCTGTTGGATCCATTGACTTTCAGTTATTTGATCGGGATTAGAGCTGTCAAATATACTAGTTGATGAAAATCCTTCCTTGATAATTGTAAATCTTCCGCTTAATTCTTGTTTCTGCATCTGCAATAGAGCTTCGCGTTTTTTCATAGTGCTGCAATTAAAACAAAGCTGCTCTAGTACCTTTTCTTCTTCACCGTTATCCACGGTCTCTACAGGAAGTGTGTTGATGGGTTTTTGGTTTTCACTTTCGCGATTCCCTTTATGTAATTTGATCCGAATTTCCTTGCTGTACTTGAGCATTGCACGAAGCCATTGGCTAAGACTGCAAACGGCAAATCCATTTTTGGTAGTTTTATCAGCCTGAAAACTAGGATGATCTATAATTTTACGAAGTTTTTCTATTGTGGTCTCGGATATGCATCCACAGTCAAACTGTATAAGCTTTGGTAAAAATGTGTGTGATGAAAGTAGCTTTTTTGCCTCACTCCATCCTGTAGGCCGGTCAAAAAGAATGCACAGTCCATCAGAGACAAGAGCAAGAAACGGAGTAGGAATAACATATTCTTTGAGTTCCTCTAAATCATTCTTTTTGACAGAGTGAAGTTGCTGAATAGCATTTTCAAATGCATTTTTTGCCTCGGTTAAACCAGCATTGGCAATTGCTATTTCCCGTTCTACCGCAAGTCGACGAAAAGTTTCGCGTTTTTCATTCATGACATTTGTTAATCGTGCAGCTTCACTCTCGCTTGTTTTCACAGCAATAGATAGTTCAGACAGTTCATTATTGATTCGAGTCAACTGAAGTGGCAGTTCAACCAGCTCCTGCTTGCCTTTTTGAACTTGCTCTTGAATACGATCACGCAATTGCTGAGTTTGTTGTAAACTAGTGTAATATTCAGATAGCTGGGTCTCTATTTGAGCCTTTTGTTCGGTAAGCAGCAATGCAAACTGAGAAATGAAACGAGAGAACCTCAACACAGAAAAGTTTTGATGTCTACGGACCGGATCTTTAATTGAATTGAAAGCTGTCAAAAAAATGCACACTAGAAGCTTGCCGAGTCTTTCAATTTCATCGTTGGGCATATCAAGCATTATTAATGCAGTATTAAGTGCTCGATAAGACATTATTTCCAATTCTGCAGTATTGTAGTCTTTAAAAATAATAACAGTGCTTCTACATATCAGCCGGGGAAATTGCACTACAGATACAGTCATTTAAATACAGCATATCATTAGTTAAAGCTACCAAAATATCAAACAGCGTATACAATAAGATTCATAAAAACTACGTACATAAATATTGGTGTTTTTCAATATCTGTGGCATCAATTCGCAAAATAAAACTAACATTCTGCTGGATCTTTTGTGCCCAATACTTGGTCATCTCCAATTGGTTTGGCTGATTACTGCCATTTTTAACAAAAATGCTTTGGTTGGAGTTTTGCTGAAGATTGCTAACCGAAAAAACTTGGTTTTTTTTCATCTGAAATTGATGCGATACTTTGTTCATCAAATCTTCAAACTCGTTGGGCGGCCAAATATACCTACTGCGTGCGCCATCCATAATTACATGCAGATCTCCCCATACCTCAGCTGGAATATCGACACCTCGCATAAATGTAATGCATACTACAGTTCTAATCTCATTGAGACCAGCATCAGTAGCATGCTTCCTGACAAACGATCTCCAATGCTCTAGATTAATGTCTTTCTGAAATGTAATTTCAGCAAGCGGTAAGGAGCGAGCTAATGTTACTTGTTTTACAACGTCAAGAGAGAAATCTTGACCCGGATGGCATACTAAAATAGCATGTGCGTGGCAGCTAGCAGAAAATACACGATCAAGCCGAACAAAATTAACTGCGCTGTCTGGAACAACTGAAAAATCTGATAGAGTCCAAACAGTGTTGCTGGAGTTGTTGCAGCTTTTTTCTATTATTTCATGAATAGTAGTTTCATCCATTTCTCTAATAGCCACCCGACTAAATGTATGGCCAGCTGATTGTGGATTAGAGCGTTGTTCGATATCAATATCACTCATTATTTCAGCTGGTTTAAAGCTATCAATATGGAAATGTTTCTTGGATACTAGCTGCAAACAAGTTTTGAAGATGGGTTGATCGATATATCGTGCTCGATCCTACAAATTGAATAAAGTAAATGAAGCTAAGTACATATTCAAATATTACATCATAGCAACATTATATACTCTAAATCGTCAATTATTGCAAAAATTTACCTCAAATACTCGAGACGCTTCATATGACCAAAGTTGAAAAAGCATTTGGTTGCTGGAAAAATGCGTAGTCGATGCCATGCAAATACGTGTAAGCAGTTTTTCAAGGTCATGAGTGGAAAATAAATAAAATGGACTATCTGATGAGAGGCACAATTGCTTTTTTAAAAGTCGCACCAAATCCAATGTCGAGTTGACAACAGATTGAAGCCGCGACTGAATATTTTCTATTTCAAGATCCAATACAGAGTCATAGATATCAGCATAAAAATGTCTCAGTGCAGAATCTTCCAAAACATCCGATTCGTCAAAGAAAATCACTGAGAATTGTCTCATTAGTCGTAAAGGTAGCACGACTATAGAATTCTGGAGTAAATCGCATGCTGCTAGCAGGGTTACGCGATGAATATGCCGGAATGTAGAGGGTGTACTCCAATAGCCCTTGCTGTCCGTAAAAAATCGAAAAAGTTCCCATATAGTTCTAGATCCAAAAGCATTTGAAGTCAATATTTGCAAGTCATCTACAAACATGATCAAAGAATTATTGTTTGCAGGGGTGTATGTGCGACGGTCACTAATGGTCTGTTGATCATCCTCGACTAGTATTTTTTGAAGGTAGGATGTAAAATCAGTGATACTAGACTTGGGTAGCAATGGAAATGCATGTCCAATGATGTTATTTGTTTCTTTTTCACAAAGTTCCAACATAATCTGTGTTGCGGTGGATGTTTTTCGTGATCCAATCTCGCCCATCAGCAAAACATTATGTTTATGGCGTAGCAAAAGGGAAATAATCTCCTGTTGTCTACTCAAGATCTTGGTTGCTTGAATACTTTGCCCAAAGATATCATCAACCATATGCGACCAAACAGATCCAAAAATTTCAAACTTCAAGTCAAAAAGTGAAATGTCGGTATTGCCAGAAAGAATGGTGGCAAGCCTAGAGTTGGATCCAGAAACATTAATTAGTCGCTGATATGATTGATCAAAAAATTTGCGAAACTCTGTATTAATGCATGCGCCAAACGACCAAATGACCGAGTAGTGAAACATGTCCTCAATCAAGTCACAAATAGTGCGCGTAAACAATTTGGCAGATTTAGATCGACTTTCTGCCGCTAACTTGCCGTATTCCAAAAAAAGAGATTCAAAAATGTCTAGACAAGTATTTAAAAGAATTGTAGTTGATGTTTTGGGCTTACATTCAGTAGTGATTTGAATGATTTTCTCCATAAATGAAGAAAAGCATGCATCTATTAGCAATTTGACATCAATATATCTGACATTGCTAGACGACATCTTTTGACAATGATCTTGAAAATTTAAAAGCCATGCCTGCAATCGTGCTCGCCAGCTCCATTCATTCCGCACAAATACAATGTTAAAGCGACCGACAAATCCTGCAGATGCATTATCCAGATTATCTGTTTCAATCACTACAGTCATGTTGGACCCAAGAATAACTCGTTTTCCGTTGGACAAGCACAGTGCACCACCTTCTTCTATTTGAAGCATACTTGACACTGAGTCTGCCCATGATGACTCCAAAGGTCCATCAAAAACAAGCCAAAAGTTTTTATCCAAAGATTTGTATGCTTTATCAGCAATTGATTCAATAATTCCCTTTTGGTATCCAGTTGATTCTTGAAATCCAAAAAGAAATGTGCTAGGCAATGCCCGAGGATTCACAACATCCACAACACTGCCAAGTACACTCGAAGCACCGTGAATCAAGGAAGTTTTACCTACGCCAACCTTGCCCAAAACAATTGCATGCTGTCCAGTTTCTATAATTTGGATAAAATGGTCTATGGTTTTGAACACCAATTGCTGGATCGAAAAAGGCTCGAGTTTGGAAATCGCCATTTCATATTTGGATTCGCGTTTTGGGTTTTCAGTGTCCAGTGTATTATAGCAAGCACCAAACACAGTTTCTATTAGATTGGTAAATACAGAAAAATCGTCAAATATAAGTTTTGGAACAATGTAAGATGTAATTGCTTTGACAACCGCCTTTGTTTCTTGGTTTGAGTTTCCTGATCAATTATATAAAATATTTATACATGCGAATTAGTAGCCATAACTTTGGTCATGATACGTGTATACTCGAGTTAAATTACATAGACTTACCCTGTGCGCAGGACGCATCTGCAAGTCGAATAACAGTTCGAATCGTTCTCAAATTGAAATCATAATGTGTTTGTCGAGAAAGCTGGTCTCCAGCCATTACGAACAACGCAGAAATTTTTTCAGCAAGATTTTGAGCATCAGTAAAAGCAGCCATATGCAATAATCCAGAAGCAATTGCAACTTGATCTGGAGCAGCAAATGCGACCAGTCTACATTGTGATCTCAAAGCTGCAATAAAATTTGGCGAGGTCAAACTATCAGGTGATATAGTTGAAAAAAATGGCACATTGCTGGATGGAGGAAGTTTGATTATACGACCTAAAAATGATACTGAAGCGGCATCTTTTCGCTCGGCAAAATCGCGTAAGCTAGAGATTGCTTGCCATACAATTGACAATGTGGTATATTCTAGTTTATCCAAATGTGTCATCAATAGATAGCAGCCAGTCATTGCCATGCCAGTCATAAGCCGTGTCAAAGCTTGTGGAGACACTCCTTCGCTACAATTGAAAAATACGGCAAACTTTCCTACAGCTCTTGCAAAATCTTTAAAAACCTCTGTTTTTCCAATCGACACTGGCCCATAGCCGGTGACCCCCATTTTCAAGTGCATGGCTCCCCAAATGGCTGCATACCCCCTTTCAGATATATTTGCCCAGCACAGCCGAGAAGTAGAGCCAACATACTCGAAGCCATACACTGCGCTTTGAAGGTATTGTCGTACAATGACAGTATTTGTTTCCTCTGAAAAGTAGTAGCGTAATCCTTTTAGCCATTTAAAGGATGTAACATCGTAAACGCGATCTTTATAAAGATCCTGTCCCCAGTCTCGATAATTAATCTCCAGGATAATCATGGCTTTCCAGCTATGTATAGTGGATGGGTTTGTATCTCCTTGTCGAATCAATGCAGCTAATCTATTGATATTATCTTTTGATTGATTGATAAAATCAAAAATAGAAGACGTGTTGTTGTTTTCAATGCATGTCTGCAACTCTGTAGTTCGCATGATTTGAAAGGCAAGTTGAATAATTTGAGACGGTGTGTTGTGAACCATCTTTTCAAAAATAGTAGACCAATGTTGGTGCAATCCTTCAAATTGAAGTTGTTGCATGTGCGACACCAATATCTTTTGAAGTGTAGCCTGTACTTCTTGCTCCACTTTTAAAAGCCACTGCTCTACACCAAGTTCGCGTGTCTCGATGGAATTGTTGAATAAAACAGACTCACCCTCGCTTGACTTGACTCCGGTGATAACACATTCTTTGCTTGAATTAGTTGTGTATATCATTTCGGTAAAATCAAAATATCTAAACAGGTCATGCACAGTTTGTATATACAAATGACAGTCGTTAATAAATGTATGTAAACATAACGGTTTAAATAGTAGCAAAACACCAGCACATACCTGGGCAACTGATGTTGTATAGAAAATGGATCTTTGGCAATGGATACAAGCTCAAGTAATTCGTCATCTGATACAAAAAATAGTCTAGGAAAACCCAGTCTTTTCTTGTCAAGCCAGCCTTGTACGTCATCAGTGATTTTTCGCAATCCAATACGAATATCGGCAATAGAGATGGGTAAATCTGGATGCGCTTCAATAAGAATAGAAAACAACTGGTGAGTCTGTACATTATTGATAACTACATGGTATCCTGTTTCAAATACGCGAAAGCGGCGTAGCTCAACAGATAATTGTAGTCGCACTTCTTCAGACTCGAAAAATCCATGCACACTAATCATTAAAGGCTGCATTTTTTCCCACTCGCGCATAGCTTCAATGGCTGTATGTAGTTTGGCCTTGATATCGTCTAGTATCAAACTATATTTCTCCATTCCTTTGGATGGCATCATCATCCCCAAAGTGAGTAAATCAGACTCCATGGTGCTAATATAGTTTGTAAAATTTTTGACTACAGGTAATCCAAAGCAATTGTTAGTTTCAAGCTCAATGGGCATCAACTGGTAGCGCTCCTTTATTTCCTTGATCACGTTTGTTATTGCATATTCCTTATTTGCTGCAGCTTCAATGGGCTCAATGGTGTCTGTAAGAATAGAAATCGTATCAAATCCAAAAGTATCAATAATGTCTTGAATAGAATGTGTTTCAATATGAAGATCAAATTGGATCAGTGTTCGAATATGCTCCCAGTGCTCTTCGCGGAAAATCGGATTTTTTAAAATTGTTAGCAGCGGCAACTCCACTTGCATGAATTGTATCATGTCATCATAATTGGCTTTGACAATAGGTGAATTCATCAAATTAAACTTTTCGGGTATATGCATTAATTCCGCAGCAGTGATGTTGATTTCTGAAATGGAAAGGCTAGCTATGGAAAAGGTTCTCCAATTCACAAGATTCGAACGAAGGCAAATCAAGCATCCAATGAGTTTACTGTGTGTATACATTTTATCCATAACAATATCCATATCTATTGCGCCTGGTATGTTATCAATGCATGCGATTTTTGCCATGATAAGTTTTGCAGCATCAATACTAGCAAAAATCTGATGTTGAACTTCCTTGAGTGATGCGTCTACATCAGTAATCTCGCCTAGTTCAATGCCAGTATATTTTTTTGGAATGGGAGGTTTCTGGGTTACACCAGTGTGATTAGAGGTAGGTCTGCATAAACTGGGACTGATTACGGTTTTGCGGCGACGCGTCAGTTTTGAAGAGGTTGCTCCAGGAAATGTTTCAGGACTTGATATTGTCATGATTGGTTGGGATACAACTGGATGAGATAATTCTACTTTTTGATCATCCTTAAATGAACTCTGTTCCAATTGTTCAAGATTAGAAGGTAATATAGTTTGATTATGCTGATGTTTTTGTGCTGAAATGATAGGCGAGTCTTGTGACATTGGATTGATTTTAGACAATTCATCAGGCTCCATATTGTCAGTGGCTGTAAATCAAAGTATTAAAATACACATTTCAAATCGCATATTATTTAGCTGTAAAATTATAAAAATATCATAGTCAAAATAACTAACCTAGTCCATTCACTGATATTACATATTCGTGAGGATTAAAATCAGTCTGGTCGGTTCTGTCAGGGTTTTGAATTGCGTCAACTTTGTTTGATTGCTCCTCAGTTGTAGTAACAAGCTTTTTAGAATCGTCCTTGAAAAAGTGAGCTTTTTTTTCTCCGTGAATTTTACTATCCAAAACTTCAGTAAAAGATCCAAAAGCCTCAGATGAGCTGGTGGCGTTGGACAACTTGGAAATAGTAGCTTCCTTCTTTATAGGCTGTATGAATAGTATGTCTGCTGCCGAATCCACCTTATCCCACGATTTCAACAGTTTTTCAATCTCAAGACCAATACTTGCGCTGAGACGTCTATTAGCATCATTGATGTTCTGCTCCATAGTATGCAAAAACGAGAAAAAAGTATCTTGGATTGCTCGAACTTTGATCAATTTAGCAAATCCTATATCTGATTGAATCCAATTTCGGTCGTCAAGAAACTGCTTGAGATGGCCGAGCCAATCAATTTGGTCGCGAATATAATCAGTTGCGGTAGCCATTTCGCGCAGCTTTTCCGTAGCAGACTTGGTTTCTTCAAAAGTGGTTGGTGACTTGAGTTCAAACAATGAGTTGCATTTTAGAATCAACTGATTTGCCTAGAGTAGTCGAAATCAAATAAATATTATTACCTGAAAAATTAACAAGTCAATTTAAAAATATCAAAAACTAGCATACCCGAGAATCTATCGTTTGATTAATTCCATCGCAAATCATTACTTGAACTTTTTCAATCCAAGAAAAAACCTTGTTTTTAATATTGTCGTGATTAATCTTACATAACCCACGTATAGCAATATCCATATGGAATTTTACGACCTTTTTGACCTCTGATAATTTATCAAGACATTTAATGTTTTGAGACAAATATTCTTGAATGTTCCCTTCAAGAACAGGTAATTCTGAAGCAATCGTAAGGCTTGGAATAAGTTTTTCTTTGAGTCTGTTCAAGTGAGACAAGCATCCTTCAATGCTGTCATCCACAAGGTCATTCAGCAAAACTTTAGTATATGTATGGTCTGGTAATTGAATAGATAAAGATTCTCCAGGAGAAATGCATGAAATCGGATTGGTCCAGGCAGTCAGCCACAATTTAAGTTGCGTGCTCAACTCATCCAATGGAACTTCGTAGTCGAGCACAAATTCCATGCTGTTGCACTTTTCTGCTGCATCTTTGCTTTGAATCAAATCAAACGTTGTATTCAGTTGAATATGGAGTTGGTTAAGTTGGACAGCTTGATAAATTGAATTAATTCCCGCGTCAATAAAGGGAGCCAAAAAGGTATATGTCATTACAGTAACAATTCGGGATATACGCCGGTGCACTTCGCCACTAAAATCCATATCGGCTTGCTTAGATACGTTGAAATCTAATTGAGTTGAACACTCAAATGGTGTTATGTTATGAAAAGCTTTAATCAACTTTTTAAAGCAAATGCTGGCAGCAGATGGAATAAGCTCTTGCAAAACATGACTCAAATGTGTCTGTAGCCATTTGCACACGTCTAAAAAATCAACAGGGGTAAAGGCTATATTTCCTTGGTGATCAGTAATAGGATGGATTGTTGTATTTTCAACCCTTTCTATATTGAGCAGTGTAGCTGAATTCCCACTGATATTAGAAGTTGCTGGCCAGATTTTATGAGTTGGTGGTAATATCAGCGAATCATGATCATGCTTTTTGGAGGGATGAAGTGGACGTGGCTGCTTTCTACCGTAAATGTTTGGTGATTTGTAATCGCATGACAACAAATGACTTTTCGGAAAAGAAGTTGGATGTTGAATTTGAGCTGGCATCACAAGTTCATTGACGCATGTTACACCTTGGTGATTTGGACTGCCCAACTTACTTTTAGTAGAACAAACACGAGTAACACCTTTTTTAATTGTATCCAAAAGAGATAAAGAAAACATACTAGCAATGGATTGGTGTAGTTCAAATAACGCATCCTGAGCTGCCAATGATATTTTAAATTGTAACTGTAGTTCAATAGCTTCAACTGCCATCTTGAGGCAATTGGCGTGACCATTATTCACAGGAACCAAGTTTTCAGCAACCAAATCAGAAGATAGAACCACATCGTGGTGTTGGTGGACGTTTTGTTTGTGCAAAAACAATACATCTGGCACAAACAGTTTAAAATGACGATTTTGAATTAGCAACGATTTAAGCTCCGAGTTAATGAAATCGTTTTGTAATTCATTATGTATATCTAGTAGCTGATTTTCAAACTGCTCTTGCTGGTACTTGCACTGCATATGAATTTCGTTTTCATCAAATACTGCAGTAATTGATTTCCTTTTAATAAAAGTAAACGAGGCTTCAAACTGAGACTTGGCAAGTGTAAAAATGCGCTCGACAATTGTTTTGGGAAACTCTGGTAAAGTATGTTCTATCATGGGACGAATCAGTTTTATACACTGTTGAACCGCAAGATGAGTTTCAAATTCGTCACGAAGTTGCTTTGCATACATGAGACGACTTTTTAATGATGCAAGCGTGTCACCGGGAAGCATAATTTCGGTAATCAATTTTTCGTTGACTGCAGTGTTGGGTTGATGCTGCATTTCTGGTATGCTCCATTTTACAGTAAATCTGCCTGTAATAGTATTGTATGATACTACCTTGCAGGGAACCCACATGTGTGGTCGAGATATGCATCGTACGAGACATTCAAACGACTCAAAATACTTTCCTTTTGGATCTAACCATAGCCGACCAACACAGGGAACCCCATCAGGAAACTCGGCATGAGAAATGGCTAGAATCAGTTTTTGTGTGCAATCTTTGTCCATAAAAAAATCCAAGGGAAACACGTTTCCGATACGTTTGGCACGCCGCATAGAATTGGCAGATGGAACAGTCGAGTTTTTTAGCACAGTATGTACATAGACAGATGATGGATCTGGGGCTATTGAACTATCATTCGAGTCAACATATAAGTTTTGGTTTGAAACATCAAGCTTTTTAGCCTGTGTCATCATTTGGATGTCATCAAGTTCATTGTTAGAGTCATCTGAATCATGTTCGCTGCTCAAACTGTGATGATCAAAATCAATTGGGACCATATCACTATCTAATGTAGGAGTTTTTTGTAGAGTTGATAAAAAAGGTTCTGCCGAAATATCAGCTTCGTTGATAAGCTGAGATATGTTTTTTTGAATGGCAGGCAGTCGTGATTGTGCGGGGCGTGGAGTCATACGTCGGTGTGGGGGCTGTCTAGGTGTTTTATATTTGGAAGTAATACGACGCACTAAGAAATGGCCATTGGAGTTTGTGGCATGACCATGTGAAGTTGGCAAGAGTTCATTTTGAATATGCGCTTGAAAAACACCCAAGCCATGCGTAGTGCGATATTCAGCCTTTTTTTGGATTTTACGCAAAGGAGTTTTGTGCATCATTTGACTATCAATCAAGGAGATATGGTTCAGGGTTGGGAGAAGTCCAATATGTGTCTGATACTTTTCCAAAAATGAGGTTCCTAAAACATTTGCCAAGACTTGCTGCATATCTGGAGAGAGAGTGCAGGTGAGTCGTGTCCGTGCTGCTGAAGCAGATCTGCCTCGAACGCGTGCACCATTTAAGCCCAGCATTGATGAACGACTACAAGAAAGGGACAGACGAGTCGCAGAAGAGCGATGGTCAGTAAAAGATCCAGGAACAGGAGTTCCCATGGGAGTTCCAAGACCCTGTGGCTTGACAAAAGCAATGGTATCTAGCTCACGAAATCTCTCGAGACGACGACGAAGATTTGGAGCCAATTCAGCAGTACGAGGACGTGAGATGCGACATCCTGCATTGACTACAGGATCTAAAGCGGGTTTGGACTGCATCCGATGTGAAGAAATAGGCATAAAATAAACTTTTGGAGGTGGTCTTGAAGCTGATTGTAGAGCATTATATGCAGGCATATAATGCTTGCCATAAAACACTTCTAGAAACAATTTTTCAGCATGGATCCAGCGTGACTCGGTCTGTCCAAGACCCAAAGATTCTAGCAGAGTATTTGATGGAACCTCGATTTGTATACGTTCATTTAAAGATGGTTTTGACAATTGAGATGGTAAAGGTTGTGATTTAGAAAGTAGTAAGGACGGTAAGTCGTGTGTAACATCTTGAGAGTGTGTCTGAACTTGCTCGTGATGTGCTTGTTGCATTATAGCAACGGTTCAAGACTTGTCACAGATGTGGTATATATACTGATGATTAGATGTAACAATGTTGGGTGAAATCTGATGGTTGATATGAAGATTTAAAAATAGTGTCGGAGTTTGAAGATTAAGCCAATGAAGTGTCGATATCAGAAAGTAGATTGCTGGACAGTATGATATTGAATGTGATTATATCGACAACCAAGTTACAGATTCAAATATTTCCTTGCGAAGCAATTGGTGATGCAGACACCAATGCTATCGAATAAACGGAAAAGCCTGGACTCGACTACTCATTCTATAAACAAGACATCTTGTATCAAGGATGAAACTACAGTTTCAGTGAGTTTGAACCCATCCCAGTCCTTGACTGCTGCACAATCTGCTGAGCCTGACATGTTTAAAATGTCCAAGCCGTTGCTACTACAAGACCTGGAACACACTATACTCTCTGATGTAGACCAAGTCATCAGCAACATCACTGAGAGTGATTTTGATGGATTGCAGACACTCGATTCATCTTCAAATCCTATTTCCCTGGCATCAGCTTCGCAACCAACTCTGGCTTCGGAAAATATGCATTTACCAAAACCTGATTTGACTTCTGACTTTGGATTATCCATCACTCATTCCAAAAACTATATTCCTGTTGCTGACTTGACTATGGGTCAATCAAAATCATCCACTCTTGGATCCACCCCAGAATATCAGCATGTTGAATCCGATACTCGATCAGACTCTGTACAACATAGTACAGCGGATGATGAGTCGCTTGTACTTGTAAACTCCTTTAATCCTGGCACTTTTGCTGATGAAGGATTGCAAGGAAACCCACCAGTTATGTTTAATGATTCATCTACAGACTCAGCGTACACGGTGGATGCCAGTAATGAGGACAAGTTTGGTAGAGATGATACACATGTAGACAAAAATGAAGGTACTGTGGACGACAGCTCTGAAAGCATTCAGCCCCATTCAAGCGATGACGAAAGCGGTTGTCATTCAAGTGATCAAGAGATTCAGCACGATACTCATATCGAAAAAGATCCAGTTCCGCTTTTGGTCGAGTTGATTGACTCCATCTTTACTCCCGGTCTAAGTCCTCGTGTTCAACTCATTATGCATATTGCATTTGCCGGGTTGGTTCTTAATTTTGCCTTTCTTCTCTACCTTTCAAACCTTAACCCACATGTGATCTTTCTATTTTGCATTTCAATCTGTCTGTGGGCATCTGTTGCTTGGTTCTTATCCATGGTTCCTGAACCAGATGCTGTTTTGATGCATCCCGATCAATCCACATCTGAAAATACGTTTCCCGTCGAGTCAAAAAAAGATATCTAATCATAAAGCATATTTCCTGCTTATCGTGTTTTACATGGCTGGGTTTAGTATATAGGGTATGGTTTCATTGAGAATTGTAGAAAATAGAATGGATCATCAATATAAATGTGTATTAACCGCTCAATGAGCAGTAATGTCAAAGTAGAGTTTAATACTGTCCATGTTTGAACCCAACAATCGCTTTAATAAAAATGGCTTTATATGGCGTGCGATTCCAAACATTGAGAGTGTCGATTAGAATCGGCTTGTAATGTGAACATGCAACGAATATTTGACTATTGTTTATTCCAAAGCAAAACAGAGACAATGCAAGATAAAGGACTCCATTTTACGCGAATATGGCTGCAACTAGAGAAATAAGTTGAATCAAGACTATAGAACAAACCACGGGAAATCCAATCCTACCAAAAAACAGCAACCTCGATATGTTTATATAGGCATGGCGGCAAGCTGGGCAGCGCTGATTCCCAATCCCAAGGCATTCAAAAACAAATTGACATTATCCAACGCTTTTGGATCGCCCGTTTTGGATGCATGCATGACATGCTCACGCACTTCAGTGACCAGAATTCGTTGATGATCAATACCAGATGCGCCTACTGCAACTGCAGACATAAACTGCCATACGCAAACATTATCCGCTGATAAAGGATTGGTAGGAAATAAGGATGAAAAGTGTCCTTGCAAGGACTGGAATAAGAAATTGTAAATCTCGCTCCACATGCCAAGCTCCTGCTCTGATGGTGCCCGGATATTGGGAAGACCTTGTTTCAACACTTCAGCACGACTAAGTAGCATAGTAAGAATGGAAATGCCAACCTTGTTTTTAGCAAACCAGATGATATTGTGTCGCTCAAGGACAGTGCGGGCAAGCGAGATGACTGCAATCATGGGTGCTTCGGAAATGACACCCACCAGCAATGGAATCACATTCCCCATAAATGCATCCACGTCTGAATTTTGAATACCAGTAAAAATGTTGCTGACTTTGAGGCACTCGAAGCGATTCAAAATGACTGCAAATATCTGCATAAGCTGGTTACGATCAAAAAATCTCAAAGCACGAGGAAGAATGCGAGCTCCTTTGGAATAGTTAAGCATGCATACAAACGGATGCTGCATTGTGTTGGGTGTCGATTCCATGACTCGGAGCGAGGTCCACAATTTATTCTGCGTATGTAGATATTTGCTAATCCGGCATTAATAAAACCAAAATAGCGGTTAATTGGACAGTTTAAACAGTACATTTTAGTAACAGCCAAATAGTACCTGGGTTTCTCCTCATCGGATTCAGCTTCATGATTTTTCGACTGTTGTAAATACTCCAAATCAAGTACAGTGCTATATACTTTTTCAATACTTTTTAAAACAACTCCAGCAGAGAGTGCATTACCACTAGATACGCTACTCTGATGACCTTCGGATGGTGACGAAGTCGCTACTTGAATTGCTTTTTTAGGGTTACGCGATGTTGTAGAAGTAATTTTACCTAGAGTTCCTTCAAGGGACAACGTTTGCTCCTTTATACGCTGGTGCTTACGACTTTCAATTATACGTCTCATCTGGTGTTGCCCTTGCACATAATCTTGGGTCCGCGGGCACCTTTACGACCGGTTTTG